TTTTTTTTTTTGGGGGGGGGGGCGGTAGAAAATGTTGACATAATTAAATAGGGGGTTATTGAAAGTTTGACAGTTGTTGACAGGGGAGGGGGGGGGGCAAATTGCTTAAGAATTGTTGACGTAATTAATGGACGACCCCAAAGATGTAGCTCAGGCCTGCACAACTCAAAATGTAAGGCGGGCCGTAATACTCAATGAAAACATGCGGGCCAAAAAAAAATAGGACAGGGGGGAAAGCTATTAAGAAAATAATAAGACTAAAGAATATTTCGTTACGTCGCGGGCCGCAAAGTGGGTACTGGCAGGCCGCCTCGCGGGCCGTATGTTGTGCGGGCCTGATGTAGATTCATCAGAAAGTTTGCTCACTCTGAAGTGTGAGGAAAAAAAAAACAACGAACTTTGTGATTCAGTTTAAAAATTTGACGGTGTGATTATTGATTTTTTCAAAGTTCTTTTACACATAATCGTTTGCAATGTTTACATTATGATGAAAACACTCATCCAGTTCCCGGAAGTTCTTGTGCGCCACCGGTTTTTTAACGGGCTGCATAACTTGCATGTGGCCTGCGGGTCATAAGTTGCATGTGGGTAAGGTTCATAGGTTGCACGTGGCCCGTGAGTCATAGGTTGCACGTGGCCTGCGGGTCGTGGGTTGCATGTGGCCTGCAGGTCGTAGGTTGCACGTGGGTAAGGTTCGTAGGTTGCATGTTGCCCTCGAGCCTTGTTTGCATGTCGCCCTCGAGCCTTGGTTGCATGTTGCCTGCGAGCCATAGGTTGCATGTGGCCTGCGAGCCATAGGTTGCATGTGGCATGAGAGTCATAGGTTGGATGTGGCCCATGAGTCATAGGTTTTATGTGGCCTGAGAGTCATGGGCTGCATGTGGCCCGAGAGTCATAGGTTGAATATGGCCCCGGAGTCATAGGTTGAATGTGGCCTGCGAGCCATAGGTTGAATGTGGCCCGTGAGTCATATGTTACAATGTGCCTGCGAGTCATAGGTTGCATGTGGCCTGCGAGCCATAGGTTGAATGTGGCCCGTGAGTCATATGTTACAATGTGCCTGCGAGTCATAGGTTGCATGTGGCCTGCGAGTCATAGGTCCAAGCTAGCAAATGACTTAAAATTGTAATTGTACCCTATTCATTTAATCCTCATATGAAATATGAACAATTAAAAAAAAATCTTTTTCGACGCTGATTTTGCACGCTGAAGTGGCGCCCATGGCACACAGTGCATCTTGCCACATCCTTTGTACGCCTCTGCGTAGGCAACCACTGTGCTGCACTAGGAAAGGATTTTCCATAATTCAGTACCCTAAAAGCAAGGGGGCCTAACAAATGGAAGTGTGTCCAATGGATTTGGTTTATCTCGGTGTTTACCAACGTGAGGCCCACGCCCCACCAGGGGGGGCGGGGGGGGGGGGCAATTTGAGATTGCCCAGCCGACTACTATAATTTAACTTTCTGTCACAATTCATTTGCTGCTCACGGATTTGCTGCTTCTAAGCTAAGAGTGCTATTTTTTTTTTAATACTGTTTTTTTCTGTTGTTTTGTTCGCTGACGAAGTCTTTCTGCCGACACGTTCGTTGTTTTGTTGCGTTCCTTTTTTCAGGTTAAACCCTACCCGGTACTTTGTTTTACTCATTTTATATAATTTAACTTGTATTTTAAAAAGGAGAATCGTTCAAGTTCAAGTCTCAATTTAAAATAAGCATTCGTTAAGAAATTACTTACTATGTTTCCTCACTAACTTCATAGTGATGTCGTCCTAAAACCTATCATTTAAGTTTCTTCAGTGAACAACCCTATTTTTTGAATATTTAAAATTATATATATGATACATTGGGGTGGGGGGGGATACGAATTTTAGAAACGCATAGGTGGGGCATGGCACAAAAAAGGTTGGCAAACACTGGTTTAGATGATTTCAATATCAATTTAAAAAAAAAAAAGCTATGACGTTACAGACATAATTATTGGGAAACTTCATTAAAAATAACGAAGCTAACATACGGTTTAAGTACGAATAAAAAGATTGGATGCATTTTAGAGAGTAAAAGAACCGAAGGTGTTGCGGTACAGACTGGAACATAGGTTTTTAGAAGCTTCTTCAAATAATAAGAAAATGGGATAACAGTATACATAATACATGTATAGTTATTTACTGAAATTACTGTTTTGAGGCGCGGAAAATTTATTTTTAACAAACTAGGGGGCGTCCATTGTCCATAATGTACGACAGTCTATTTTTTTGGATAGTTTTACCCTTTCTCCTCTCACAAATCTAGGACACCCCCCACCCGCCAAAAAAAAAATAAACTACAACAAAAAAAAAAAAAAAAAACAAAAAAAAAAAAAAAAAAAAAAACCCACACTTTCGAACTAAAAATGTTTTAAAAATGAAGAACTAGTGTAATTTCAAAAACACACTTCGCTGTTAAATTTATAAAATTTACATCTTCTGCCAGAATACACTCAAAACCCGGCAAGCTGAAAAAATTGGGGGGTGTATTCCTTGACGTATGCATCACCCTGACGAGAGAAACCTTCATTAAGAACCCCTGTTCTAAGTATTTCTACAGTTATCTTTATTATTCAGTTTTTAAAAAAATAATTACAGAAATCCACATTTTTTCCAGTTTTAAAATGCTTTGTTATTTTTGTAGGGGTACGAGTACGACTACAGGACATAATCAAACAATTCTTTGACGGCTACGGCGTGAGTCTTAGACGAAAAATTTAGAAATGGAATAGTATGGAAGAGGATGAAAAGGTGTGGTCTTAAAGCTTAAATTAAAGTAAAATGGCCATTAAAAATCTAAGGACATTTAAAGTCGTCGCTGCTCTAATTGTATGCCTCCTTTTTAGTGATTGCTCCTTCTTTTGATAAGTGATATTTTTCTATTTAGTGATCTAAAACTGCACTGGTTAAAACTTACTACTAAAACTTACTACTAAACAGGATATCACATTTCTAAAAACTGTATGATCGTATGATGCTACTATAAACTATAAATTATAAACATAACCATTTATCATTTGTCTACATCAGGGGTAATGGTCGACCCAGAAAATCAAGTTGATTAGCATTTTTATTAGGATATTTTTTATTGTGTGTGTGTGGGGGGGGGGGTGTGCGGGAAATAAGTTTTTAAATCCAGATGAGTATGAGTGCCGTAAAATGGCTAAGACTAAGAAGAACCCCTGCCGGGCATTACATTAAAATAGAGGGTATGAGCAATAATCTCAGAAAATCAAGTTGATTAGCATTTTTATTAGGATATTTTTTATTGTGTGTGTGTGGGGGGGGGGTGTGCGGGAAATAAGTTTTTAAATCCAGATGAGTATGAGTGCCGTAAAATGGCTAAGACTAAGAAGAACCCCTGCCGTGCATTACATTAAAATAGAGTGTATGAGCAATAATCGTGTACAGCTTATTTATTATTGATTTCACAGTGGTTTCCCTTCACTGGCAACAACGCATGCGTCACTACGGTGTTGACATTCCAAACAACATGGCTTCCGAACATGTTTTTGACGATTTGAACCTGAGTACAGATGAGGTTAAACGACTTGGAGAAGCTCTCAAAGATGAGCAGTTTAGGAAACTACTTGTTGAATATGCAGAAGAAATTTCTAACCCTGAGAACAAGCGGAAGGCGGAGGAAGAAATTGCAATGATGGAAAGTGAGCGTGGCATGAATGTGCAGTTCGTACACCCAGCGCCCGGGTATGTTTTGAAGACCACAGTGGACGGATCAAAAAAAGCTTTTATAAATATATGCCAAAATGATAAAATTGATAAACCCAAGTCTGAGAGAAAAACAGGACCTGATGGCAAAAATGGTTTGCTATGGAAAATACCTCATTCTTTCGCCCCTCCAAAGGAAGACCTGGATAAAACAAAGAAAACATGTCAGGTTTTTGATGTTGTGTTCCACCCAGACACTTATCGAATGGCAATGAAAAATGAGAGATTTAAAAAGCTTGTAGAAGATACAGCTTTAGAAGGAATTGAACGTCAATTTGGTGTGACACTTGATAAAAATAACATAAAACGTCCAAAATTAAAATTTAAAGGAACTCCAGTTGCAACAGTGATAAGAGAAAGAAAATCTGATACCAAACCAAATAAAACAGACCCAGATGATATCCTGAATCAAATGCCTTATCCGTATGATTCCAAGACATCAGCAGAAAAAGCTGCAGAGAATGAAGCTAAGCACTTAAAGAAAAAAGCTGGAAAATCTAATAAGAGTGAAAGTGAAAGCAAAGTGGATAATAAGTTTACTGAACCTAAGTATACCATTACTCACCTCTCACATATAGACATGAGTGAATATCGCAATGCTCCTGATGCAAAAACATCCACTCGTCCTAAAGAACTTGTTATAAAAATTGAACTTCCATTACTTAGCTCAGCAGCCCAAGCCAATCTAGATATTTTTGAGAAAAAAATGGTTTTAACTTCTGTTGCTCCTGCAGCCTACAAATTGGACCTGTCGCTTCCTTATCCAGTAAATGAAGATGAAGGATCTGCAAAGTTTGATAAAGCAAAGAGAACACTGACTGTGACTCTTCCAGTCCTTCGAGCCCCAACACCACCTTTACCTTTTGCAGATGACAACAATGCTAAAGATGGGAAATTGATTGAAGTTCTATCTGGTGATGCAATGGTTAAGCAAGGTAACAGTGACAATGCTGAATACCTGAAAAAGGAGCCTAACCAAAGTGCCGATGTTTTTGATAATGAACAAACATTAAGAGCTGATATTGAAATTCTGAATGATAATAATAGAAGAGAAACTCACTTTCCTCAGAACGTCAAGTTTGTACTGCCTGAATACCTATTTTCGCAAGATAATGAGACTGTTTCATTTGTCATAAGAGTTAAAAACATTGAAGCAAAATCTGTTAAGATGTTCTTCCCACAGAATTGCATAGCTATTGTTCAATTCATTTCCTATGGAGCTGGTTGCTTCCCAGTGTACTACTGTCTTTATGTTAGATTCCCTGGACAATGCAGAATTTCTTCTGAGCACTGCAGCGTTGATGTTAGCAATGATAACCTTGTGTTCCTCATCCTTAAACACAAGTCCAGCAGGGGCTTGTGGGACAGCTTTGAAATTGGTGCTCATGAGAAAGAACTTCAAGTAAGTTGACTTACTTAATAAATATTTCTTACACTTACACTAATACATTTGTGTGTTTCATGGTCAAATGGTTTCATGAAATTCTAGGAGACTAATATTTCTTTTGTTGTTTTAAGTGGTATCTTTTCACTAAACATTTTTTTTTTTAACACTAAAAGTGTGATTGTGGTGTCCATGATGAGTAATTAGTAAAATAGTAATAAAATAGTGTCTGTTATCTACAGTGCTTAAAAAAAATTATGTTCTAAATGTTTGTACCGGTACTGTGAAAGTGACAGTTCACTTATATTTTACATTTACAGAGATTAGTTTCTTGATTATAAATTATAGTTCAACACATGGAAAAGCTCAATGAATTTTCAGTTTAACTCCATTGTAATTATATTTTGGTACATTGGTCTTAAACAAGAAATGAAGTTAACAAAAATGGTATTTATGAGCCTCAAAATAGTTGTATTAATAACTGATTTTAATAATTAATAAGAAAACCAGTTAAGACATTAGTTTAAATGCAACCAACATTACTTTATTTTATTGTGCAATACTGCGTACTATACCAATATATAGAATGATATCCCTGAAGTGTTAATAATATTAACATTTTAATAATAAGGTTTCACTGCTCCCGGAAAAGCCAAGTGCTCCCCCCCCCCCGGAAACAAAATTTCTGAAATAATCACTGCTTGTAGTGCATGGTAATTGTAACCCGAAAATGTTCTGTTCGATGTAAGCATTTCTATTGTCTTAGTGCGGGGTGGGTAAGCCGCTCGCCAAATCCAGCCCGCCTTGGGTCCTTATGAATAACTGGACCCACCTAGCCGCCCTATTTAACCGACCATTAGTCATATTATGGCCAAAAGGGAGCCCATACTTTTCAAAGAATACCATACCAATTTATTTTATGTCTCTGTCGATAAAATACCGTATTTATTGGCGTATAACACGCCCCTCAATTTAAGAAGGAAATTTCAGGGAAAAAAACTAAACATCATTTGCCCCCTATTTTCAGGGAGAAAAAGTGCGTGTTATACGCCAATAAATACGGTAGTTATTCATTCATTTAAAAATTGCATTGTTTACCCCCCTATTTTGCGCAAAAAATAAGATGTGATTGTGGGCAGTGTGCATATAAATTCTTTTGAATGTTTTTTTAAGAATAACTATAGTCCGGGCCCCAACAGTTTTGTTTAAAAAGTTTTAGGACCCTTGGAGTAGACTGTAGAAAGAGCTCTTCTCGGTCGATTCGGGATTTATACGTTAAAATCATTAGAATAATAGACTAGGTCACCAAAAAACTTGTCCTTGATTTTTTACATTCTCTTAAACAACTGAATATAATCATCAAATAGTCTGTCCACTTTGCCTAGACTATCTGGAGACGTAACAAACTACTATTTTCCGTAACACTTCTATAACAGTATCCAGCCCATGACATATTTGTGATGTACTGTGTTTATTATTTATACTGCATCATCTTGAGTCAATTGCCAGACGCCAGTCTAGCCACTAGCAGCATCTTCGCCCTCGGCCTCAATCAAGTTGAAGGCCAAACTTTTTGGATGCAGGTTATTGCAGGTCAAAATAAGGCCACTTTTCTGAATTATTTGGTTATCTATGATTCATCATGACTTTCATCAGAAATAAAAATGAAACTGAAAACATTTTCATTAATAATTAATATTTACATAGATGTACCAACATATTTTTTGTCTTAACATGATCGATTCATAATACATAGGCGTACATTAAAATGTGGTGGGCCTAGGTTCAAAATATAAAATGGTGTATGATTCATGATTCATGATCATAATCATAATGTCATAATCAATCCCAAGCCAAATCCAAAATTTTAATATTAATCACTGATCACACACAAACCCCCCATATATATATATCGCTGTAACGTTAATATAACAATTTAAATTAATCAATAAAATTAAGACAAACTGGTTCTTTGCTATTTATTGAAAACACATGTGTCACCTCAGCTCTAGACAAGACTAACTGAAACTGACCCGTTGCATCATGAATGGCATGGAATATGAAACAATGAAAATGAAACACTATTGTTTTTTCTAACACTAATGATTTTAAAAATATGTTTGAATCTTAAATAGAAATATAAAACCAAAATAAAATATCCATATTCATATATCAAGAAAATGCAATTGTGAGTACATATTAATTCTCAACATTGTACACATTGGACATAAAACCTTGTTAAATTATTATTAGACTAACTGAAACTGACCCGTTGCATCATGAATGGCATGGAATATGAAACAATGAAAATGAAACACTATTGTTTTTTCTAACACTAATGATTTTAAAAATATGTTTGAATCTTAAATAGAAATATAAAACCAAAATAAAATATCCATATTCATATATCAAGAAAATGCAATTGTGAGTACATATTAATTCTCAACATTGTACACATTGGACATAAAACCTTGTTAAATTATTATTATGGCCTTCGCGAAAATCAACATTCTGGGGAAGGCCACGACACAAATAGCACAACCACGTGGTACAAGCTAATACATTACGGGAAAGGCCGAACATTCGCGTAGCTTCCCTTCTTGCTGAGTGTATGGTTATTCCTTAGCCTTAACGTTTAAGTTTATGGATATTACATTTTTTTGCATTATTTGAAGACGTCTATATTTTCTACACCATCAATTTATTGGCATTTTTGCAAACGTGTAATAAATTCCTTACATCAATAAAATAATCAAATAATAAAATATAAATAAATAAGGACTACTTTTAACAAGCGATTCAGCGGCTGATAACAATAACAACAGTGACCTAATTACCCCGTCTTGGTCTCATGCAATAAGTTCTTCCACTGCTTGTTTGCAAACAAAGTGATAATCAGTGAAATATATTGCTTGGAAAGTAAGTTAAACGTTTCCTGCTTTCATTTATTAGTTCATATTAGTAATTAGCAGAAAATTCAATCTTATTTATTGTCGTGCATGGTGCATTTGGGTCATTTGTCATTTTGGAATACAATAAAAAAATATCCCTACTATTTTTTAGGTTAGGTAGGTTCATTTAATTGGCAATGGCAATAGTAGTAGTAGTAGGTTCACTCTTCGGTCACAGTCTGAGTCACACTCACAACTTGTCACAGTGACTTTATGATTTGACTATACGACTGAGTTCCCCTTCTAATTTTTAAATATCAAAAACGTTTGTAGACTTTTTTGTTTGTTTTTGTTGGCTTGTTGAAGCTCATTGTTATTGGCGAAAATAAACCGATTGAAAAGCGTGAACACAACTGTCGTGTCGTTACACATTAATTTTTAATCACTCATTACCGGTATCTCATTCTCATGACACTTGTGCACATTGTCAGTTTCATCATCCCTGTGGAGCTACAGCCGTACAGCCCATTTAGGGCTTTTGCCTACCACATTTGTCAGTTCACCATCATCTATATTAGTCTATATTCCTAGGCTCTTTGGCTTTGGAGGACAAGTTTGATATTTGTGTTATTTACAATTTAATTAATTACATTTTTTAGGTCTCTTAATCTTGTCTTGGCAATTGACAAAACTACCTGTACCCCTTTCACCAAAATTTTATTTATGATTATGCTCAACATTTATGTCCCTGGTCCTTAAAAATATCCTCCCTAGGCCTTAGACCAGGGTGGCCAACCCTAAAGGTTTTGCATGTCCTTACACCTTATATATTTAATTAATAATAAAAAAAAGCAAAACACACACACTAAATGATGTATATATTTGTTTATTATCTCCTCTTAATTCACATGAAATGGTATCATTTTTATCTATTCTGCCACAATATTTGACATGTGTGGGCAGTGGGTTGTCCTCCTTTGACTATACCTTAATTAAGTTTATTTGTTGTTGAAGAAGTTACATATTTTGTCAGAAGATCTCAAACTGGTCGGGGAAGCCACAGCATCCTTACAGGAAAAAAATATTTGCTATTTCAGAGTGCACATGTTAGAATTTGACATAAGGCGCTTGGGAAAACCTGGATGCAGCAAGGTCACATCAGACTAAAATAATTGGTGAAATGTCTGGATTATGTAGTATTTAATTATTTTAAATAGATTGAGCATGACGATAAACTTAATATAGGAAATCCAAACTGAAATATTAACTTTTATTTAGTTTAACATACCCATTTGCTTAAAATCTCATAGTGATTTTACAAATGCATAAATTTAAGATCAGCATATTTAGGTCATTTGAACAGTAACTAGAATTTTTCCAATAAATATATAAATTCTCTATGTTATATGGCAGAGATTTCCAAATGATGTGTCCTGACTTACTAGTGTGTCGGCTGCAAGGTGTATGTGTCATTGAAAACTAAGCCATACCAACTTTAACACATTTTTTAACATCAAAGGAAACAGCATGGCATTCAAGGGCTTTAACTTTCTGGCTCATGCAAGTTTATGATGTATCCCCTCTTTTCCTAGATAGAAACACACTGGGTTGCAACTTAGTTTTCAATGGCCAAATTCATTTATTGAAAAAAAAATGTGTTCTTTTGTAGTGTTTTCCATTGTTTGGTCTCATAATTATTTTACATTTTAATGTGACAACTAGCATAATTTTCCCTGGCTTTTAAAGGTGTGCAAAACATGATTTTTATTTGCATTTAACTGCCAGTAAGTAACCTGGATAAGTTACTAATTAAGAATAAAAAGTCTGGGGAAGATAACGTTTGGGTTTTAAAAAATTTCGTCAATAGAAAAAAACAGCTGTTAAACAGCCTGTAATAGTAATTGGTCAAAAAAACAATCCTAGTGTAATTAGTCTAAAATTCTGATGGCTTCTCTTTTTTCGTATCATCTTAATTAATAACCCGTTTAATGTTTCCCAACAACAAGGCTGACGTTTAGGCACAAAAGTTATCATTTCAAGTATACAGTGGTTCCTCAGTATATGTCCTTAATCCATTCCAGATTTTTGGACAAATACCAAACGTATTTTTCCCATAAGAAATAAAGGGTAATAATTAATCCGTTCCCATGAAAATAATCAGATTGTGATTGGCATATTATACATTTATTGATGTGGTTGTATAAAATAATTTAAACACTGCTTTATACTAAAATACATAAATAAAAAGAACTTAGGTGAAATAAATGAAAATTTAACCTCACTTTACCTTGGTGAGAAGAGTCAAGTGCTCACTAATATGGTGCTGAAAACGAGGAGATGTTATTGTTTTGAAGGAGAGTCCGCTTTCAATAAAACTTCAAGAATATGACATTCTGTTGTTTTTTTCTTTTTTCTGTCTCTTTTCCATAGTTAACCCTGGTTGAGGCTCACCAAGTTTGACTTTTACTAAAAATCTGTCTAAAGAGCTTTGCTTTTGACTTCTCCTCAGGATGTTTCGAAAATGCTATTACGATTTGTTTGAGCTTTGTTGGGGTGGTACTTATCTGCGAAGTTTTTGACATCCATCCATTTAGCAAAGATTTCCGTGATTAATGAAGTATGAGCTTCCTCCATCTCCTCCCCCTCAGAGCCTGAGGAGAATGAATGCATCCATCCTAGTCTTTGCGCGATGTGTCATTTTGACACATACAAGTTCTAGCATGCATGCGGGTCGTATTCCTAACAAAGGACATATACCAAGCCAAATGTTTCTCGTCCAAACAGGATGTATACCAAGTTTGACTTATTCCAAAGCAGACGTATACCGAGGTACCAATGTATATCGAATCTCTGTAACCAAAAAATTTTGTATGCATAGTTGAATATTTTCATTGTTACACCTAGTAAAGAAATAGTGCTTATAATTTTCCTAAACCTAGTTAGGAAATATTTAAAATAAAAAAAAAATAAAAAAGCAAGGGATGTGTAATACGCTTTTCAGACAAACACAAAAGCAGGACTCAATCCCATGTAGGTTACTTGTCATATTTAGTTATTGCTTAGAATAGGCCAACAAGATGATGTAATGTGTAATGACAGAGTTGTACAGATAACAGTTATTGATTTCCTGCTTGCCCTACCATTACTTTGCAGATTATTTCATTCCTGGTTGGAGGCTTGAATGACTTTCAGCTTAGGCAGAAAGGAACTCAACTTTTATGCATAGCTTGTTACTTTTATAGAGGTGATTTTATTTTGGATATCATTCTAAAAATAATTGAATCAATTTTTTCTGGTCTCGGGTAAATTTCAGGAAAAACAAAATGATTATAAAATCATAGAATTTAGTACAAACTTTCTAGTCCCAGTTATAATGCATGAAAACAAAATTCATTTTAAATTAAATCATCGCTATAGTTTTTAACATTTGCTTGGCTAATATTTGGCCAATAGTGGATGGGGCATTGAATGCTGATTATATTAAAGTCTTACTTTTTCCATAATCCATCTGAAACCCTTGATACATTACTTCCATTTTCTACCTAGATAGGGATTTTATTCTGTGCCTAGAGCACATCTGGTTTTTTCACAATCGAGTGTCTTACAAAACAGCTTTCATTGTGTCAGGTTGGCTAAGATTTATGAAGGCTGTCAAATGAGGTAGGCTCATTTTGTGCTATAAACTTTTAAAGCCACTTCCTTACTGATGTATTTTGCGACCCTTTTACATGATATTATGTTCTTCTCAATGACACTGACAGATTGCCAGTTAAAAACAAAAAGTTATATTTTATCATGGATTTTGTATTCAGGGTTTTAATAAAAAGACAATGATGGGACTTGTCTATTTTTCATATTTAAGGTTTACAAACAATGTACATTCTATTTTGAAAATATATTACTAAACTATTTTGCAACTCTTGGTTAAATCCCTCAAACAACTTTGACACCTGGGTTTGCTTTGTAGGTCCACATTTAAAAAAAAAAATACTTGATAATAAATTATGAGCAAAAATCTTCATTTTTAACAATTGCAATTTATATGGCAGCAAACTGTTAGCCTCTGCTTTCCTGGCATGAACTTTGGAAATGCTTCAAAAGTTTTAAAATGAAAGTGTTTTTATACAAACTATATTAATATACTATTTGAATTGGTCAATAAACCTGTTAAAATGCAATGTTTAAAAATCCTGTAAGAGATTAGTTGTCTTTTAATTTTAACATTCTTCTATCCGGGGAAGCTTGATAAAAATGAGCTCAAAGAATTTCAACCAACTGGATAGACATTGCTTGTGTTGATCAACCAACTGGATAGACAGGCATTGCTGGTGATGAGTTGAAAAATGGCTTACAAATAAATTAATTATTTTAAACAATTGAAAGTAGGGCAATTAAAGCAGTAAAAGTTGTAAAAAAAAACAGAATCAAATTATTAACTTATGTACTTTTTGAGCTACAAATTTTTAAAGTGCGAGTTCGTTTGGTATTTTCTGCTATGGACGAAGCCTCCACATTTTGTGACCTTATTCTGCTGATAGTGTCTTGCGCAATGACTATATAGTTTTTATATGGCAACGCATCCCCTTATTACTAAAATACTATTTAGAAACTACTTATTTTGAACTTTTAACTTTTGCACATGGCAATTATGAATGAAACTCTGACGTAGAACCACGACATAGCCATTATGCAAGTGACCGTGAATGGCTGCCCTTGGCAACGTTTTGCACACAGCAAATTATGATAATTTATAATATGGACTCTATCGGGTTTTTAAACCTTGAATTAAAACATATTTATTTCAATTACTTCTGGGGTTCATTCTAAAACACAAGTCCTGTATTTTGAGAAATAAATAATTATTTTTAATTATTAAAAACTTGTTTATTTGTTGTTTGCTATTTCTTCTTGTGGAGATCAAAAGCCAGCGATTGGTCATGGGGATCAAGATAACCGAGGTTAAGTGGCAAATTAGGCCACCTTTTGTGCTTGAGATATCAGATCAGGGTTCGGCGTCATAAAAGAATCGAAATAACCGGGGAGAAAATGCTAAGAAAAGAGAGAATTAGTCAGTTCCACTTCAAAAACGTTGACATAACAGGGTTGGCGAGTTAACTGAGGTCAAGATAAGCGGGATCAACAGTAGTAGCATTCTTACACTAAACATACAAAACAGTGGAGAATCATTAGTAGCATTCTTACACTGGATATACAAAACAGTAATATCCTTTACTGAATTCATCTTTTATGTGGCAATGTTTCTCATTATTCCTCTTTGTAGTGCTTGGAATGTAATCTGTGCCACAGAAATGAATTATGTGATAAAACATACAAACAAATTTGGTGTTCATAAAAAAATCTGAACAATGCAAAAAAACTTGTTAAAAAAATACTTTCTTTTTACTCCACAGACACAGCAGTTTCTTACTGAAAGTAACCTTCAGAGAGAATTATCTGACCTTGACAAAGCAGCAGAGACAAGCATGCCTGTCCAGGTAGACAATAAACCAGAACTGACTGTGGTTAAGATGGATGAAACAAAACTTACTATAGATATCAAGGTTGGTTATGCGAAAACTACACTATAAATTACACTTTATTTTTATTTTAAAGATGTCATTTCCTCAAGGTCTTTAAAAAAAAAATTGTTTGTTGGATCTAAAGTTTCATGTCTTTCATTCATACATGTTTAATTTATTTGTAGATTATTGACTACAAATAAATGGAATGGTTGTTGTATGTAAAAAATATGAACTTTAGTTAGATACACATAATTAACTTACTTAAAAGTTAATTCTTTTAACCTCCTTCAAAAATGAATCAACTGTTTTTGCATTTCCACGCAGCCACCAAAGTCAAAGAAATACAAGCATGAATATATTGAAGATGAGGGAATTGAAGATGAAGAGTATGATCCGCCTTCGTCTGCAGAAATTGAAGTTGTTCATAAGCACCCAGCCCCAAATCTCCACAGCATTCTCAAAGCTCGATCCCCATCTGAGTCTAGTGAGGAGGTTGTTGTCATGGACCCCGAAAGTCCTCGGTCTGAGGGCGAGGAGCTCTCTTCTTCTTACACCAAGAAGAGATCCGTCTCTTTCAGCAACCATGTTGACCGGGCATCTTTCAAATCATTTGCTTCAGTGTCCAGCATGACACCGGCTCTGAAGAGCAAGCGACGTAGGCAGCGAAAGCGAGAGGAAAAGAAAAATGGTAGAGTTAGGCGCACGAGCGAGGGCACCAGCAGCAGTGAGGAATGCCTCCAGATAGGTGATTCCTACTCTTTCAGTGAAGGGGAAACGTCTGATAAGTTAGTGGATAGAAGCAAGGTGATGCTGTCTCGCACCATGTCAGACCCAGGCCCCAACACACTTGTGCCCGAATTGAGTGGGAAGAAAAATGGTAAAAAAGGAAAGAAAGGGAAAAAATTGGAGAAAGGTTCAGGTGAATCAGAATCAATACCACAAGCTGCAGATGTTCTTGATTTTAGGACTAGTAAACCAATCAATGAGCACGTTGAGATATTTTCTTTAAGTAATGTGGTTAACGGTGTGCAGGGAACAAATGGGAGCTGTGCTGAAGATCATATTGACCCCTTTGATAGGGACGCCAAGATAAGGGAGAATTTGGTGCCCAATGATGAGAATAACAAGAGGAAAGATGCTGAGAAAAACAAGAAAATAATTTCAGAGATCAAGAATAAGCTTGCCGGTGGAGACGCCAGCAGTGAGAAGGCAGCAAAAGGCTGTGATAGTGATGATGATGACTTTGTTGATGCTGTCAGTTCTATGACAGAGGAGTTTGATGAAAAAGTTGCATTCATTGATGTGAATGGGGATGTTGACAAAGGCAGGGATGAGTCGGGGGGAAAACAAGTGATGGAAGTCAGAGATGAAAAAGTTTCAGGAGAGTTTATCAAAGGTGACAAGAATTCTATAGAGGGCTTGAGTAAAAATAATGTTAAAGAGAAGCCAGATGTGGAAACCATGCTGAGTTGGGAGGAATGTCCGCAAGTGAATGGTGGTGAGCATGTGACTCAGTGTGATGTTGAGTTCACCAACACCATGATTTATGAACTTGACTTTGACTGAATATCTTTCATGTTATGATTCTATCATCCAAGTAGATCTTTCTACCCCGAGGGATTTAACATTAAAAAAAAGTAGATTTGAAAAAAACTTCATTAATTTTAGATTTTATTAGAGCTTAAAAATATTGACTAAAAAAACCATACAATTTAAGTAAACTTTTCTTATATTACCGATATATAATATTCATTTACTTTTGTATTGTATGACTTCCAGATGAGTATTAAAAGTTGTATTTCTCAATGAGGAATATATTTTCCACTCACAGCAGTCTAAAAATTATTAATGAATTCATTTATGGGATTTTTTTGTGTTCAATCAAAACAAATTGCATCTTGATTTACAAAACAGCAGCTTTTTCATTTCCAATGTTTTTTTCTTCTTGTTTCTTTAAAATAGTTCACATTACTCAACTTTCAATGTTTATTTTAATGCATTGTTTAAAAAAGGAAATGATTTTGAATTTCATTCTTTCTCCTTTTTTAATGTTTATTTTTTATGTAACATTTATTGTTACTGGTTTTTCATGAAAGTTGAAGTTATCAGTACTTTTCAAAAGTATTAGGGAAAAACAGACTTTGTCCACATTTTAAAAGTGCGTTTTTACAATCTTTTTGTAATTTTTCATGAATTTTTTAAAATATATAATTTTGTTCCACTTTGCTTCAGTGTTACATCATTGTTATATCATTTTTAAAACCTTAGAATTGATTAAAACAAAATGACTCAAGGTGTTAACGTCAAGAAGTCTTAGTGGGAAGTTCATGTGTTGTTAGCGTCAAATGAAAGCAGAATGAGGGGTTGAATGCAACACGTCACAATAATATTAGTTGAAAATTTCATCAAAAGTCATTTCAGAATTAACATTTAATGGATTATGTGATTGTATCTTCCAGCGTCACTTCAAATTCTTTTGGCAGTGAGTTCAATATTATGTTTTATTTATTTAAAAGGAATTTTTTTGTTGCTAATTTTGGCATTGCTGGTGAACTAAGCTAAGTCTGCACGTACCATCAAGAAGTGCTTTCTGAATGATGGGTCGGTTAGTCCTGTTTTCCTTACGTAAAAATAACCATTATGACAGCTTGAAATTCAGATCAACTTAAAAAAATACCTGACTTGTAAAAAGTTTAGAGGTGTAAAAAGTAATGGGGTATAGAGAAATTTGGAATGTTAAGTACAGTGAGTTTTGGGTATTGACATGACGTAAAACCACAGAAAGATAAAGCCCCTTTATCATGATTTTCATTGGCTGAAAATATTTATTGTAAATAATCAAAATCTGCATACACAGTGCAGATCTATTACTATTAGTTGTGGATTTATTAGAACTAACAGTTGTAGTACAAGGAGAATCTTTTTTGACAACCACTCCAACTTAAAGCCACTTTTGTTAACTTTTTTGTCTAAAAATACGTTGAGGATCTCCCGTCCTATTTATTAATTGTGTTTATATCAGAGTGCATAAATATATCTCTAAGCTGCGTGACATTTTCTCTTTAGTTTACAAACATTTTATATTGGTATAATGTTGACATTATTCCACTTGGTGCATAAGTATACTGGTTATTTCATGTGTTTATTTGTTGAGGTAATGATGTCGCTTTTTCAAGAGTTATTATATAATTGAAATATATTATTATTATGCCATCCCGTGAGATTTTAATCTCTATCTTAGAACAATCTAGTAACCTGAAGGAATCCGCTAAAACAGTGAAGTTAACATTTAAAGCTATGTCATTCAATTACAAATTCATATTTTACATTTTGACCAAATTATTTTTTTAAAAAGCTCTATTCATAGAACTTAAGTAGTTCTTTGTATAATATACATTTCTAAGGCAAATGTGAATCAACTCCTGATGAAATTATTAGTGAAAAGTAAATAGAATGAAATGTATTTCATGATTCTGTTTAAGATTTCTATACATTCTCATTTAGTGATTTTTTTTTTCCTTTTGAAGTTGTATTTTATTATGTAAAATACCCTTAAAAAATATATAAAAAATTGTTTTTTAAATTATATTGAATTGTTGAGAACTCCCTTCAAAATAAAAGATGAAATGGATGTTTCATTGTTAACATGAGTTTTTAAAAATGTCTGTTTAAATATCTATGTTTTGTGTTAAAATAATTGAAACTTAAAACCAACCATAAACTTATCCTTTACACATGCTTCTGTTGAAAGAAGCTCACTTGGTTTCCATTATTTAAACAAATTTACAAATGTGTAAAATGATTTTAACACCAATGCAGCTCACACAATTTTATTGTAAATTTTTATTTTTCACTTATCATTTACATCAACATTTACATAGTCCAATACATATGGAAACAAAATACAATGAAAATTATAGGTTTTATTTTATCTACTAGAAATTCACCAACAGTGATCAAAGTGTTATGTTTATTTACAAGTATTTTTTTTTTTTTTTTTACAATTAATTGAACAGTCCTGTGTGGGTAGAAATTCATCAGTTTATTTTCCTGCTCCACAACTCGTGAGAAGAATCTCTGAAACAAATTTCTAATTTTGTAGTGGTCAATGTACATCATTTAAAATGTTTGGAATAGGCACCAACATAGCATAATTAATCCCTCTCCTCAATGACTATAATTTAGTATGACAATAAGTAACACAAGATCCCTTATAAAGAAACAACATCCTGTTATTTATATGCTGAATGCATTATTGTTGAGTAGATTTAATTTAACAAAAACTTTAAATGTTTTTAAATGAAACGGTACATGTGAACAATCAAATCAATGAGCTTCTGTTAAATCTTTTAAATGTTATTTTGATTATGTTCATTTCATTCAATTAAATTTGTAACAGAAAAAATATTTCTTCAAGCAAAAGTGTTTCAAGGTCTTAACCATGATTTTGTCATAAGTATTTTGACAATTTTTTCCAGCAATACACCATACAGGAAAATAATTATTGTTAACCATGACTAAACCCTAGAAGCAAACACTAACATGTTTAGCCTTGTTAATGTATGCAGTTAATTATAATAGTTTTTACACATTCACTTAAATCAGTCATTTAACAGACAGAACTAAAAAAAAAATAAATAAATGTCTAAGCAAATTAATTCTAACATTTGATGAATGAGGCACAAAAACAAAACTACCGACAGCTTTCTTTACTTACAAGGCAGTGATGGCGCATTTTAAAAGAAGTTATTTGTAATGCCATATTCACCACACCACTTCAGGAAATAAAAATAATAGGCGTTTGTACGACATTTAGATGGAGATCTTTCACACAAACAACCCTGAATTTTTTTTAAATGATTTACAAAACTTTTTTTAATGATTTAAAAAACAAAACTATTGTGGAAATTTAAATTTAACATAAAAATTAGGGTTTTAGATAGTTTGTTGACCTTTAAGAAAAAGTAATCCCAAACTTACCAAAATGCCTCATCAAGTTTACTTAGCATACATGGTGATAATTAACTACAAGGTAATGTGTGCACAAAGTAAAGACATTGTCACTCATTCAAAAAAAAAAAAAAAAAAAAGATAAATCTCGCACAGCAAGAATTTGCATGTGTTTACTTACTTGGAACAAAAATGTAGTAATCACAACTATGTACACTCCCACAAACCTAATAACTCTTATTGACACTATGTACAACGGTGATTGATCTGTCTGGATCAGCCATCATGAAATTGCAGATATTTCCGTAAAATTATGACAATAGAAAAACTAAATAAATGTTTCTAATGTTATCTACACTGAATTATGTATCCAATTTAATGACATGATAGTGTTGTATGGGACTTCTTGCCAAAGCATATCAATCTTTAAAGATTTATTGTTATATTAAGAATGAATATCTTATTTGAATACAGTGATACTTTAATCATTAATGTTCTATGTGGAAAAAATTATCTTTAGCAATTCTTTTGAACATTTATTATTTTAAAAAAAAAGAAAAAAAGTTTTTTTAAAAATACAAAAGGACTGTCAATTTTTTGACTGCATATCTCAAATTAGTTATTATTTCTCTACCAAAAATTAGGAAACTAATAGAAGCTGAAAGTGTTAAGGACTGACACACCTTCGATACAGATTTTAATGAGGCCATTTCAGAAATTAAATATAAAAATCAAGTTGTTATTAACTTGATCATATTTAAAACCCTTAAATCAACAAATACTTATTAGGGGTTAGGAAGAGGAGATGAAAAGGGTGTTTTAGAAGGGTAAAGATGAAATCAGCAGTACAATAATTCATTTTTGAATTCATAATTTGGGTCACTATATTCCCAGATTTCTATCATAAAAGTGTAACAGATAATATGCTATCACAAAAAGTCATTAACACAACAGTCTGCAACCACAGAAATTTACTAATGCAAACGAATCTTTCAAATTTGAAAATGAAACAAAACAGTAAGAAATATAACAACGTGAAACTAATAAACATGTGGACCAGGAGACTTTTTTTTTTTTTTTTTTACCCTTTGAAGGCATTTACTTGATTATAGTAACAACTACAGCAAATGTTGTTTACATCATTATAACAAGACCAAATAAATGATTTTAAGAGAATACATTTTTTTATCACCTGTAAATTTGTCAACATACAAAATTTCAAATTTGAAAATGAAACAAAACAGTAAGAAATATAACAACGTGAAACTAATAAACATGTGGACCAGGAGACTTTTTTTTTTTTTTACCCTTTGAAGGCATTTACTTGATTATAGTAACAACTACAGCAAATGTTGTTTACATCATTATAACAAGACCAAATAAATGATTTTAAGAGAGTACATTTTTTTATCACCTGTAAATTTGTCAACATACAAAAGGTCGAGCTGCCTTAAATTATTCAAAAGATACACACATAAATTTCTTCTTGACATATTCAACAACCAACATCCATATTTTCAATATGATTATATTCATACTGTGCCAAAATTTAGACAGAATGAGACCTAAGATATATTATGATGTTACTACAGTTGAAAGGAATACATTTTGCTCTATAGCTCATCTTGTAACGATTACATTCTTTATAAAAAAAATCATTGTGTCTCGTATTCCTCTATGAACATACATCAAGAGACCTTGTAAAGAAGACCAACTTCCCTTATAGAACCACTGATCTAAGATATGTTAATAATTTGAAAAACTAATCCAGTAGCAAAAAAAAAAAAAAAAAAGAATTAATTGTCTCTATTTTTTGGTAGCTCTGTTAATGACCCAGTAGAAAACAACAGACTATCATCCAATGTAGTTTTAAATAATAAAATGTTTGAAATGTATATTCTTAATACAAAAAAAAAACGGTCTGGTACTTCATCTGATACACCCCCACCCTTACTTTGGACAGTTTATATACTATACAGTAGTCAATTATTTTCCCTTATGTGCAGATTAATCCTATACATCTGTGCCACAAATACTTTTATTATTTTTGTATACTATTTTCTAGTTAGAAATTTTTAAAATTGATTAATTGCATGAACATTCAGTGTTCAAAATATTTTTTTTTAAAAATCTGTCACATTGCTCAAAACGGAATGAATTTAATTTAATCTATGATTAAAATACAATATCTATTACAAAAGCTTTGAACATTTGAATTTACATGTAATTCAAAATGAGCTATATATTTGTCTTATAAGGTTAAATGCATAAATTTTAAATAGATAAATAGCTATTACGCCTCATAACGGTACCCCAGTTAACAACTGTTATTAGATCCTCCATGGTATTGAATATTTCATTTTTTAATATTTGAGCCAACTTTTAAAAATTTGACTTATGTCAACTGAGTATGAATGCAAAATCGATGCCATTCCTCTATGCACATGTCCCTATGTGCAATAATCATATGTTCCATGAGTGAAATGGCTCAAAGTCACTGCACTTACTTCTGTAAAAGACAGTTGAAAATGAGGACCAAACATTATGAACTCTGTACACATCACTTAAGTTTAAGCTTAATTGAGTTTTTAAGAGGAGGGAGAAAGCCTGTTGCATTGATGGGTTGTGGACTTGATAGATCTGAAAGTTCATTGCTAGGATGATGGTCTACATGCTGAAGAGGAAAAAAAGAATATTAAAATAGTTTTTAAAAAATCTATGTCAGGAGAAATAATATAAATAATTTTTACTTATTTCCAAATTGTATAATAAAAATAGATGAAAAAAAAAGTATAGACAGCATTGCATTGGACAAGTCACAAATAAATGAAAAAGAAAGGAACTATGATTGTACCAATGTGATACATAAAGTGCAAAAGCAAGCTGATGCTTTCTTACCTTATTGGATATAGATTTTGTTGCTGCATCAGAAAGAGATGGCTGGTGCTGTTGTGAGGACACAAAATGCTGTGATGATGATGTTAAAGAAGATGAAGATGTGGTTGTTAATGACTGTTTTTCATCAACCTGCATTGGTGAACCTGGAATCTGATGAAATAATATTAAATCTTATTCAAAAGATCTCACCAGGAATTTCATAAAAAGTAGTGTAAGTAAATGCTTATGGCAGATGAAAACTGTTTTTAGCACTTGCTGAAAAATGATAAATAATTGGAACATCATATCCAAAGGTCTATGCTTTGTGGCATACCTTACAAAAAAAATTACATTTAAATAAGCTCTGAAGCACATACTTGCTGCTCTAAGTCTTTAGGTTTTTTTGGAGGAGTATCATTTTGAAAAGGAGAGCCAGGTCTTTTTGAGGCTGCATCTGGTGTACTGTCATGAGATGACGGACTTCCCTAAAGAGAAAAAAATATATAAACAAGTGTTATTTCTACAAATAAAAATACTTTTGTATACAATGAACAAATTATTTATCATGTAAATAATATTTTGTAATTAAAAGTGACAAATCAACTTTCACAGATAGATACAATGTTGTTAAGTGGAAGTTAAATATTGATATGCTTACATCTTTTCTTGGGATATTGATAAAAAAACTTTAATTACAGATATTGGGATATGCAAGTAGAGGATTAACCTAATTTTGATTGATAAGGGTACTTATGAGTAGGTTACGTAAATGTAGGCTCTGATGTAATACAAGCAGTTGAAAAAGCATAACAAAAATTGACGTAAATAAATGTGGGTTAAAAAAAGTACAATTTAAAAAATTACCACAGCATTTTCTGATTTATCCTCTAACTCATCATCCTTATTAACAGTTCCGGCATTTGTAGATGATTCCTCTGAATTCCACTGCATGCTTTCTGGGTCTGATGCAACAGGACCGTTTGATGTTGCTACAGTGTGTGTGTCAGAGCTTGACTCCTGAGAGGTGTCATCATCCTCACCAGTTGTAACAGCCTTTGTGATCTCTGCACTTATATCAGCTTTACCTGCTGCTGGAACAGTAGATGCAGAACTTCCACCTTTTTCTGTACTTGGACGTCTGGCATTGCCAGATTGTTTAAAACTATCATGCTGAAGAAAAAGGAATATTTCTTAAATAATTTGAAAGTTCTCTTGAACTCAAATACAGGATTACTAAACTACACTATTCTCTTTACAGAAAATTGATGAAAAATGAATTTACAGATACTTACTCGTTTCCTTGGCTTTCCATGATTTAAAATTTGTTGAGATACAAACTGAGGCAAATGCTTTCTGAAAAAGAAATGAAGGGATACAACTCTCTATAAAAATGTAATAAACTTTTTTTTTAAACTGCAAAATTATTATTTTAACAAATCCAGGGGGAAAAAAGTTATTTAGAGAATAGCCTTTTTATTACACCTTAGTTCATTCACTGGTTGTCAAAATGGACACACCTGGTCACAAGTCAGTGCCGGACTTATGTACAAGCTAAGTAAGTTACAACTTAGGGCCTTGCAATCTGGTATAGCTACTGATGGTGCCCCGGCAATTATAGGTAAATAGGTAAAAGAGGTGGAATTGTAAATATAAAAGGAGATGATGCATTTACCTCACAAAATTTACGTTTGATGAAGTATCACTGCATGGTACAACACCAAAATTTATTTGCAAAAGCTTTAGAGACTGACTGCAGATTGTCATCAAGGTTTTGAATTTCATGGGGGAAACAAGGATAAAATCATCACCAATTCCACAAAATTACTTATATTTGTGGATGCTGACTTTGGGGACATTGTTTACTTTTTGGAAGTAAGATGGTGAAGGCTGGGTAAAATGTTGAAAAGATATGATATGCGAAATGAAATAGTTTGTGCAAAAACTGACGACTTGAAATGGTTCACAAATTTGGCAATTTTAGTTGACTTGACTACCCATTTAAATGGCTTATTAAAAATGCATATTCAAGGTGAAAACCAACTGATGAATACAATACTTGAAACTATAACAGCATTTGAAATGAAATTATGGCAATCTCAAATAAGGAAAACTATTGTTTGCATTTAGACACATTGGCTAAACACAGTCCTTTGCGAAACAAAAAATATGCAGCCTACTTTTTAATTTGATACAGGAATTTAAGAACAGGTTTCAAGATTTCTGTAAAAATCTTTAGGGGTATTTGCAACTTCATTTTCATTCAAAATAAACATATTACCTGCACATTTTCAAATGGAATAAATAGTTGCAATCTCAAGTTCAAAATTATGAATAATTTCATGTCTCTTTACTAGCTTTCTACATATCTTCCACACAAAATATGCTATGCTTCATAATTATGAATTGCATATTTGTGAGCAGCTATTTTCAAGGATGAAGCACAGGTACAATTAAATAGAACAAAAATATCTGATTAGCTCCTTGAGAACTCTCTGAGAATTGCAACTACTTCCCACAAACGAAACATCAACGCATTAGTGTCTCAAAAACAATGTTAATCATCTAACTAATTTCATGTTGCTGTCATGTCTTTTACTTTTAAAACAAAAAATTAACAATATAATATTCTATGGTTATATTTTGGTGTTCATCTGCTATCCTTAATGTTAGTGTATTTTATATGAGGCCTAAAACAACAAGACTTCTTCCAATATGGCCCAGTGAAGTTAAATGGTTGGACACTCCTGATATGTCATATCATAAATATTACTTTCTATAAATTCTAACATTAATCTGTTTAATCATCAAGTATAGTAAACTTGGCATGCCACAGCACATGAGACATTCTCGTAAGAAAAGCATTGAATATTAGCAAACAATAGGTAACCTGTATGCCCCTTCTTGAACAAGCGTCAAAAATTACAATCTGCCTATCACCCTGCCATCTTGAGTATTAGGCTTTTGGGAGGGCGACAGCAGATTCTACTGGCACCTAGATGGTTAACTTATATGAACAAAGTTTTATGCATCATAGCATTAGATTGGCCGTACAGAAAAAAAACAACAAACCCTAGTTGATTTCTTCTTTTAAAACAACATTAAAACTAAGCTTAGAGTCAATAAAAACTTTAATAATAAATAATAATAAAAAGTTTATTACTTACTTTCTTACATACTGAATCTCAACTTTCATTCCTTCTTTGTACAAATTTATATGAATTGCTTGCTTATGCACTATTCAAAACAAGAAGAAAAAAAAAGAATAAATAATATTTTTTAAAATATTTTAATTTCAAAACAAAAATTATTTTTTTGTGGTAAAAGATATCAGTGCTTTCTATATATAGTTTTTTTTTTTATTAGAGTTGTCTATTTTTCAAAAAAAAAAAAAATTAATAAAAACTCATATCTGTTTTTGTTAATGTTTTTACTTTTAATATTTTTGCTCTTCGGTTTTTTAAAAGATATCTGTGCTTTTTATATATAGTTTTTTTTTTTATTAGAGTTGTCTATTTTTCAAAAAAAAAAAAAATTAATAAAAACTCATATCTGTTTTTGCTAATGTTTTTACTTTACATATTTTAATTAAATAATTACTTTCTAAAGCAAGGCACAATAAATTATTATGCAATTTAACACTTTAAAATTACTGGCATAGACATTTGTTCATCTGTCTTTTAAAGTCTTTTTTGTGTTCCAGGTATTAAGCACAGAGAAAAATGTGTATTTTTATAGGCAATCAATTATACTTACCAACATCTGAAAATGACTGTATATCATAGGTGAGATCCACATTTGCCCCTGGTTGTGAACCCTGATGAACAAGCCCAAACACAAGACCAATGAACCATTTACACATGTATTGACCCTCACTGAAAAGAAGATAAAAACACATAATTTACTTTACTGATTTCACTCTGAGCTGCTAATTTATGAAGGATTATTTTTAACAATATTAATTTTGCCTATTAATATTTAAAAGTAACATAATTAATGAGTATAATAAAAATATGAATTAAAAATGAATTAACCTTTCATTAATAGGACCATAAGATGTGGGCATGATATGTGCTAGCTTTATGTTGGGATTCCTCTCTAAGTTACCGACTAAAAGACGGATTTTAGACTCCACATAGCCTTTCCTGAAAATATATATTATTAACATTGTTTAAGTAAAGTTAAGACTTCACTTGGCATCAAATACAAATTTTCCTTGTCAGATCATGAAATATTATTTAAAAATGAATTTAATTAATCTTGAGTCATTCAAAATCATACCATTCAAGATAATGGTCCTCCTCTTCTGCACTTGCTTTTACGACAATGTAATGTCTGTGGAAAATATATTGTTAACACAATCAGAAACAGTTTAGGTGAGATTTAACAGCTCAAAAAAGCAAAAAAGTTACGAAGCTGCACAAATGACAACTTACTTATATTTATGAAAAAAATCAGAACGTTCAAACAAACGGCTCCATTCTTCCCTGCCTTCATAGATGAGAGTTACAACATTTAGGCCTATTGTAAAGAAGGAAATAAAATTTAAATAAATTAAAAAATAATAGAATAATCTGTTGAAAGCAAACTAATAGTTTTAACAAGCCTTATGCATAAAGAGTATTTACTCATTGGGCCACAGTCAATTTATTTGCACAGTGACCCTTAAAAATCTTTAAATTTTCTATCAAAATAATTTATATTTATATTAAAAAAATTACTATGTTTATAGATTTAACCTCTTAGTTTCATGGGAATCAGCACCAACTAAATTCATGCAAATTGTTTGGTGAAAAGGTTTTATTTACCTTCTTGAAACTCATCCATGATGATGGTGCGTGTGGACTGGGTGACATTGTATGTGGAGTTTTGTTGAGGGTATGCAGGAGTGATAATGGGCATCAAATGGAATCTGTCAGATGCATTTATCTGTTAAAGGATAGACAAATAATTTGGTCTTATCTAGTCCTATTCTAAAGCTAGCGAATTCATTAGAATCAGAAATATCTTCTTTCCGATAAGGCCACAATTTAATTTCTAACCAAAGCACTTTCCACACAAACACCACTGTCAAATGTAATGCAGCAAATTCTAATTAATTTTTATATCTATAACTTACCCTTGAGTCCCATACTGGATAACCCAGTCTATTATCTGACTCTAAAGGCTTTAGCAACACAGGGGAGGGCCAATCCCTGAAACATGTGATAAGGGGAAGGGTATAATTATGTCACAAAGTAGTACAAGCCATTGCAACTGTAGCAAGATTTATTAAAAATAAATCCATATCAGTTTATTAAAATGTACTTCACTTATTACAAGTTTTACTCTGTTCTTGAAAATATACTTTTTTAAACTAGATTAAATTACCATTTGGAATAAACAAGGAAAAATCTGTGTACAATAGTTGCCGGGGCAGCCTTGGGGTATAACTGGCAAACTCTAGCAACAAGCATGGCCCATGATACACCACCTAGGTAACCCAGAGCATTAGAATATATGCCTTTTTCTGGAAGAGACAAAATTTCAACAATCATTAAAAAAAAAAAAAAAAAAAAAAAAGGGTGGAAAAACAACATAGATGTGTTGGTACTAATGTAATATAACCACAATCCACCTTTGTTCCACATGTCTGGTTGAGTCACTCCTTCCAACTCACTCACTTCCTCCAAGATATATATAAAAATGTATATCATAACTTAAAAGTCAATTTGTTCTTATAATCACTTTTTCTTACACCTGTTATGTAATTTTACACCTAATGGAAGAGCTCGCAAAGACACCCCAGGTTGGGAAACCCTGGTCTAGATCCTATCCTCAAGGGTTACTTGGTTAGCTACTATTCCTGTTACTTAGGGTATACCTTGAGAGAGACTGCCAAGTATTTGATTTTGGCTTTCTTGCTTTTGGGCCAATTCAACTTCACAGCAGACATTCGCTTAGGGGCTTACATGTTCTTTAAAAATCAAGTTTGCAATTTCCTTAGCATTCCAAATATAAGGTAGGAGCTAAAGTGCTGTCCTACCAAAGCTGTCAAATATCTTTTCATTAACAATAAAGCTGATGTATAAGGTAAAGATGTACTTCAGGGAAAATTATAAACACAAAGAAACTTACTTTTTGCCCATAGTTTAATGGCCCGAAGTGTCATGCGGAAATTCTCCTGATTTGGTACGAGATGCAATATCTCATCTGTTACTCGAATACCATTGAGACTACGTACACTTTTCTCATCTAAATTTTTAAGTAAGGATTCATCCCTTAAGTTGATATCTTCAGGGATTGTTGGCAATGCAAGGCGTGCAAAAACCATGTCAAGCTTGATTAATGAGAGAAATTTGAATTATCAATCATTTACTAAAAGTGACAAACAAATATAAAATTGATCTTTGAAATAAATATCATATAAAAATCAAATATTAATCATGCAATTCATTTTTATTAAGCAAGTAAAATGTAAAAAAATCTATATATATTTTTTAAATGCTTATCAGAAAAAGGTATGTCCCTCTTTAGATTGCTTGAAAATAAACTTTATAATTATTAAATTTTGAAAGGGCAAAAAGCATTCCTATGCAAAAAAGACTGACTAATAAACTGAAGCATTAAATAAAGAAACACAATTTCATACTTCAATTCCATCAAATTCGACTTTAATGACTGGTACAAAAGCTTCCTCTACAGCCTGAAGGAAAAAAAAAAAGATGTAATAAAATTTGCAGAATTGTGCAATTAATTTCTTGCACAGTCTGATTAGGAAGTAAACCAATTTAAATATGTAATAAAAGATTTTAAAACCTAAAATAATTTACAGCTTTTAGACAACAGACACACTAAGTTTACATACCCTTAAATCTCGCACTTCAGGTTGGGATTTAAGAAGTTCAAAAAATGATTTAAAGAAATCTGAACGCTCTACATGGCGTGGTGCAACACAAAGGGTATCTATATCAGCACCTGAAATTAAATCACAATTAATAATAAGATACCTGGACTTTGGTTATAGTTGTGTGAAAGTTTTATTTTACATTTGCGGATATTTGATATATATTTTTAAAATCATAAATTAACTTGATAAAATTTTAGTTCTTAACAGATTCACTTACCTTGTGTGTGTACGCCCATGCGATAAGAGCCAAAGGTAAAAACTTTCCCTCCAAAAGTATCAATCAAATTTTCTGGTATATTATTCTGAAAGAAAAACGCAAGTAACGGAGTCAACTGATTGGGAATATAATATTACAAACACTCAAAGAATTAGCAGTTCTGACCATTGCATTTCTTCTGAGTCTTTTGGTTGATATAGGACTTCTTACATTGCAAATTTATTCTCAGAATTGAGAAACTGTTCTATAAAAACAAATTGAACGTTCCATAAATACTCAGAAAATATGCAATGGAATCAGATTTGTTCTCACAATTATAAAAACATTTATGCTATTGTTTTTATTATGAATTTAAAGATTCAATAAATCTCACAAGACATGAGGTCAACAAAAACTACACATAACTGAGTTGCAGCTTACCTTCTGTCTGCTGACTTCTTTTATCCATGACCTCATAAGTTCATTGACCTTAGCCAAGACTTCTAATCTGTAAAGGAAATTATAATACTAAATCTTCTTAATTCTCAATAATACAAAAATTTAATATACATTATATGATATCATATGATTCTTAAAAAAAAAAAAACGCCTGAATCTACTGTGCATAAATCAATGAATCTATACAAAAATTAAATCAAGTATTAGCATTTTTCAGCATTATCCTACAAAACAGCTTCCAACGTTAATGAATTTCATAAATTAGTCATATTATTTTGGTACTCAGATTTAAGCTTCATTACAAAAACTTACCGGTGATTAAGCTCAGCTTCACTTTCAAAAACATTGTGTGGCTTTAAAGCTTCCACTAGTTTCTCTGTAAGTTCAATGTCTTGTTGTTTTGGCTCTGTAAGGCTCAGCGGCCCAGTAACTCCAGGGTATGGTTTATTTTGCCCGCCACATTCATGAGCCATTCTGAGTGCAAGAATAATGACAATGTATTTGTTAATAAATCAATTATCACATTAGAATAATACAACATGCTTTCAAATAGCAAAGTAAATATTACCTAACATGTAACTTATATAAATGGGTGAGCAAGAATGATATTTCTATGTATCCAATATTTGACATAATCTATATGAAAAGAACATGTAACATAAGTCAATTTCGGAATAATTTAAGGGCTATAACTAGATTAGGCAATAATGACATTAAAATTAGTTTTTTAGTAGAGTATTACTACATATTAATTATATTAGCACAACGTTAAAAATGTATTGACATTAGTCATTAGACAAATGATTGAAAGATTCAGCTGGATTAATCAGCCATCATGTCAGAAAAAATAAGCATTTTTTTTTTTACTCATGACATTTATCACAAATAGTGACATCATTTAAGTTATGAATTTCTTAAGCCATAAACAGGTAGAAATGAATTGAATTATTATTTTTTAGCATCCCCACCCCTCCCACTTCCCCCAGTACCCTTTGGTGAATTTAATTTTGTTTCAATGTTGAAGTCTAAACAGCATTTTCAATTAACTATATGCAAACTATTGAACTTAGGAACCATCCTGAAATGATCTCACACTATTTTGGACAACTTTTTAACTTCCCTCCCTCCTTTCATGAGAAATCATTAAAAACAACCCACAATAACTTAATGGTCAACAAGTTAAAAATAAATTATTATTAACACCCCCCCTCCCCAAACAGTCTCTTTATTTATTATGTGTCAACTCCTACACGTCTTCTTGGATTGATTACATTCGTCAGTTCTTTCATACGTTGAAGCGTCGTACTATTCTCACTATCAATTAACAAACTCAACTCCTTTTCATAATAACTATAACTTTAATATCTAAGTAAATATAATAAACATCCTATCACTCCAAGGTTCCACTCAAGACTGCCGCACGACTAAAACATACGTCACAACACTGCATAGACAATACGTCACGACTCAGCATAAAAATACGTCATAAAGACAATGGCGGGAAGAGCGTTCACTAACTATAATAGTCAAGCGCGGGAAAAGCGTTCAACAACTAATGAACATAATATTGAGTCGCAACAATTACTAATGAACGCTCATACTCGACATTATGTATATATTGTTTCCTTTTTGCAACCACTTAGATCACTATCACTATCTTTTCTGCTTGAAACAGCGAACATTATCTATGGTTCAGCACAACAAAATAATTCTGTCACGAGTTATGTGGATGAAAACACATAATATAAAGGTGAAAAGAGGACTTAAATTTTAATGTGAATTTAGGTACTTTGACACAAAATTTAAATATTGTCAGATTATCAGGAATGATACATCATTTTAAAAGACTAGCTATAAGCTTTACAACAACACCAATTTCATCTTTCTATCTTTTATAGAAGTGGAGTTATGATTTTTTTGGTGATTTTTTAAAACCCCCTTCTTTATCTTAGTATTTAACTAAAAAAAACGCGTGACCCACTTTCCAAATTTCTGCCTTATTTTGCCCAAAACTTTTGGATTTTAAAAGATAATGCTACCAAATTTTCAGGAGACATTCTCAATGCAATATACAACCCAATAAACAACAAAACTTTTACATAACATCAAGACTTTTATTTTTTTAAATATTTATTTGTGGGTATGTTCAGAAAAAAGTGAACAGAAAAATTGGGAAAATCATCATTTATACAGGAAAAAACGAAAAAATAACATGTTTATTGAATTTTAACTAATTTTATTATGCTTGTTTTACATTTTAAATCAATTATTATATTTATAAAAAGGTAAGTAGTCTTTTTTTTATATATATAAATTGGAACGCATGTAATTATAAATAAAAATTACTCAAAATCATCTATGACTATGATGATGAGACTAATTTATTAAAAAATGTTATTTGATATATTAAATAATTGTCTATGTACTGCTTTTCTATGTTCTAATAAAAATATAATTACAACGATGATGTTGTTTGATTCTTGTTTATTATAAAATCATCATTTATACAGGAAAAAACGAAAAAATAACATGTTTATTGAATTTTAACTAATTTTATTATGCTTGTTTTACATTTTAAATCAATTATTATATTTATAAAAAGGTAAGTAGTCTTTTTTTTATATATATAAATTGGAACGCATGTAATTATAAATAAAAATTACTCAAAATCATCTATGACTATGATGATGAGACTAATTTATTAAAAAATGTTATTTGATATATTAAATAATTGTCTATGTACTGCTTTTCTATGTTCTAATAAAAATATAATTACAACGATGATGTTGTTTGATTCTTGTTTATTAATTTGATGTATTTTAATAAAACTGTTATATATAGGCTTAACTAAAAAATATATTATTGGCTACGTAGTATGCAATTTTCCAAAGATACCGTGTAGCCGTACGCCATATTGTAGAACACATTTTATTGACATTTTAGGACATGCGCAGAAGGGTGCGTGAACAAGTATTGTTATCCCTAGTGAATTGAATGACCTCAACTATACAGACTATACTCACAAAATATCAAATCAGTGAGATCCACAAAAAAATGGTATTGCTTACTTTTTGTAAGATAACTGATATAGTGCAGCACCAGGTGAACGTTATACTTTGATTTGAATCTTAAACATTATTAGTTAATATTTAAATATACTAAAGTAAAGCAATAGTGATAGTGGGCTTTTGAGAGATATTTTAATTTAATCCACCAAGACAATACTTTACTTTGCACAACCCCCACCCCCTACTAATACTATTCAAATTCATGGTCATGAATTAGTTGGCCTTATAGATTGGTAAATTAATTTAGTATTATTTATGGTTAACGTTACTACCTTATTCTTAAATCAGGTTTTTAAAAGAAAAGTCCATGCTAACTTTTTTAATTAGTAACTTGATAACTCAGTACTGCTACTGACTAAAATTTGAGTGTAAATAGGTCGCAGCCGTCTGCTGCGCATATTTAGATACTATTTTATTTTAAATTATGAAAAGCAACTTACTTTAATTGTGATATAATATATCTTATAATGCCATATGATAATATTTAGACTTTGTAATTACGTAGTGTGCTATTAAAGCACAGTTAACGTGTTTCTTTTTCCGTTTCCTACAACTCTACGACACTATGGCGGGTTGAGTGTATCCCAGAGATCCGCATTTCAACATCCGGTATTTCTGTGCGTCTATGGTATTAACAAATTTAATTATCTCAGCTTTTAAGGATCATTGTTTAACTATTAAAATACTTTTTATGCACACATATTTCTACAAAAATATAGTATTCGATAATTTTAAATTAATAAAAAGCATTAAAATTTAGAAATATAGTTTTAATGACTTGCGGGGAGGGAAAAAAATTTAAGGCACGTCACGTGACTTTGATGTTTGTTTCTATTTTTAATTTCTTCAAAAACAGCACCTTTCATCCGCCGCCGGTTTTCCTTTCGAACTTATTTAGTTTTCAAAATTAAAAAATAAAATTAACATGATGCCGAATTTAAAAATTAATATGTCAACTATTATTTCAACACTTCAAATGCATATTTTAAGATCATTTACTTTCGTGTTTAATTTAATAACATGGCCAGCTAGAACATTAACATTATTTTCCGGAATGTTACTCAATGTCTTGCTTAATAAAGCAAAGTCCACCCTACAAAAAGTACTATTTTTGTTAGTAGTTTATACCACTCTCATGGTGGTAGCTGTTTTATTCTTTGCCTTATTTTACCACGTCTATGTGCCCACTGCTGAAATTAATAGGCCTGTTAATCTAGTGTTTAGGTAAGATTTTTGTGTAGGTCTACATTTTATAATTATATGGGATGCACATTAGGCACATTCACATGGAAACCTGTTTCTGTTACCCAAACTTAGATAATAATAATAATTATGCTAAAATATTTTTTTAATCCTGTGTTACTGTGTTCTTGTCTTGATCAGTTTACACTCCAAGTTGAGGCCATTTTATTAATTTTAATTTATAGTCAATACTTACTATATGTATAATGTATAATACCTACTGCTGAAATTGCAGTAAATAAGGACTACTTGGTGGCTTTGCTAAGGCCTGTGACAACTATAACCATGCCATCAATCCGAAAAAAACAGAGACTTTGCACCAGCCAGCTCCAGGGAAAGCTTACAAAGGACCTAAAATTAAATATCAGTGAATGGATATAATCTCCCAAGCATTAAAAAAAAATTCATATATTTAGGCAGCACCCTCTCCAGGTCCAGGTCAGCAACAATAGATGATGAGATCAATAACCAAATTTTCAAAGCAAATGTTGCATTTTGAGGGCTCCGAAGTGTGTGGGAGTGAAGGGGTCTCAATCTTGTCACTAAATTGAAGGTATATAGTATAGGGCTATTGTATTAACATCGCTCCTATATGCTAGCCAGAAGTGGAAAGTGTACAGTACAGCAGACATGCTAGACAGTGCTAACATATCCACATATGCTGCCTAGGGGCCATCAAAAAATGACATCACACGTCTAAGGGGGAGGAAGGGTCACATTTTTGTGATGAAGGGAGGGGGGTTAAAGCAATGTGACGTAACATTAAAAGTGGAACATTATAGTAAAAAAATGCCCTTAATTTAATTAAATGACAGACCTTTTTAACCAAAAATTATAATTATTTTATTTTTGAACTACGATCACTGAGATGGTACAGATATGCAAGGTATGATAAATGGCATCTGATCAACTTGCAGGACACCAAGGAGGAGGAGAATTGGGGTGTAGTGACTTTGACAGTCGTGAGAATTAATGTCAAAATGTGGAGATGGGAATAATAGAATTGGGGCTACCATGGGAGGTGAGATGGAATGAAAAATGGGGGGTGATTTTAGTAAATGTTCTAGGACAGGGATTCATAAATATTTAGCAGTGCTGCATCCCCTCTCAACTTCTAAACATTTCCCCGCAAACACACACCCCCTCACACACACACCATATAAATTAAATAGTAATACAATTTATTTGTTGTCGTTTTATTTGTTAAATTAACTTTGTAAACACAATAAAAAGTATAACCAATACCAGTAGGCCTAATGTGCAAACAAAATTAACCAGAAAAAAAAAAAAGTACTTCTGGCAGAAACAACTTGCAAAGGCAGCAAATGAAATTTATTTTATTCCTAGTCTTCCGCAGTTTCACCCCTGTTAAAGCGCATCTGTTCTAGGGAAATGTTTCTGACACAGGTGCAGTAATTCGATATCCATGGGAGGTGATTTTTGTAAGTGTTTGTAAAAGACAGTAGTGGACAGATGTTTTTTTATTATTATTCGCTGCAGAGGTTTGTGATGTTATATGGGGGGGGTCTAACGTTTTGTGACAATGGGGAATGGGGGGGTAAAAGTTGGCAAAATTTGCATGATGTCATTTATGGATGGCCCCGTAAACTTCTTGGCATAATAAAGCAGGACAAAGTCCCAGATATAGAGGTCCTACAAAGAGCCATATGTATCAGCATCCACACACTTCTACGAAAAGGACAAACCAGATGGGCAGGGAATGTCACGAGAATGCCAGACAACTTATGTTCTGTGAACTTCAGTGGGAAAGGCTCAGTTGGATGGCAGGAAAAACGTTTCAAGGACTGTCTAAAAGCTTCACACAAATCCAATTACTTTGATTCGTGGGAGACACTTGCCATGTACGTTGCAAGCTGGCGTGACAGACTCACTCATTGTCTCAAATGCTACTAGCACCCAAAACAACATGTGTCCCATGTGCTGGAAGCTTTCCAGGCACAAATAGGACTGGCAGGCCATCTGCATGCTCACCATGTAATATAGCCTTGGTCATCTTCACATGCGAAGGATGAACAACACTTACTGCCCTCAGTAACACAACCACCCAGTAGCTAGAGTTTGTGGTATTGTCACTTGTGATGCCTGAAAATGTGTTTGTGTGGGGGGGGGGGGGTCTTTGATTTAGTCAACCCTGACGCATGAAAACCACAAGACATAAAGAATACACATCTATCATAATCCATACATACATCGTATAAGTGACTATAAGGAGTGGACAATTGAGGCTAACCTACTGAGGTACAAAAATTATGTTTATATATTATTAACGCTACTTGTCATTTATTTTTTGAGTACCGGTAATTTACTTTGAAAAGTTTTCCCAAACTGGCCATACTAGTAGAAGTTGATTTGAATAGACACTTTTGAATTTTAAAAAATATGAATAATTGAAAACCCAAAGCTGTAGGTTGAAAAGCTAGTAGTTGTTGGGAGTGGATAGCAGTTGCTATTGTCTACAAAAATTTTAAACAATATCAAAATAGTTGCATTTCCCATTTTCATCTATTTCAGCCTCCTTAGATTATATGTAACTATGACTCAATGTAAAACATTGTTAAATGAAGAGTTTTCAGCCAACCTTTATGTTTGTTGTTTATAAATCCTCAACTTGACATATATTTGCACAAATGTCCATATTGTGTGTCATGAAGCCTACGTCAGAAAGGATGTCACTCTGAAGGCTACTTATCGTATTAATATAATAATTTATAATGAATTCATTAATTGATTATTATTTTTTAAAAAAAATGAGTTACAAAATGTATACCCAAAAGCTACAATAATGCAAAAAAGGGTAGCCTAGAGGTCGTAGACCTCACATGGGCACAATACTAACAACTGAGGGACACAATACTGACCTCTTAGGGTCATTCACAGTTTTATGCAAATAGTTATATGAAGAAAAAATATTATAATTTGGGTGTGCCACCTATTAGATGATGAGTATCTGTTTTGCAAAATTAAAGCAATCGCAACCAGTAGACTTCAAAATTAATGCCCACAGAAGAACATCATAATGGTAAAAACAACATCCTAGAGCTAATGTCCTGCATATGTCTGTTTTTCTCATACTTCTATTATCAGTGGCAATAACTATGCATAGCTTCTCACAGCTAAGACTTGTATAAAATTGTGAATGCTCTTCAACGCTGAGAGAGGCTATGTGGCTTAGATATCAGTTTAACATGCGTGGCATCATCACTTGATTTTGATGAATTGGTCACAATATATGCTAAAGAAAATGCATGCAGAGGTATATTTTGATTTGCATGAAATTGAATCTTAAATAAGAAGGTTTTCATAGTTTAGTTATTTTGTGTTTGTTCAAGATGATTTAAGAGTGTGGAGATTTAAAAAAATGTTGTATTTGTAAAAGATATTCAAAGATTGATTATGACTTTTGTAGGAAAGATATTTGGTTCTCTTACTCTTAGAGTTAGAAATTTAATTTATTTTAACTTCATGAGGCGGTTGGGTATAACTATAAAGCGCACACAACTGGCTGCTTTACCTAGGGCACAGGCCCTACCTTATGGCAAAGATGTACTTTGTATAAAACCTGTTCAAAGCCTTTTTCGTCTTCATGTTGTTAGTCCGTCGAAGTCGACTAGGACCATCGGATCATCCAAAGGTTAGGGGGAGGTTGGGTTACGGTGAGCACGTAGGTGGCTTGCTAGACCGATCCGTGCTTGGAATAATCTTTGGCATCGCGGGCAGGGGATAGTTGCCTCAGACGATGACGTAATGTTGCTCTTTCGGGCAAGCCTGTGTGTCTCAGCTGTGGATATCCTATTAGCTTCATGGGATTTAGCCCCTTTCTTGACAGAAGCTCTTCACCTGGCTCTGCCCTGGGCTGTCTGCATCCATTGAGTAGGGTTTATGCTGAAGGCCTTTAGTGCCACTTTCTTTGTAACGCTTTTTTTTACCTCCTTGGGAGCGCTTGCCAATCGTGAGTTCTCCGAAGAATATCTGTTTTGTGAGCCTTCCATACGGGCTACATGTACCATCCAACGGAGCTGAGACTGCATCAGAGTGGTGAAGATACTAGGTAGGTTCGCTCTAGCGAGGACCTCGGTGCCACCTGATGCCGAGGAGTTTCCTGAGGCAGGTTGTGTGAAAATGATTCAGTTTCTTTGCATGACGCTGGTAGACTGTCCTCGTTTCACATCCGTAGAGCAGCGTCGGGAGGACTGCTGCGCTATAGACCTTGATCTTCCTTTCTCGTCTGATACCTCTCCTGTCCCAAACAGAGCTGCGGAGCCTGCCAAATATGGCACTAGCTTTTGCGAGTCTGCCATTCATTTCATCCTCCATGACGACAGATCTAGAGAGGGTACTGCCCAAGTAAGTAAATTTATCCACCGGGTTGAGACGCTGTCCACTGATGATGATGTTGGGTTCAACGTAAGGCTTACTGGGAGCTGACTGATAACATCACCTCAGTCTTCTTTGTGTTGATTGTGAGGCCAAAGTTATTGCAGGCCTCCGAGAAGATATCAACGCTGTGTTGCATGAAGGCTTCTGAGGGAGCCTTGAGGGCACAATCGTCTGCAAACAGAAGCTCGATGATGGTGTTATGTTTGACTTTGGTTTTAGCTTGAAGCCTCCTAAGGTTAAATACTGATCCATCAGTGCGAAACTGGATTGGCAAGCCCGTGGTGGAGTCCTTGAACGCATCAGACAGCATTGCGGAATACATAATACAGAAGAGTGTGGGAGCAAGAACACAACCTTGCTTTACACCGTTTGTGACGGGGAATGCTTGAGATGATTGACCGTTGTCCTGCACTCGGGCCATCATGCAGCTGACAGATGATGTTGGTGAACTTGTCTGGGCATCCGTGCTTCTTCATGATTTTCCACAGGCCACCTCTATTGACCCTGTCAAAGGCCTTATTCAAGTCGATAAATGTAGAATTTAGTTCTGTATTTTGTGCCTGGCATTTCTCTTGAAGCTGTCTACTAGCAGCAAACACCATATCGATGGTTCCGCGTTTTTTGCGGAAACCTCATTGACTTTTGGGTAGGAGACCTAGCTCCAGATGTGCATTCAGGCGGTTCAGAAGGGCTCGGGCCAAGATCTTGCCTGCAATGGACAGTAGTGAAATTCAGCGGTGATTGTCACAGGCCTGACGGTTTCCTTTGTGTTTGTACAGGTGAATAATTGAGATCCTTAAGGTCTTGTAGTACAGTTTCAGTCTTCCAGATGATCTGGAATAGACGCAATAGCTTATCCGTCAGCGCTGATCCACCCTCTTTGTAGATTTTGGCAGGAATCATGTCGGGCCCAGGTAATTTGCCATTGGACATTTGGTACACAGAAAACCCAGCATGGAAAAACTCATATATATATATATAGTAAGCTTTTGCCAGTTATATTGTGCTTAAAATAAGCATGAGGAAGTGTTTCGGGATGTTGGTATTATTTTATAAAAAATAATTATTAATTTTTGAGGTGAATGAAAATGTTTTGATTATTTAAAAAAATTACTACTCATTTATAATGCCAATAAAGAATGTGTTTTTTTCTCATTCATTCACCAGTGTTTGCTCATCAGGTGTTGGAATTTGTTCTTTCCCTTCTGGAAATGCAACGTTCTGGAGTGAGGATGGAACTTTTCAAGAAGTATATATTTTTCATATTTCAAAACATTATTACAGCTTAATTTAGTTTTAAGAGCACATTTATTTTTAGGTTTGATCAACTGGGCTGTAATAAAATGCTATTTTACTTAATTTTGTTAATAGTTTTCTATACAATTTAATTATTGCTCTGACTAATTGAGTTCAGTTTAATTAAACGTGGGGATTTTAGGCAAAGTTAAATCTTGCGTCTTCAGGAGGCTCTAAAATTTCATTCATAATTTATAATTAATCTGATAGATGTTTATCTAGATGTTAATTTTTATTGTTTTTTTTTACCTCAAAAGAATTGTGGGTTAAGTTGTTAATGTATGTTATTCCTTGATTAATATATCCCCCCACCCCCGGATACACAGCAATAAATGTAGCCTGATTATTTAATGTAACATCCATCATAATTTAACCTTATTCAATTTTCCCTGCCAGGTTTTAGGTTTAGGGCAACCGTACACTGTAATTTTGGAGTTGGAATTGCCAGACTCACCCACTAACAGAGATTTAGGTATAATAATTGAAACATTAAAACAATTTCTCTGTATGCTTTTCTTTATTTCTATTTGTCTAATTTACACTGTTACTCAAACAAAAATTTTTTTTAAATTTAGAAATACCGGTATTGTATAAAAATTATTTGTTGTCATGACTATGGTTTTTCTTATTTTGATGAAAATGTAAAATATTTTTTGTCTCTTTTCAAGAAAAATCATATAATTAAAACAAAAAACTTACTTATAAAAAAAAAAAGCAATATCAAGATATTATTCGATAGTGGCTTCAAAGGTATTAAAAATAGCATATGGGTGGGCATAATTAGACTGCATGGCAAATACATGATAATAAATGGATTCAAGGTGTTAAAAATTTAGCCCACAAATTATTTCCCATGCTTTTTACTCTCTCTCTATCTGGGTATTTTTCACTTCCTCTCTTTACCTCTCTCTATCATATTAATGGAGAAAGTATGTTTATTAATGTAGCCGCATGTGATGAGACATCTGAGAGTTTTAAATGTATAAATATGGGTTTATAAACTCAAGGAAATGTAGGATTTGAGGACTATGACCTTTAATTGGTACTTAGAGTGTTGTATAAATGGAGTGGTAGAAGAAAATCCTAAGTAAAAGTTCAAAGCAAAAGGATCCTAAGAAAAATTGTAAGAAAAAGGACCATACCCATACCTGAAAAGATACAAATAGTATAGGTTAACAATATCCTAATATTGAATAACACAGCAATAAATAAAGGTTATGACTAACTGTTAACTAACAATACAGATGCATGATGAACACATACTTCCAGTTATACAAATGGCAATTGAAATTATTATTTTAATAATGAGATAAGATAAGATTCTTTTATTGATCCAAATAAATGGAAATGTGTTTTGATTGCACTGTACATTTTCAGAACATAAAAAAAAAAATGTTGAGTTATAAAAGAAATCATGTGGCAGGGTTTAACTTGTAGCATGCACCCCGTCTTACATTCAGAATCAGAACCGAGGTCTAACATACAGGTCTAGAAATTACTATTGTTTCGGTACTGTCGTTCATGTATGGTGTCTACGTAAAGTGCACCCATAGCAGGACATTTATATAATATAACAACCCTTAGTTTAATACTTGTGGCATCAATGAATCGCTATGTCTCATCAAGACAAAAGTGCATTGCAGTGTGTCTAATTATATTAATACCAGTACAGGTGGTAATATTATCCTAGCCCATGTACCATTTCCTATGTGAGAATGTAGCACATGGCAGGATAGTTAGTCTACCACACATATTTTACCCTGGTACTGTTGTGTCAGTAGCTTATAAGAACATTTCAAGATGTGTAACCAGAACGATATAACGGTTGGTGTTATGCTCACATACACACTGGTATCTAATTCCATTTAAGTATTCAGCGGAGGGCTTTATGTTCAACAATCACAATATCATGGTTACAAATCAATTTGACAGAGCTAACGTGATTCAAACACTGCCTAATAAAAGTAATGAACAGAAATCTTCCATTACTAACACCTAACGATTGAATTCTACAAACACAAAAATATAAAGCATATTTGGTTATACTTACAAAGTGTCCAAATGGTGACGTTGAACAATGGCGCACTTTAGGGATGCGATAAAACTATGAATGCCAAAAACACATTGGCGCGTTCACTGTAAATAGGGTTGCGTGAACCTGCCAGGGAGCGTAGGTAATGTAAGCTGATGGTACGGTCTGCCTGATCGACATTATTCAAAGTTTTATCTGTTTTTTATCCTTCACGCAGGCATGTTTATGGTGTCATTGAAGATGTATGACAGAGAGGGTCTCATTTCTTTAACTTCACATAGATCAGTTAGTACAAAATTTTATCTCAATGAATTTCATTTCCTAGAATAATTTCACTGATAAATTGTTTTATCTTTTGTTTTCTGTTCCTGTGTCCTCATCCAATGAATTAATTTTGTGTGTGTAAATGGTTTGTTCAAAAATAGAGTACTAAAGGGCTCTATGTAAATTTTTTTTAAAATGTAGGATTCACGATTTTATCCTGTCAAATGACATAATGTCTTACTTAATTACTTTATATTGCTAATTATGACATTACATGTTTTTAACAATTATTTTCATAATTTTTTAAAACAAACCTTGACATTTTTGTTTTGTCTTTCATCAAGGCACTGTTGAAATATAGATCAATTATCTCTCGAGTTATTGATCTCTTTGTTTGGAGTCCATTTTACTTCATTGACTTTTGGGATCAGAAGCAGACTCTAAAGATTAATATGTTCTCCCATTATGTGGATGATTATGTATGTACATATTTCTATAATTATTTATATCTACTTGTATTCCTCATGTCTTAGTTATCACAATTTATTTTATAATTCTATTATTAGAAACAATTGTTTTATTTATGCTTCCTGAGTGAAAAATCCTCAATTAACAACTGCAAAAGACTTAAAATATGTTTACTCTAAGAATTTAGATATTTGATGTTCAATGTCATAGATGGAGTGCAGTAGCACATGTATGTAGAATTCTATGTTTTTTCTTTTCCTTGTATTACAGTACCACCCATCAGTAGGTGCAGTGGTTGAGGTTCACAGCCATAAGATAGAAATTTACTCCTCAACACTCAAATTTTTTGCCAAGCTAACTGGCATGAAGTAATTCAAAACTTTTCTAAAAATAGGCTTGTTATACTTAATACTGACTTTGTAATTAAAGACATTTTTAACTTTTTAACTTCAAGTTCGTAACTTTCTATGTCAGTAAAATTGGATTTGAAATATTTTAATTCCCCTTTGTTCTTTTTTAACATTGGATATATTTTTAAACTTTATTTCTTCTTTCAGGTACATTCTCTACTATTGGCCCATACTGAGTGCCGCTCTGGCAGTTTTCTTCAACACCTCTATTCTGGCCTTAGGAATGTTAGTGGCTTGGCTACAAAAGAATGAGACATTAAAAAGAATAGCAGAAGTAGTGCAACTATCTGATGACAAACAAATAGTGCCAGGCAAACCTTCCAAATCAACTGTAACATCCTTTACAATGACTGAAGATCTTAGTATGCATTTAACAGATACTTTTTTTTTTATAATTAGAGTAGCTAAAATCTGGTTTTCTTATATCTGTAAAAACAAGTTATTTAAAGATTAGCAGTTCCTTTGGTAAATGTTACTAACAGATTTTGGTCTTGCTTGTGTCTTATTAATTTCTAGAGAATAAGGAACACCAGCAATTTTAACTGTAGGTATAACGTGCAGCATGTGTCTCTTTCAATAAACAAAATTTCAGTATGTGTATGGTCATGATTTGGGCATTTTTAGCCAGATATGTCCTGACTTGTAAATTATCTTCATCTGTGACAGTGTGCAAATATACAAGGAAGCCAGAAGGAAAGCCACAAAAATGTGTAGGAAGAAAAAAAAAAATGGGGAATGGGAAAAAGCTGAACTAAAAGAAATTGAAGACTTATCGAGAGGGAAATATTAGATGAGTGAACATGAAGATAAAAGACAAATAGAAAGGATACTAAGCAAGAACTCAATGTGTGAGAGCCATTATGGAGAATTAATTATGGAAAATAGTTAAGTACCTGGTACTGAAGAGGTGAGCTCAATATTTTGAGGGCATACTAAATGCAGACAATGGGCAATATGAAGATTATCAACCACCACATGGAGGACCAGACCCTTAATAAACTCCCCAACTTTGGAAGCAATTAATTCTAAGAAAAAGCGCAAAGCCCCTGGAGAAGACCTCATCACATTAAATATGGAGGAAGAGAGCTATTAAATTTGGTGGATGAGAACTACACACTCAGACACATAAACTTATAACTAAAATTTGGCAAGAAGAGAAAATTCCAACAGAATGGGAAACAGAAATAATTATCCCAATACATAAGAAAGGTTCCAAACTTCAATGCACAAACTACAGAGGAATTTACCTATTAAATGTTACATATAACAGAATACGGACAAAACTAATTGCCAAAAGACTACAACCTTACACTGAACAAATACTGGGAGACTACCAATGTGGATTCAGACAAAACAGATCAACGACTAGTCAGATTTTCACTATCAACTGCCTATTAGAGAAATGTTACGAATACAATATTATTATTATTATTAAGGTGGTTTTATATAGTGCAGTACCCCAGCCCAGGGCTAGGCCTACTACGCTTCACATAAAAATTAGCAATTACAGAAAATTGTACATTTAAAAAGAACAATTGGTAAAAAGCTTGACCTCATCCACCCAAGTACTTTCTACCCCTGTCTAGCCATGGACAGCACCCAGCAGGTCAACTAAATATGAACTATAAAATGACCTATGAGAGCATCTAAAGAAAATATTTTTATTGGAATGCAGGATTTTTGACATACCCAACAAACTGACAAGACTGATATATGTACAACTCAAAAAGCAAAAATCGAGGTTCAAGGAAAATATTCAAAGGAATTTCAGATTAGACAAACCTTAAGACAAGGAGTTCACTGTCTTGTATGCTATTTAACCTAACATTAGAAAGAGTTATAAGAAACATAAATATTGACAACAGAGGAACAATAATGGATACTTTCTGATGGAAACCCAAGACCCACAACCAATAGGCACTCTCTACAACAAACTCCTCCAGTATCTTGCATATGCTGATGACATAGAAAGACAAAGAAAACTATACATAAAACTGTTATCAGACCAGTGAAAACTTGAACTCTAACAAAAACAGCAGAAAACTCATTAAACACATGGGAGAGAAAAGTTCTCTGTAAAATTCATGGACCAACAAAGGATGAATATGGATGGAGAATACGAACCAACCAGGAATTGTATAGACTAGATCAGGATCCCATGAAAAAAGGTCAGGCTATGCTGGGCAGGACACTTAAAAAGAATGCCAAAGGGTGCACCACCAAAACCCCAGTGAAAGCATCTGAAAGGCAGACCCAGGCTTAGATGGATGGATAATGTGGAAAAAGATCTACAACTGGGAATCCAAACATGGAAAAGAAAAGTATCAGATAGGTCTGAGTGGAAGGAAGGGGTGAGGCAGGCAAAAGCCCTACTTGGGCTGTAGCGCCAAAGGGATGGAATATGATAGTATGTATACTATCAAAAAAATTTTTGTGTGTCTACTAAATCCTTGAATTTGTTTGAATTTAATTTGTTTCTGATGCATTAAAGTATTTTTTAGTAGGACCTCGTTTTGCAACAAGATGAACCAGTTATTTCCTTTGGTTTAACTGTGGCTTCTATTAGGGTTTTCTTCTTTTAGCCTTTTATTTTTCCCTCCCCCAAGGCATTGACCCTATTTATTCAAGGGTTAGCCTGATAGAACTGATGTGGACATTTCATCAAATCAGTTTGAAATGTTTGTCTTTTGTATTACTAATTCTACCACTCAGCCCCTTACAGCAGAGAAATAAACACAATGGGATTCCACTAATTCTACCACTCAGTCCCTTACAGCAGAGAAATAAACACAATGGGATTCCACTAATTCTACCACTCAGCCCCTTACAGCAGAGAAATAAACACAATGGGATTCCACTAATTCTACCACTCAGCCCCTTACAACAGAGAAATAAACACAATGGGATTCCACTAATTCTACAGCAGAGAAATAAACACAATGGGATTCCACTAATTCTACCACTCAGCCCCTTACAACAGAGAAATAAACACAATGGGATTCCACTAATTCTACCACTCAGCCCCTTACAGCAGATAAATAAACACAGGGATTCCTCTTAAACATGATATTCTGTAATCCTGGAAATTATGGAACAGTTTTCCTCAGTCTTTGAGGAATTTAAAAATGATAAAAAATCTATTAAGACATTTTTCTTGAAATAGAGTTTATAACAACAGAGCGCTTTGAGCATGCCAGAATAGCATGGACACAAGCGCTATACAAGTAATCATCATCTACTATGATTTTTCCCTTGCATGAAATTCTATTAAAGACAATGAGATTTTGTTTTCTTCTTCTTCTATATCTTAAGGGCCCACGATCAATTTATTGATAATTTTGGCTCCTATTTTTTTCTCTACTCCATAGATACTGACAACAAGGAAATAGATGATCCTAGAAATGTTGATGATCAACTTGTGCATGAACCACTTGATGATGATGGGATGGACTTTGTGAATGAACTGAGACAGAGGAGAATTAACTAGGTCACAATACTTATGTTCTAGGGTGTCTAAAACAAGGCCTAAGCCTGTGTGTAGTCCACCAAGTCATATTCTGTTAACTGCGAACCGCTCTGCGACTTGTTAAAATTAAATCTTCATTGTAAAGCTAGAAGAAAAATTGTATAATTCTTGTTTAAGTTTGCAATTTTATAGCTTTTGAAATACAGTGCATAAAAGTCTACAAAAATGGTTTGTCTACTTGTCTTAAAATCTTGCAACCCTTGTCTTAACTTTTATACTTCAGCAAGGTTTTAACAACATTTAATTAATGCTTATGTTTATTACCTGGTGCTTTTTTGATAAAACAATTTTCCAGTTGTTATGTTTATAACTCTTCTGTAAGATTACTGGTCTCTGTTCATCTGTACAGTATTTTTAAAGATAATTTTTGTTTCTGTAGTACATTGTTAGAAGAGTTTTGTTATAGTTGATTGTGAGGGCAGGATAATCATTCTGCACTAGTGTTTTTAATACTTTGATAGTTTTTTAAAATGTAAAGATTAACTTTGATAAAATCAATAATTCAACTTGCTTGTCGATAGCGATGGGTTGTTACTGTGAATATTTGATGTCACATTAGTGCTTTTTCATGGTCTGCTGATCACAAAAACTTCTGTTTCGGGGAAGGTCTTTGTTGTTATATATATTTGATAAATTGGTGTTGAAGAAAATGTAAATTAAAAAAATTTTGATGTAAGTTCAACCACGAAGCAAGCTGTACAGAGTAGTGAATATTTTAATCCTTATTGTAGTTATGGAATGTAGTTTGTCATAAGTTATGAGATGTCTGTAATTATGAAGGATGTTGTGAAATGTTTTTTGATTGATGCATTCCTGGGATTGTGTATGGTGGAAGAAATGCATTTCGGGCCATGGGAAATGCCTGGATCTGGAGACACAGGTGGTCCAAGGAAAGTATTTTGGGTATGAACAGGTTTGTTTACTGTTGTTTTTGTTCCATTGGGAATCACCGAATTACAACTTACACATCATTCATCAGAAGATGGATGCACCAAGGTTGTGGCCTTATGCGGAGATGTATGGCGCTGCTACGGAACGCCCATTCAGTCATGAGTCTGCTCTTACAAAAGGGTTATGGCCTTGGATGTTGATTTTCACAGACTGCTCTCAAAGGTTTGTTTCCAACTTGACGCCCCCTGAGAGTAATACCTCGGCTTGTTGTTAGATATTGTTGTGACAGATATTGTCATTTTGTCAATATGTAAACATTCGGTATGACATTATGGTTTCATTAATCCAAAATATATTAAAATTAAATAATTCAATTTGTAAAAAATAAAAAAAAAATTTTAGTCAGTTATACATCTCACAACATTAGACTTTATTTGTTTGAATAAGCAAACTGTAGAAAGAGCATATAAAAACAACAACTTAGGAAGCACATGAAAAAAAGCAAGATATTGATACAATGATGAATGTAAGTCAGGCAGTCGTACTTTAAAAGTGTTTGTAATCTTTCAGATGTAAAATTAAAGAAAATGACGTTTGTACCTTGAACTAATTTGTGTATCAAATTTAAGCCATATTTGCATTTAATTTCATCATTTTAATAAACATGGTGCTTGACAGAGACAAAGCACTGGTAAATGCTTAACAAATAAATCTGTGTGCACTAGCAACTGTTAGATGTTGACCTTTATGCAGCATTAACAACGTTTTGACCATAATTTGTCTTCCAAACTCTTTTGTTTTTAAATTAAAATTTATTGCAGAGTTTTTGCACCTTTTTTTCTACCTGGGCTGATTAAATTGTGTTTGTTCATCCTGCTCACCTCTCTTTACAAATATTTGTCAATTTCAAGATGTGGTTTTACACATTTGATAGTTTGCAAATTCAGATATTGGCAGGAGCTTAATTCATTCAAAGGAGAATAATTTAATGACTTTGATCAAACGGTGCATGTGATGTTTTAAGGTGAAGTTAAGTCAAGCAATCTATCTAAGGTCTTAATGGGTTATGCATGAGTGTTGCAGAAAAGGTTTCCTCTTACAACTAACCACTGAATCTCTGACCTCTAAGGATTCCATAACATCAAAATTGGCAGTTACTAAATAACTTTAAAAATCTACTACTTAGTCATAGTCTATTGGGAAAGTGTGATGACATATTCATCCACAATTTATTTCCAAGCTTGCATTCTCTGCAGGCACCACTTGTCATAATTTTCACAACTTTCCAAATTCCAGTAGATTCAAGTCTTATGCAATATTTTTTCTTTTTCCCTGGTAATTTAAGATGTCTGTTAGCTTCATTGGTTAATATTATTTATTTTGTTCTTTTTTTTTTTTAATGAACATGTCTTTATTTTTAACAACTTGTTTGATTAAAACTATTTTTGAGCTTAAATAAGTTCTGTTGATAGTTGCTATATTTAGTATATGTAGTAGTATAATTTTCTGTTACTTTTTGTGATACAATACTGTATTATACTTTTATAATCATTTGTTATTTTAATTTTGAATGCCAAAGGTTTAAAAAAAAATGTATTAACATTAATGTTAACTATTTTTTGTTTGTTGTGCTTCATAATATATAATTGATGGGTAATATCTCTTCTGTCACTAAAATATGTCTTTCAATGTCATGTATTTTCAAATGAACAACCAATTAAACAATGATAAAATGTGTTTTATTATTTAAGACTTAAAATTGTATCTAATGCATTGAATAAGAGTAATCTCCCATGTTTTCTAAGTGATTTTGAAAATTAAAACATGAATTGTGTGTGTCAAGACAATTAATTTAAGCTTGCTATTGTTAGAATTTTCTTTATGGCAACAGTTGGTAGTAAAATATTGTGGTGATGTCTGAATGAGAGAAAGTAAAGCCTGCTTACTACTAACAAATTCTTGGTGGGGAAATACTGAGAGAGATTTTAAAAAGAGATCCCTTTCTTTTTGTTTGTGTTAAATTAACTGTAAAATTTTTAAAAACAATATTTACAATTTTTACTTTTTTAACATATTATTTCCATTAACGGATTATAGACCTGAATTATATCAAAGTAAGATATTAAAAAATGGTGCTGAGACTAGAGGGGGGCAGAATTGTTAAATTCTTATTTTTCAATAAGCCATAGTTTACAAAGACAGACATACAATAGCCACATAGTTTCAAATTTTGATAGACAGACATACAATAATCCTAGTTTTAAAGTTAGATAGACAGACCTTTAAACATTAAGAAACCCTTTTTCAACTTATTTTATACCAGTCAGCAGATCTACTTTATAAACTCATTCATAAACCAATTAGTATCATAAAGCGGACATCTTAGTTTTTGCACAGGAAAGCCTGAAAAGTGTTTAACCCGCTCCCCCCCCCCCCCCCCCCCCCCCCCCCCCCCCCCCCCAACCACCTCTAAATTGATATCATGTTAGTAGAAACAATACAAAACTTAAGAAAATAATTTAATTAAAAATATGTCAGTAAAAGACAACTAATAAATATACAGTATTATGTATAATGGATACTCACTTCACAGGTGTACTATTATATATGCTAACCATATCCGTCATTGTGAAACCTCGTCCATTTTCAAAAAGTCCCTTAAAACTCATCTGTTTAGGTCCGCCTATGACCTGTGATGCACCCTCCTTGCCCTGCCTCATTTTCTGTTTCCGGTTGGTCCTGAAGTGTCAAAGTGTCCTCGTTTTATAGCCATTTTCATTGTTTCTATAGTATAGTAGTTACTATCCTAGTGTCTCATTTTTATTTACTTAGTTAACATGTTTTTAATAATTGTAAAGCGCTTAGAGCTTTATGGTAAGCGCTATATAAAAATGCCTAAATAAATAAATAAATAACCATACTCAACATTCCCAAAAATAGGATCTTGCCGATCTATATTTTTCAATGTAGTTGTTTGATCATGGAAGTCACAAAATGAGGGCACGTATGACCAAATTTTGCATGCTTATTTGTTGACTTCCGTTACTTACTTTTTTCTTCATTGTTTTAATAGAATCATTGTACCTGATGAAATTATACAAATTTCCTATTATCCGCTAATAAATTGATCACCTCACTTATTCCCCTGAAATATTAAAAATAAATATTATCTTAACAAATTTATAAGGTTTTGATCCCAACCAACAGTGGACCCCACAAAGCAAGAAGGCAGGAAATCTTAAATGATTGTTGCCAGATAGTTTTATTATTGCTGTTAGTTAAGTAAATTTAAAAAAAAAATCATTTAAAATAAGGTATGATGCTTTAAACGAAATACAAATAATCACAATAAATAAAGTATTGCTTTATAAATAATTAAAGAGTTCAATAAACTTTGGCACATTATATTATTTAAATTTAAACTCAAGAATAAAAATAAAGATATACTTTCATCCATATATTCATGAAGAAAAATGTCCTTTTTTGCATCAAATAAAAAGTAATGCACTGTCCCCATTCATATTGTTGAGAAAAATTATTTTTCTACTCTCAAATGCAGTTTATTTAAATCTTTAGAATGGAAATCGTTCTATGTAATATTTAACAGAACAATTCTCCCATCCTTCCCTAGACAAAAAGTTACATTTTTATTTTCATAAAATAAAAATTTATTACATACAATAATTTCTAATTATAAATTTTGGAATATAAGAAAACACCTAGGTCATGATTTTTGTTTTTTGTAAACCTATATATTTAAAAAAATGTATAATAAAAAAAATCTCATAAAATATGTTGCTGACTGCAAAAAAAAAAAAATATATAAAAAAAATGAGATAAAGGAATATTCAATAAGGTATCTTCTCTTAAACTTTGATACTATTAAAAGTCATTTAATTACAGGAATTCATCAATGTTACACCAAAAAGTTGTCCTTAGAGCAGGCCTGCACGACTCAAAATCAAAAACTTGTGCGGGCCATAATACTTTATGAAAAACTTGTGCGGGCTGAAAGATGATAGGATAGGGGGAAAGCTATTAAGAAAATAATAATAATAAATAATATTTCATTACTTTGCGGGCCGCGTGAATGCTGGCGGGCTGAATGCGGCCCGCATGTTGCGCAGGCCTGCTTTAGAGGATTTAAATTGTTGATTTTCTACATTTCTGTGTCCTGACTGAAAGGGGTGATAGCAACAAAGGATTTTATGCCAGAAGGGTCTAATCAGAAAATATCTAGTACAGATTAAACCTGCATGGAATGGCTGTTGTATTTTTGTAACTTTTATATGTCAAATCTTTACTTTAAAAATGGAATGTTCCACTTTAGCCTGTGTAAAGTAAATCAGTTTATTGTGTCAAGTCAAATAGCTTGTTCCCTGAGATTAGGAAATGAGATTATCTCCACTCCAGTGTATGCTTAAAATATAAATAGCACTATAGAACACATATTTGATTCCAAGACTTGAATATGTTTGAATGATAAAAACTTCTAGAGCAAATAAAATATTTTCATGCAAAAACATGAATTAAATAAGCTGCAAACTTCAAATGAAAAAAATTGCATTGCTCAAACAAAGTAAAGTCATTTCCACTTAACAAATTACAATAATATTTCTTTTCAGCAACATTTTACTTTGGTTGCGACACAAATCAATCAAATGTTTCCCCAGGCTGCTACCTCAGCACTAAAGCTCAGTATGGCTGTGACCATGACCTTGTGCTACATCTTGCTTTACTAATGGTACACTGTGACCCTGAGGAGACTCAGTTTTCCCTGGTTTTCTCCTTTCAGGACTTTGGTGATATAGACGTGAGTTACGCAGCTCAAGAAGCTCCTCCCGGATGTCCTCATCAATCTTAAGAAGCTCGTCTTCTGTAAGTAACACAGATGCTCTTGCACCATTCGTAAGACTTGAATCCTCAGCTTAAAGAAATGAAGCACTCAATAAAGATGCATGTTGACTTATATATATACATAATATACAAGCCAATATAGTATGGCTCTTAATTTTATGGAACCTTTTTAATTAATTAAGTTAAATTAGTAAGAGATATAAAAATTTATTTATTTAAAGATAATCTCCCTTGATTTCATTAGTGTGTAAAGATTTTCTGTAGAGTTCAATTTAAAAAAACTGCAATTTTATTAAGCAAAAAAGAAATATAATAACATTTTTTTAAAACTGAAAATTTGTATAACAAAAATAAATATCTTTACTTTAAAAAAACCTACAATATTATTTAATTAATAAATATTTAAATTTAATTCATTTGAAATTAAATAATTAATTTAGAGGAGTATTAAAATTATTGTTAAATATATCTTAGACAAATTTGTGGAAATCAATAAAACAGACCAACATGATGGTGATAGTAATCCTAGAGGCTGTGGTTTAGCAAAACTATAAAAAAAACTATCAAAGATATTTTTACAAAAGAAATATATATTTAATTAACTAACAAAGTTAATAAAAACAATTTGCTTTGAATAGTGCATTTATAAAGTGGTTATTTTCATTTTTTGGTTTATTATACTTGTAAGTAAAATTCTATTGTGCAGAAATGTAACTTCAAAAAAAATCAATTTCCATGAAATAATCTTTGTGGCTTTTAAAAATATTACATATTCACCTTCAATGTTGGATTCCTCCTCAGCTTGAATGCGAAGAATTGACCTTTTTTCATCCATCATTGCCAAAAAGTCATAATGTCGACCTGGAGCAACCCATACACCTTGTTCCAATATTTCTGTTAGCAACACAAAATATGCATTTTAATAGTAGTGGGATAGGTTTTCAAACACAGTTTCATTTATGACATTGCCAGGAAAAACACAAAATGAACATGTCACATTAATTTATAAGAATACACTTACACATAATATCCAACAATTATAAGAAATTATTTACTTACTAGCTGGCTTCTCTTTGTTTGAGAAAACACTGTCAAGCCAGTTGGCTACTTGACTTTGTTCAAGATTATCTCCAGGATAGTTAAACACCTCACCAAGCCTGTGGTCCACAACACTAATGGCTGGAAGTGTGGCTGTCCATGTGTATTCTGATAGGATCTTCAGACCTATAGTCTTAGGCTGGCTGTGAGCAAATTTTAGTAGCATAATATAAACAAGGTAAACAAGTAAAAAACTCTTGAACGAAGCAATGCTTACCATGATGGTACTGTAACTTTTTAAAACAAACATTCAAATAATCTTTATCAAAGAAAGTTAGTTATTTACAAAATTTATATTATGGAAATATTTTACAGAAAAAAAAAACAACTTTATAATTTAGCTGAATTAAAAAGTAAAAATGTTGGTAAATACAAATTACAAAAATATAAATTGTTAAAAAATAAAAGGGCTTCAAACACTAAATTCAATCATGAACTTACGCATCCATGTAGCAGAAAATTGCTTTTTCAAATTGTCCAGTCATGGCAAGTTTAGTAAACATTTCTTTGGCAACTTCAGAAGATTGATCATCAGGGTCCACAAACAGAATTGCAAATGGCAATTTTTTTTCATAAAGCAATGGAAAGTTGATCTGTGTAAGCTCAGGCTACAGGAGACACAAAAATAAGACTTTACGATATCTTGTAAATAAATAGTGTAACAAGATATGTTTAGGCTTGGAAAAAAAAGAAACAACAATTAAACGGACGTTTCAGCTAGATGCCTTCGGCTAGATGCCTTCGGCTAGATGCCTTCGGCTAGATGCCTTCGGCTAGATGCCTTCGGCTAGATGCCTTCAGCTAGATGCCTTCGGCTAGATGCCTTCAGCTAGATGCCTTCGCCAGCAGACGATACAATAATAAACAGCAGATAAATTTAAATTAAAAAAAACAACTTATTTTTTGAAGATCTTAATAAAGTCAATGTAGGTCAAAGTTCATAACTATGTTATTGTTAGAAACGGAAGTTGAGAAACAAAGGTGCATCATAAAAACAAAAGTGTGCGACCAAAACGTGCTTCCCACATAATTCTGTGGTACATACTGTTAATTTCTTGAAAGTAAGTGGAAAAATAATTAAAATTTGACAATAGTTGTTGGATAGTTACCAAGGAAGAAATAGTTGACTGTTTGACAAAATCAGTTAGGGAGGCTACTGATATCTTCCCTGCAAGGATGCTTTTTTGCCTGTTAATATCCTCTTGTCGAAAAGCAATCACAGATGTAATAGGTGCACCATACTTCTTTGCACTACAAGAAATATTATTAAGATCTGTAAATCTTTAAAAGTTAACTTAACCAGGTTAGTTTATGTTATTAGGTTAGCCCGGGTTTTGTTAGACAGGTTCTGTTCCCCAGGTTTAAAAATGCTGAGTTTCAAGTAAGGTCTGATACAAGATACTAAATCAGAATCTATGCCCTTCTGGCCACCACAGCTGGCAGGAAGTAAATCACGTGTAAACATTGCATTTATTTTAAATCAACTTATTTTATCATTAAATAAAAATTTCAAATAAAATAATAAAATGACATAGACATATTGAGCTACGAGATGCAAACAACCTACATATGTGTGACCAACTCCTCCGTCACTATTCCAAAAGCTGTGATGGTTGACATAGACTTGGTGACATCTACAAATGTCGATCTGGCCTCTGGTTATTTTGATAAAATAAGAAAATACAAATCAATGAACTTGCTTTTTTGAAAAAACAAAACTGAAATTTATTAAAACTGAAATTTATTAAAACTTATTAAATTTCAGTCCTTACACTTAATGGATCTGTCTACAACTAGAAATATTGAAGACAAATGTAATTTAAACATGATCAATATGAAAGACTTAACTAGAACTGTAAGTTTAAATCATGTGCATGCACTTAAAAAACAGCCAAAGATTTTCACTTATATTTAGGGGGAGACAGTGGTGAAGTTGTAAATTCCAAATATAAAGTAGATGGCATCTTTAAGCTTTGAAAAAAGACCCAGCAAAGAAACTTAGGATTATATAAATTATATATTTATATAGGAAAGTTAATTTTTTAAATTAAAAATCAAACTTAACTCATACTTATGGCAATTGGAATAAATTGGCCCTTGTCTTAAATTTAAAGTGGAAATGAAAACTGGAAACAAGATTTGAGGGACTATCTTACAGAAATTTTTCTGGTTTCATCCACAAATTCAAGTTTTTTCTTCACTTTTTTTCTTTACTTATCTTTTTCTATTAGTTCCAAACAAGTTTTTAGCAGACACTTTTGTTGCTTTGCTGGGTATTATTTCATGCTATTACATTCCACATGCTTAATTTTTCCTTATCATCTTATATTATATTAATTTATGTTAATTATGTTAATTGAAATGTAAAAAAAAATGGACATAGTAATTTTTCATTTTACTCTTTATAATTTAAAAGGAGACAAAGAGAAACGGAAAGGTATCCTTAATGGCATATGTCCTAACTTGGATTAGAGGTGATGACAATACAGGATATTTAAATTTATGACAATACATAGAAAACATTCAGAGAGTTCATTACCTTGGTGTTCTTTATGTGACAAGAGCAGAACTGCACTGGATGAAAATTCAGAAAATTTATTAGGGAAATGCCTCTCCATAAACATTTCAACTTCTTTCTCTGACTTCAGTAAAACAGGACTTTTCAGTTGTAATCTAAATGAAGAAAAACATAATTAATACTACTGTCTTTTTAAAATACCATTATTCTAATTGTTGGGGCCTTAAAATAAAATTAAAAAATAAAAAAAAAAAACCAAAAATTATCAGTTATTTTTTTTTTAACAACTGTACAAACAATAGTAATTTTCTGAGCTGTTACTAATACTGAACAAAAAATTCTTTCCCCACCAACTAAATGAAAATGTTCTCACAGTTTGACAGCATTAATGATTGATTTGGAATACAGATGGCCTCTGTAGTCTTGGGTCTCCTCATCTCTCTGGTAGATTCTAATGAGGGGATAAGTTGTGATGTTTTCTGCAGCACAGAGATCTGTGGCATCAAAGCAGTTAACTCGAGCTAGCACATCATGGTCTGAATACATTGTGGACAGGATTTGGGAAGCCTCACCAAAGTCTCGCAAAAAGGCCATGCTGACTTGGTCAACTGGGAAAAGACAAAAACAGTAATAATTAGATTAAATTAACATCATCAATTTTTTTGTCTTAAAAAAAAAGCAATTCAAATGATAATATCCTTTTTAAAAAAGAATTGAATGAGAACTCTGCTCTACAGAAATATATTACAACTTTTTGGTTTTTCCTTGAACACTTGACACGTGTTTGGTTTTTGCCAAGTGTAATTAAAAGATACAGTGATTCCTCATCTTAAAACAGCTACTAAATAAACACAAAGCAAAAAGTAAAAAAATTCATTAGAGTGTAGAAGAAGTAAATTGTAAGTTTTAAGGCAACTATAATGTAGTGTAAAAAAAATTGAGAATTTTAGTTTTAAAAAAAGAACTATTACACTAATGAACTATATTTCCAGTTTCTTCTGTTTTGATTCCTCAGTTACACCATTCTTGTTTGGATAAAGAAAAGTGTTTAAAAATCTGTCAAAAAAATTTGATGATCCTGCATACCTACAAAACTAGCAGTAATAAAACCAAATTAAAATGTAATTAATTTATTCCTGTACATGTTATTTTTTTATATCCAGTGTACACTGGCAGCATTTGAAATTCAACTTTTGTTATATCTTTTGCTTTCCTAGAAGTTATATTTACAAGTCATATAAATGATGTATTAAAGCCCAACAAATATCTATTTCAGCACATAGTTATTTACTGAAAAGTTAATTGAAGACTCACATGGTAAGTAAAACAGAACCATCTTAAGCTCTGCAGATTTGAGAGTGGAGTAGAAATTGTTCTTTGCCAAGGGGGGAATGAGATCGAGTTCCATTTCCTTGAGATGCAGCCTGAAAACTGCATCAGCCACCTGGTCATCCTGGGTCTCAACTGTTTCAGCAATGGAAAACAAGAACTTTGATACAAATCATTCAATAACATAGACATATACAATCATTCAACAATGTTTATAGATACAATAATTCACCAAAGTCCATATCTACAATTTTTAAACAATGTATATAAGCACAATCATTTAACACTATACAAATATTATACAATCATTAAACTATGTATATAAACACAATCATGAAATTAAACAATGTAAATAGATAGAATCATTAACAAATGTACATGGCTATAATCAAAAAGCAAGCCATGCATGTAAATACAATCATAAAACAAATAATAGATTGCAGATACAATCTTTAAACAATGTATTTAGATACTATCATTTACCAATGTATATAGAAACAATGGATCTTACTAGATAGCACTCTTGAACAAATTTCTAAATATTTATTAAAAGTTTGCTTTGATTATATCTCCTAAAAATCTACTCAACTTGAACTATTTTAGTAGTGATGCTAGTGGGACAAGCTCACCTTCCTCTATCAGACTTGCTGTGATTCTTTCCAAATCTGTTGAATGTGCAAGTTCAAGGTTGGACTCTTGTGCAGAGTGGTCTATTGGGTACAAATAAGGCTCTAGAAATTCATGGAGTGTTGATAGAAGCCATTCTGTTGACTCACTCATAAAAGCTACCTCGCCATTCTGTCACATTGAGAAAATACATTTGGAAAATTCATCAAGGCTAAGCTTTTTTAAAGTTCCTAGTCATCATTGGTTTACTGGGGTAATGAAATTTGGGGGGGTGTGCGGGGTGCACACAGGACTTTTACTTTAAGTTTTCGTAGAGAAGACTATGGCTAATTGTCAGTTTCCTCTACATTAAATCCTGTATTTTTTTCTTTACTATACAAAAAGTCAATATCACAGTCACATTAATGCAGGTTCTTAAAACATTCTGTGTGAAGATTTGAGATTTTTAACATGTAGGGAGCTGGGTGATTTCAATTTTTAAGAAATGAATTTTTGTTTTCTCTTGTGGTTAGTGAGCTATGTGGTGTTGAAGTTGGACAATTTTTTTAATGTAACTGGGTTATAAGAGAATATATTTTTATACTCTCTTTTTTCCCCCCCATTGTATTTGAAAAAAAAATTGGCACGTGTGAATGAATACAAGAAATTTCTGGAGCAATGCCACGATCACTTAATATCAAAATTTGAGACATAGTGAAAGGCTTTATAGCAGGGTTCCGTTACATTGTAAACTTTGTTATTTTATTACTTGATAGCTGCTGGAAATGACTTTTTAACTAAGAGGGAGAATATGCAAACACAAGCCGACCTGAAGCTGGATACCAATAGAAGGAAGCTTTCCATGAAAACCTTGCTGTTTAGCTTGTGCTTGGCATTCACCATTATCCCTGAAATTAATGGTGGCAGTCTCTTAAATATACTTCCTTACACAGACATTTTTGGAAAACATACATAAATGTACAATACATTCTCCATTTAAAGTATACCAGGATCACACTATTCTATCATTGTCAGAACAAATACTGAGGGTTAATTATGAGAGCACCTGTTAACAAACTTAAAATAATGTTTTAGAGCAAACATTTGGTAGTACTTTCTAAAGAGACCAATTAAAGATACTTTGTTATGAAATACTTGTTAAAAAAATGTAACAATTGTAAACTACTTTAGAAATACTCTAAGATATTATTTTTTTATACAATACAAATTTCAATTTGAATTATCAAAATTAATAAAAAATAAATTGCATACATTTCCACAAGCATGATTCTGGCAAAGCCTCGGACATCAAAAACCAAACTGTCAACTTCAAATTTGATGAAGTCAGCCAATTCTCTGTTGGAGTAAATGAAAATGGTAGGCAGAGACAATGGCAAATTCTTCATTGAGGAAATCTCATTAGTCGGGCAATGATACTGAAACAAAAGAGAAATAATACGCTTAATTATAGAGTAATGATACACAGCATTGATAAGAAATGCTTAAATATTTCTAAACAAATAAAAGAGAATGAAATAGAAGTGAAAGTATGTGTTTAATAAGTTTACTTAAACAAAACAATTTCAATGATAATCAGAAATATGGAGAAACTGTTATAATGTTTTTGTAATGGATTATGCTGATAAGCTTATGGTATTTATGCTTTAAACTAATCTATTTTTTTAGTTCTTATATCAAATATTCTGCCTATAAGTGGACAGTCTAATTCTAAAATATAATAACATAGTTTTAGATAAAACTGTTTGCTTTTTAAAAAAAAATGTAAATGCTGCAAGGAATTGAATTCTGTAACTATATTAAAAATGAAATAACAACCTAATAATTTTGGGAAAAAAGAATGTCTCACCAAAACTGGTTCTGCCAGATTTTTAACAAATGTTGCAACTGCAGCTAGGCTTATTTCTCCTTTATACATTATGTGGTGACAGTTTCCACTTTGAAAAAACTGCTCAGGATTTGAATCACTACAGAAAAGTACCCACATTGCCAAGCTGGTCGATGATTTCAGGTATTCATTCTCTCTGAAAAGAGAATTTATTGAAAACATAATGAAAGAATTATCTGATCTGGAGTGTCTATAGCTATGAATATAAAAATAAACTTTTTGTATTACTACCTTAACAATATTTGGAATATACTTAAAACAGAATCAAATCATAAAATAGCTGACTCAATATATTGTATCCCCTTCTTAATTTTATCATTGGGTCAGATTGTAGTCAGACAAATGTAAAAATATTAAGATATTTTATTTAAAATTAACTTATATTTTTTCAAAATATGAGAATAAATCATTCTCATAATAGATTACTAGCTTTCCACATTCAGTTCTCCGCTTGAATTCTAATTATTATAATATTTTTTGAATATTTACTTTTAACAACTATTTAAAAAAATGAATAACTTGAAATCAATTAAAAAATTAATCTTATACCAATTCTGAAAAACATATTTTTCATATGCAGCTCACAGCTACTAGGATAAATGATATTTAGCAGTTTTGTCCATTAATGAAATGTATAAAACCTTAGAAACCTCAACTCTTGTGCCAATCTACTCTGCTTTACAAAAATTTGGACACACCCCATTGAATAGCAACTAAATTTTTTGAAAAACAAAACCTTACTGTAGGCCCAGAGTTGATTTAAGTTCTGTTGTCAGAGCAAATTTGTATCTGTCTTGGTAGGTATAGGCAATCTCCATAAAAATGCGATGTTCTAAATAAAAAGTTACATTTCTTTTGAGTAATGGTACTCATAAGAGATATTTGATTAAAGGTAAAATATTTTTTAAAATAGTGTTTTTGAGTAAAAATAATAATATCCTATAATTATCAAGCTTTACACTCTCTTTATGTTAGCAGTCAAAGAACATATAAGTGTTAAAATGCGGTCCTGTTAAAAAACAATAAAAGACAATGTGTCTTCTTCATGCAAAAAAATTATTTTCAAATGTTCAAAAGGTGTAAAGACCTGTAATTAACTATTGAAGAACATAATATAACGTCCATATTATTCTCCTAAAGGATTAAATTTCCCACAGTGGGAATTGATTTAACATCAACAGAGCTTGATTAGAATAAACCTAACCTTTAGTCCCAATAGCTTGTGTGTAAGCAAAGAAAATATCATTTTTTCCAATCATTGACTTTTGTAGAGCTTGTCTTTCTAGTCGAGACTGAATGATCTGAACATCTTGCAGCAGCACTAGTCTGTAAATGAAACAAAGTTGGTTAATGCTAAAATAATGCAACTAATTCAAAGCAATACAATTTAATTCTGAACATAATTAAAAACTACCAATCAAACGACACTTGCCAAATGAGAATACTCAAAAGAATGAAGTGCTTACTGAAGAGCATGAGACATTATTGAGTTAACATCAAACATGGTCTCTACTTCCATCTCAAGCAGCTGTCTTCCATTTCTGCAACAGCAAAAATTTATATAAATAATTTGCCAGCAAAGGTCAAACACCACCACCACACAGGCTATATATAAATATGCCAAGAAACAGTATCATAGCCAGGAATAACATTACAATAGGTACCTGGAACATGAGATCGTTGAAAGAAACATGCAAGGTGGAGGAATTAGTTCATGAAATGAGCAGATACAGAAGTGACATCCTAGGTCTGTGTGAAATGAGGTGGAAAAACTTTGGAGAAATATCGACCCAAGGGGGCCACATACTGTATTTTAGTGGACGGGAGTACACACACGAACAAGGAGTTGGCGTCCTCGTCCACAAAAACATTAAGAACAGTATTATGAGCTGTCGACTGGTTTCAAGCCGGCTCATCACTCTTCATCTAAGGGCAACACCGTTCAACATCCCCATCGTGCAGGCGTATGCACCAACTACAGATTATACTGACGAAGAAGTGAACGACTTCTACCATCAGATACAGGATGTGCTAAACCAAACACCCAAATAGGACGTTCTTGTTGTTCAAGGTGATTGGAATGCCAAGGTAGGAGAAGATGCCTATGAAAACTGGAAAGGAACGTGCAGACGTCACTGTAACGCAACTTCAAACGAGAGAGGTCTGAGGCTTTTGGAATTCGCCAGCTTCAATGAACTCATTCTGGCCAACACATTGGGTGAACATAAAATGCCCAGGAAAACCACATGGCACGGCCCCAATGGGAAACACCACAACCAGATTGACTACATCATGTTGCAAACACGCTTCCGGTCTAGTATAAACATTGCCAAGACTCGCAGATTCCCTGGAACTGACATCGGGAGCGACCACGACCTAGTCATGATGACCTTTAGACTGCACTTAAAGAGGGTAAACAAAAAAGGAAATACCAGAATTAAATTCGACCTTGAAAAGCTGAAGGATCCTAAAGTAGCAGAAGCCTTCCAGGCAATAATAGGAGGAAAATTTGCAGCGCTTAACATCATAGATGCCGACTGTTCAGACATGGACACATTGATCGATAACTTCAACACAGCTGTGACGGACTCAGCTCACGACATCCTCGGTAAACATCGACCAACCTGAAAACCATGGGTGACAGCTGACATACTTGATCTGTGTGATAAGCGGAGGCAGCTAAAGAAAACAAAAATGGTAAATACAGAGTGGGCCATTAAATATAGGACAGTTAATCAAGCCATCAAAAAAGGTATGAAAAGGGCAAAGAAGAACAGGATTGAAGAGCAATGCTATGACATTGAAAACTGCTTGAAGAAAGACAATAGCAAAAAAGCTTACCAGTTGGTGAAAGAACTAACCACTGCAAAACAAGGGCGTAGTACTACCATACAGGATAAAAATGGTAAATGTTTAACCGAAGAAAATGATATCATCAAACGATGGACTGAATACTGTTCAGAGCTGTATAATGAAAGTATAAAGATAGACCCAGAGATCTTTAATGTCCCTCCAGCAACAGACAATGATAACTACCCTATTCTCCGCGCAGAAGTAGAAGCAGCAGTCCAGGCACTCCAAACAGGAAAGGCCGCAGGAGTAGATAATATACCTGCCGAGTTGATGAAACAAGGAGGAGAAGCAATGATAAGTGGCCTATTCAATATTTGTAACAAAATCTGGCTTACAGGAGAATGGCCCAAACCATGGACCCAATCACTCATCGTCACCCTCCTCAAAAAAGGTAACCTACAGCTATGCCAAAACTATCGCACAAATATCCTAATAAGCCATCCAAGCAAGGTCATGCTGAAGATCATATTGAACCGACTATAACCATATGCCGACAGAATCATTGCTGAAGAACAGGCGGGCTTCAGACAAGGACGGGGCACTACTGAGCAGATTCTAAACCTCTGAATACTATGTGAGAAATATGCTCAACACCAACAAAATCTATACAATGTCTTTGTTGACTTCAAGAAAGCATTTGACAGGGTTTGGCATGCTGCTTTATGGGCCGCCATGAGGCACTACAACATCAACACAAACCTAACCAGCATGATATGCAACCTCTATGATAAGGCCACGAGTGCAGTCTTCCTCAACAACAGCATCGGAGAATGGTTCAAGACCATGGTTGGAGTGCGACAAGGCTGCATGCTCTCCCCCACCCTATTCAACATCTTCCTAGAGAGAATTATGTCAGATGCTCTGGAAGGGCATGAAGGGACAGTCAGCATTGATGGCAGAACAATCACCAACCTACGCTTTGCGGACGACATAGACGTGCTGGCTGGGAATGAAGAAGAGCTAGCCAACCTGGTAAAGCGTCTCGAAAAGACCTCGTCATCCTACGGCATGCTAATCAGTGCCAAAAAGACAAAACTGATGACAAATAATACCGCAGGCATCACCACTGAAATTAAGGTCGGGGAGGAAAGATTAGAGACTGTCAGCCGCTTCAAATACCTAGGAGCAATAGTCTCAGAAGAAGGCTCCAAGCCCGAACTGATGTCCAGGATTTCACAGACTACAACAGCATTAAAAAAGCTCAAGAACTATGGAATGACAAAAATATAGCCCCCAGCACCAAAATCAGGCTGATGCGCTCATTAGTCCTCTCCATTTTCCTGTATGCCTGCGAATCCTGGACATTAACAGCCGATCTTGAAAGGAAAATAAAGGCAATGGAGATGAGATGCTTCAGAAGCATTTTTGGCATCTGCTATAGGGACCATATCTCCAATGATACAGTGAAAGAAAAGGGGGCGTCAGGCAATTGGGGAGTACGATGATCTACTGGTGAATGTGAAAAAACGCAAATTACAATGGTACGGCCACGTAAGGAAACAAGGGTTTGCCAAAGAAATATTGCAGGGCAACACAAGAGGAGGGAGAAGAAGAGGAAGACAAAGGAAAAGGTGGGAGGATAACATCAAAGAGTGGACAGGACTAACAATGGGTGATGCAGTGTGTAGTGCTGAAGACAGAGAGGAATGGAGGAGGATGGTTCACATGTCATCTGTGGCGCCCCAACGGTCCAAGGGACATGAGGATGAGAGTGTGGTTAAATAATGAGTTCTCTAGCGCACAAAATATAACTCCTGATAACCAAGCTAAATGATATGTATATATATATTTTTAATAACGCAATTGCAATTGCATTTGGTGCGTAATATTTTTTTTTTGGAAATGAAATCTTCTCAATTTAAGTGTTGTGTAAAAAATTTTTCGGTTTAAAAGTGGTTGGGACATGAGAATATTAACATAGTTCATGGGCGTGAAATAAAAGGTGTGCAGTGAGGTATCAAAGGGGAAGGGGTGTAGCAAATATTGGGATTCTTAAATGTGCGTAAGGTGAGTTCATGTTTTGTCAAGTAACTTTACTAGATGGGAAGTTCACGCATTGCTGTCGCCAATATTTGGCGGGCTATATCTATTCAAGAAATAATTTGATCTTATTTCTTAGATTTAAGTGTAGCTGAAGTAAAGTAACATAAAAGTCACTAAAACAGCTGAGTAATTATAAAATTAATGTCTAGAATCGACATATTTCTAGATAAAATTTTTGTCTTCATTTTATTATAATTTACCTTAGTAATTTTCAAACATCTATTGCTTTCACCTCCCAGGTCTATCAAAAAAGAATAAATATCTTACTTGTATGAGTAAACATTTCTCCCAGCTTTGACATTACTGCAATGTTCTTCCTTGCTCATATCTGCTTTACAGTCAAACTAAAACATGGCAACTAAATGAATTAGGATTTAAAAATTAGTCTAAAATGTTACATGTCTCAGTTTAAAAATGTAAAAGTCCTTCTATATAAAATAACAGTGGCCAGTACGTCATTAAGTAAAGTAGCAAGAATCATGAGTGGGTCAGCTTGGAAAGCAGGCAAAAACAAACTTATTGTGTGTCATTAATACAAGGACCTAAGCATGTAGTAATACATATTTGACACTTTTCACTGCACTATTCTCCTACTATTTTTACACCTCTGCCCCCCCCCCCCCCAACCCTTTTTATAACCCCCCCTGGGCCCCCCCAAAAAACTTTCTAAAGGGGGGGGGGGGGCAAAAAAATGGATTAACTTTCCAAAAAATAGTTTTATTGTGGGGGGGGGGGGGGGGGGGGGCAAAATTTTATTTAGTAATGTTTTAATATAGTTTTAATTTACTGTAGCGTATTTGTATGGTGAACGAACAGACAGGACATCAGCTTAGTTACTTTCTCTTTATTTTCTCTTTACTTGAATACATTTTTTGTCTATTTTTGTCTAAAAATCTTTTATCCAATCAATCCAGGGGGGGGGGGGGGTTACCTTGCCCCAACCTGCAGGCGCCCATGTAACTCACTATTCTTATTCTGTTTTTACACTTTCTTATATCTTCCCGTTGCCATTTAAAAAAAATAAAATATTATTTTTCTTCCTTTCTTCCATGAGATTTACTTGATGCTACCCCAATGTAAACTAGGGAACTTGAATGTTGATAAAAACAGACATAGTTATTTAGCAATAATAATTCAGATACTAATGAGATTTTATAGAAATAATTGCTAAAAAATGATCATGCAAAAAACCCCCCCCCCCCAAAAAAAAACAACAACATTACAATATTTGAAATATAATCCTTGAAAATGAAGTTTGCCTCTCCTTCAGTATTTTAGCATAGCAAAAATAGCCCAGGACAGTGTCCACTATCTACTTACCACAGCTAGCTGGACATTGTATGCCTCCAGGTATTTCGCAGACTTGTCATACTCTTCAAAAAACTTTCTGGAGGTGCGAGGAAGCTCTTCAAGTAAGATATGAATAAATGAAAACATACATATAAATAAAGTTCAAATTTATTAATTAAAGGACACTAAAATCTGTTAAGACCTGTTGACAGTTTAAGCTATTTCTATCCAAACACTTTTAGTTAATAATAGATTATTTGTTTTGTTATTTCAGAATCCCTAATGATGGATACTAATTATTTCTGAGCATAAGAATTTAATAGGATCTGCAGTCAATGAAAAATATATACTACTGTTAAATTCAGTAAAGAATTTGGTCCTCATCAAAATTCTAAAACAGATTCTTTACACTGTGATACTATTAAGTCCATATAAGATGCTGATGCTTACCATTTATAAAAAAGTATACTAGCAGCAGGGATGGAGTTTGGCGAAGTTCCTCCAGTCGTTGAGATGTAATCACAAGAGCATGATTGAAGCTGAAGCTCATGTCTGTTTTTGGTGAATTAAGCCCTGGTGGTGTTGATGATGAGGCAACTGCTGCTACCATTAGGCAGGCACAGAACAAATGTCCCATTTTGTTTTCGATCTTTGTTTTTAAAATTGTCTAAAAAATTACAAAACAATAAAAAATTTAAATTTTATGGAGAAAACTTTGTAGGTCTCTACCTCTAAGATACGGTTTGGTAGTTAGACAATTCCATAGACAACAGGAGAATGACAAGTATGGTCTAATCAATACTAACTAATGTAGCTGAACAGTTAAGATTAAAATAATATATATTCATGAAAACTGACATGGACGATGGTTCAAGGGTAGATTGTACTATCTAACATCTAGGCAGATGCACCTGTTACCAAAGTGAGAAAAACCATTAATATCACACTATACCCTGATCATAGGAAGCAAAACAATTTAGATAGTCCATTTACTTAACAATTTTGATTTATTGCCCTTCAACCTGTGACACATTCATTAACAGCCAGCAATCCTGATTGGATATTTGGACTGGCTATCATCATGGTAGTTATTAATCTACTAACTTATTTTCACATCACTTCATATCAGTTGTTCTGAGTACATTTTCATTTTTCTAGAAATAAAAGAAAGTTGTAGCTTATTTTTGTTAAAAACATGACTTGAGTAGAAGATGAATTTTTTCAAAAGCTTTCTTTGTTCCATACAATGGCTATTATAAATTGATGTAAAATTAAATTATTATTTTTTCAGTGTTTCTTCCACACATAATTTTGAAAATTGTTGGATGGTAAAATTTAGATAAACACATGGATGATATACTCAATTAATTTCAAACAGACTTATTTATCTAGAGAAATAATAATTTTTTTTTTTTGTCTGCAGAAACATTCATTGCTTGACAGAGTTAAATTATACTTAGCTTTTGAATCTCTAAACCTAAGTCATGATTACTGGCAGTAAGGAGTAAATCTTTATTTAAAAATATGGCTTTCCTTGCCTATGAACTCAATGTTCTTTGCAAATTGCACAGGCATGCACACAGCCGAATCATTTATTTCATTCCACTTGCTTGCAGCAATGCAAACATACACGTGCCAACATTGTATTTGTCTAGTCATATGACATCATTGTGCTTCATGGGTGACCCATGCTTTTTTAGTCATATGACTGGTAACAACTCTGAAGTTTTGGGGGAAATTTATTTGATACTTTTTAGTACATTTTTTGGAAAAGCGTGTTTTTAAAAAGAATTTTTGTTTCATTTGTTGTCACACCTCAGCAAATCAATCACTTTCTGTAGCATTAGCATTGTTAATAACATTTTATGATGTATATTACTCTTCATTATACCCAGCTGCAGTGTGATCTATATAAAAAGTTATCTCAAAAACAATTTATTGTATCCAGTGGCATAGCTAGGGTTAGTGCCACCCAGAGTGGGCCAAGATGTTTGCTGCATCCACTCTCACAAAAAAAAAAAACCAAAAAAAAACAACCCTCTGTGGATAATTGAAAATCCCCCCCCCCAGAAAAAAATGTGAGGACTCAACCCCCCCCCCCTCCTCCTCTTACGCTAGTGTAAAAAAAAAAAAAACAAAAAAAAAACAACCCTCATTGGATAAATGAAAATCCCCCCCCCCAGAAAAAAATGTGAGGACTCAACCCCCCCCCCCCTCCTCCTCTTACGCTAGTGAATGGAATGTATCTCACCCTTTTTTAATTTAATCCTGGTGTTGATATTCTATTAGAAAACATGGACAAGGCAAAAAAACACAGTTAAAAGTTTGCCACTAAACACTTTTAGAGATCTCTAAATGACCGCCTTTGCTTGTACAAGGCCCCTTGGAACAGACAGTCTGTTCTTTTCTATAAATTGCAATCTGGCATTTTTTTTTTACACCTACTGGGGCAGTGGTGGGCAAATGTAGATAAGATTGTACAAAGAAGACAGATGTTTAGGGAAAAACACACCGAAATAAAGTAAATGCTGTTAAATAACTTATAATGCCGGAAGATAATTTAAAACTTTGACAAAATAAATTATGGTTCAGGTAACTTATCATTAGTTAAAGGTATAATTTAAGGAGCCATCCATAAATATATCAAACTTGTACAGTGTAGAATCTAACTTCATACAATAGAGCACTGATCATCCAAACACTGATAATCCAAACTGCCCCTGGCATGAAGCATTGGCATATAACAAACATCTGAAAACAACAGACACCTATATGTGTTTTGTATATGCTATGACTAGACTGGGATAATGTTGTTGTTGTTGAGCCTTCTCGTCCATGAGGGGCATCCACCGATCATCGTCGGCGTCTGCGGTTCCTCCAAGGGCATAGGCCACCTACGAGAGACCTCCAGGCATCTCTATCCTGGGCCAGTTTCTCCAGGATCTTCCATTCATGGCCAATTTTCTTGATGTCTGTCTCCAATTCTCAGCGCCAAGTGTTTCTTGGACGGCCTCTTTTCCGCTTACCCTGTGGGTTCCATTTCAGGGCTTGCTTTGTTGTGTTAGAAGCAGGTTTTCTTAGTGTATGACCAATCCACCTCCACCGCTTCTGGAGAATCTCTTCCTCAATGGGCTTCTGTTTTGTCCGCTGCCACAGTTCCTGGTTGCTGATTTTGTCTGGCCAGTGAATTCTGAGAATCCTTACAAAAGCAGACTGGGATAATGTGACAGGCAAAATTATTTAAAAAAAATATATTGCAGAATACAGGCCTAAAAAGTAGAGACCGACCGAATTTCAGCTTCGGTTTCGGCGCCGAAAGTGGCCATTTTATCACTTTTGGCCAAGTTTCGGTTTTGGGCGAAAGAGAAAAGTTAACTTTAGTTTTTTTTTCGGTTTCGGCCGAAAGTGACTGAGGTTTTCTGTCATCTAATATCAGCAAAAGCGATATTTAACAACAAACTAAGCGACATTTAAGAACAAACTAAACGATCTTTAAAAACAAATAAAGTGATCTTTAAAAAAAAAAATAAAGCGATCTTTAATAAAAAAACTAAACTATCTTAAAGAACAAACTAAGCAATTTTTAAGAACGAACTAAGTGATCTTTAAGACCAAAACAAATGATCTTTAATAGTAAACTAAATGATTTATAAGAATAAACTGAGTGATCTTTAACAGAAAACTAAATGTTCTTTAGGAACAAACTAAAAGATCTTTAAGAACAAACTAATCGATCATAAGGAACAAAATCAATTATCTATCAGAACAAACTAAGCCATCTTTATGAAAAAGCTAAGTGATCTTCAACAACAAAATCAGCGATCTTTAAGAACATAACTAAATGATTTTTAATAACAAACTAAAAGATCTGTACAAACAAACTAAGTGATCTTTAAGAACAACAAGCAATATTTAAGATCAAAATCAATGATCTTTAAGAACAAACTTAGCCATCTTTATGAACAAACTAAGCGATCTTTTAATAACACAAACTTAGCGATCTTTAACAAAAAACTTAGCTATCTTTTTTGAACAAACTAAATGATCTTTAATAACAAACTAAAAGATCTTTAAACAAAAACTAAGCGATCTTTAAGAACAAACTACGCGATCTTTATGAACAAATAATGCGATCATTAACAAAGAACTGAACGATCTTTAACAACAAACTAAGCGATCTTTAAGAACAAAATAAACAATCTTTAACAACAAGATGTTATATTAGATGTTTATTTCTTAATATTCACGATTATCTCATTTTTTTAATAAAAAGAATGTAAATGTTTATAGGCCCTACTTTCTCCCATCATTTTCGATGTATGCAGAATTTATGCTGGACTTAATTTCAAAATACCTAAATATTTCATTTTCGGCTTCGGTTTCGTCCGAAAGTCATTTTTAACTTTCGGTATTTTTTCGGTTTCGGCCGAAAGTCATTTTAAACTTTCTGCCTATTTTCAGCTTCGGCTGAAATCAGAAAATCACTTTCGGTCGGTCTCTACTAAAAAGACAATATGACCTCGGATTTGTCTAAGCGCTATTCATATTTTAAAAAACGACCTCAATTTTTAAAAAAAAAAAAAAAAAATCAATCAAGTCCTTACTGAATTTTGACATCAATCAGCTGACACCAATACATCATTGATAATTATTGTACATAATAATCTGCAAAATAAAGCACTTTAGTAAGAATCTATCGCTTTCAATGCACTAACTTCTTAAGCAACCTTTCCATGGAAGTGTTAACATCCTATAAATATGTTATCCATACAACATATCCCTGAGTCCAGTCAGTTCTGATAACTTACATTCTACTGTTTTAATAGTTATTAATTGTAGGTGTACACCTAAGTAGAAGGCATAGCCAGGATCCAAGCGTGTGAAGTGCAAAATGGATCTAATTTGAGAAATGAATCAACTCAGTATTGACAATAGGTGAATTCCATGTAAAAGTTGACACATATCCAAAAATTAAATTGTATAAAATGTGATGCTACATAAATCTATTTCCTGCATCTTGGCATGGAGTAGTTTTTAGTATCTTTCTTTTATGTGAGCATAGAGTCACATGACCAGTTGAATTATGAACTTGTTTTCGGCACCTTTTTATAGAAATTTAGTTGAATCTAATAAATATATAGACTGTCAATGTCACATAATGGACAATCATTAGAACACTAATTTATGAACATGTTAGTTTATTTAACTGCTATAGTGAAGTATTTGTAATTTTGTAAAAGAATTGACGATATTGCACATTGGTCTTGGTTACAGAGACCAGATGTGTGTGTGTTCCGATTTATCTGGGACAGTCCCTATTTTTGCACCAGGGGCCATCCATAAATGACGTCATGCAAATTTTGCCGATTTTTTCAATCCCCCCCCCCCCCCCCCCCCCCCCCCCCCCAGATCATCACAAAAAAGGTGAACCCCGCCAATATAATGTCACAAACCTATACAACCTCCATAAAATTCCATCTGCCCACTAATGTCCTTTACAAAGCCTTACAAAAATCACCTCCCATGGATTTCCAATTACTACACCTGTGTCACAGAAATATTTCCATACAACAGAGGTTCTTAAAAAGGGGTTTTAAGTGCAAAAGACTCAGAAAGTAAATTTCATTTGGTACCATTGCTATTAGTTTTTGCCAGCAGAAATTTTTTTTTTTTCTGGTGAATTTTGTTTGCACTTTACTGGTGTTGGTAAATTTTTTTTTTTATCTAGATGGTTAATTTAACATTATAATGACAATAAATATATTATTAAATTATTTTAATTTTTAAGATGTAATACAATTTAATTTATACAGGGATCATTAACTAACACCCCCCTTTTTCTTTCCATCACACTTCCTGTGGTAGCATCAATCTATGACTCCTTTCTCCACATTTTGACTTAAATTCTCACGACTACCAATCAATGTCACTACACCCCAATTCTCCTCCTCCATGGCGGCTTGTAACTTGATCCGATACCATTTCTCGTACTTCACATACCTGTACTGATTCTCTCAACGATTGTATTTTGAAAATAATATAATTTTTTTATAAAAGAATGATGTTAAAAAGGTCTGTAATTTAGTGTTATTAAGTGCATTTCTTACCATAATGTCCCGATTTTAATGTGACGTCACGTGGCTTTAAAATCCCCTCGTCACAAAAATGTGACCCCTCTCTGGCCCCTAGACGCATAATGTCATTTACGGATGGCCCCTTCACCGTCCCAGCACTCCCAAAAGTTCATGAAATGTCCTGTCTTCTGGCGTTTTACGACGAATTGCTTACTTTTCCCTAGACAGGAAAAAAAGCTCCAACTATAAGATTCTTTTCTCTGAATAAAACAATATGTCGATATAATTGAAACATATGCTGGTTGTCAAATGATATTTCAGTGATTCATGTGAAAATCATGTCTTTCAGTCAATCCCCCCAAAAGTGTGGTCATCGTATCTGAGTTTTCTATTTTTGATTGCTTGCATTTGCATTCTGACCTCTTACTACACCAGTTACCAAGTCATGTTATGTCAGTGACATTATTTTGTCTGTGTTTTAATTTATTTAAATATGCCTTCTAAGTAGTTTTAAAAGGTTTTCTTAGAAAAGTAAACACTGTTGTGAACTAGATTTAGGGGCATGAATGTATGGTGTGGAAAATTGTTGATCATGAGAGATTTTATGCGTGGCTGTTTAGTGTTGTGCGTACATATTTGTGTAGCTGTTTCTGTGTGCTTGGTATTATGTGATGTATTTGAGTTTGTGACGTATTTGGGTATGGGAAATGACATTATGATAATATTATGGTTTTGGATAGCAGTGATAGAGTAATTATATAACGGAATGTAAGAATTAATTACGGATTTGTTCGTTAAATAAAGAGACATTTGACATGAATCAATGGTTTGTTAAGAAATTGAATTACCCCTAGACAATGAAGCATTTTAACTGTCCTGTGGTAATATCATAATGGTAACACTGGAGTTTGGGATTTATATTGTGATTGTGACCCCTAGACAGCAAGAAGTCCACTGCCCTCAGAAAACGTACCAACTGTGAGAGTTGTTCATGTGAAACATGTATTGTGGAAGTTATTAACTTATTAAGTTTATTAAGGTAAGGACACTAAGGAAGATCGTAACAAACACTAACACTAACACTGTATAGAATTAGTTTGAAAAATTTAAATCAATTAAAGAGAATCTGTCTCTGAGTGTAACTAAAAGTAGTAAAAGTCAAAGTCTACACTCCCTGCAAAAATATATTTTAAAATTTTTATATGATATCATATGGCATTTATTTTTATCATTTTATGGCTTTATGGCTATTACTATTATTATTATTATACTATTTAATTTACTATTACTAATTACTATTATGGCGAAGATAACCTCGTCTTGGCCCTTGGGGCACGTATTATAAATTATACGTCGTTTATCATACAGATTTGTGAATTTTGCCCGTAAAAGAACTAAAATTCTTTAAAAAAAACTTAACTTACATCATTATGATGAAAATGACAAGACATACTATGAATATAAAAATAGTTAATAATTAATTCGAGCCAGTCATTTTGCTTTAACTCCAAGGTAAACATTCAATTATGTTGAGTATTGGGCCGGGAGGTGGATGATATCGATACCTTGATACGGGCGAGGTATGGAGAATAAATTTTAATTACAAGTTCATTCAAAATTAAACTCATTTTGCTAATTTTTAAAACCGGCCTTTCCTTTTAACTTTTTATCATAGAATAAATAAAATGTTGATTATTTTTTTAGGGTTAAAAATTAAATAATGGGTTTAAGGTAACTTGGTATTTCACTACTGTAATGAAGCATGTAAATTTAAAATAAATGATGCACTGGTATTGATCGAGATCTCAAAATGTGTATCACAATGGTCCAAATACAAAATATGCCTTTGATACCTTTGAACTGCAACCTTTAAACTTATTTGAACCTTAACCTTCAATGAAGTTAAAAAGTCACGACAAAATAATGGTCTTTTTAGCATTTTGAATTATTATAATATAATATAATTAATGAATTTAATGTAGGAAAATTTCACAAAAATAAATATAATTTAAAAAATGCCAAGCTTCGATATGAGCTTGACAAGAATTGAAGTGTATTTTTATCATAATTTTATGGCTGCTCCGTATTTTAATAAAATTACATCTTATTTTTTTAAAATTTCTCAAACTAACCAATCAGATTTTAGTTGTCGTTAAGTTGTTTACATTAAATGGCTGCACTTATGTTGTGTACTGAGCTTGTAGCTCAACGTAAATAGCAACATCTGAAACACATCCGTATTTTCCGCGAATTGTCATTGGATGCAGATTTCGAAAAAAACTCTGTAAAGCTTGTCGTTATTCATCTACACTGGAAAGGTAAATAAATATTTATTTAGGAATTAAACATTTTCTTAACTTCAAAGTCAAATTAGATATTTATAATTATCGCGAGTGATTTTCAATCATCATGTCTCAACATGAAATAATTTCTTGAGTCTTAAGTGTGCTGGCCTTATTTTAGGTTATTTGATTGTATTTTTCAAACTAGAAAGGTTGAACAAGTCTTTGAACACTTCTTTTTTTTAAACTATTAGTCTATTGTGACCTATTTTTTTCAAAAATAAAGTTGATTATGAGTTTGAGTTTGGTTTGAAAAATTTAAAAAATAATATTTAAATAAAGGCATGGCATAGTCATGAGTCATGGCATATCCCCATTAACATTGTTCATGATTTTTCTTTTAATTTTAGTCCAGACATCAAGTCAATTTTTTTAACATTGAGTTTTCCTCCAAATTTTGTCATCCATTTATCAGCTGATCACCTGCACCCATATTTCTCAATAATAAAAAAAATGTCATTGAGTCATTGAAATTGGCCTATGCCAATGTAGGCACTTGGATACAAAATTTAAAAAAATTCAAATAATTTTTTTAATAGCACAGTTAGTTAGAGCTAATTTCAAATAAAAAAATGAAACCAGAATCAACTTTTTAGCTTAAGTACTTTTTGAGCTATGAATTTTTAAAGTGTGAGTTCGTTTGGTATTTTTTACTATGGACGAAACCTCCACATCTTGTGACCTCATTCCGCTGATCGCGTCATGCGCAATGACTATATACTTTATATAAGGCAACGCATCGCCTTATCACTAAAATACTGTTTAGGGTCGACTGAGTTTAAACTTTCAACTTTGGCACATGAATAATTAATTAAAGCTTTCCCTGACCAATGGTATAGAAGTTTTTGCACACGGCAAACTCTTATGAATGAAACTCTGAGGTAGTACTACAATACAGCCGTTATGCAAGTGGCTGTGAATGGTTGCCAACGACAACGTGTTGCACACGGTAAATTCTGATCATTTATAATATGGATTCTACCGGGTTGTTAAAGCTCAAATTAAAACATTCCAGTTTAAATGTCTTCAAAATGCATTTTGAAACACAAGTTATCAATTATTTTGATGTAGATAGTGGTAATAAATTAATATTTCCTAAGTATCGGCAACTTCCGCCATTACAAAGGGGGCGTGGCCCACCCCATGACGAAATTAGGTTGAGCGAGCTGCATGACCTGCTGCGAACGCGTAGAAACATAGCGTCTCTCGTAAGACACTTATCGCTGTGAAAATTGGCATACGTGTAGATCAATAGATTCCCCAGATGCAAAAAAAATTTGGTAGTGACAAATTTTTTCCTTCGACTTAATTTTAATGATGAAAGTTGCCTTATATTTACCAAGGATTTTCTCAAAGCTGACTGATTGTAAATGAAAAAGAAATTGATTAAAATGTAGGCCAAGATGTCTACCTAATTATAAGGCCGAAAACGGAACTCAAATATATATCGAAAGTACTAATTTAATAATAAATAGACACACACATCGGAAAATTAAAAACTCGGATTTTTTGGCGCCGATTGCGAAATCCCATACACAAAAAGTAGTAGTCTCCCTTGACTTACCGAAGTACCTAGCCAATGCCTATTTTGCCTATATCATTATTATTATAATTTACAGGATTTGTTATTTTTATAATTATAGATTAATAAATGAAAGTATAAATTATGTTTTAGAAAAGCATTTTCATATTTAAATTATTATTTTAAACTTAAGACAAGATACTATTTTAGAAGGAAAGTTATTCTTATATAAAAATAAAGAAGGTTAAGGCCACTAAGGGCATAGCCAGAAATATAATGACACGAAGAAATTCATTGTACAATGATCTAATATCTGCAATATCTTAGAAAGGGGTGATGGGGGTGCTCAAATCCAGGTGTACTCATCTTAGAGCCACAGGGCCTGAATTTTTATTGTTATTAAATAACTTCCTTTATTATCTTTTTTTAAATAAAGATATGGAGTTTACAGACAATGAAATTCGCGAAGAACTGGCACGCCTTGGCTACAAAGATGTTCCTGAAGAAAAGTTAGCTGAATTTAAGAAAGGTTTGAAGCTAATATTTTTATAAATTCTTTGGTTCAAAGCTTTCTAATTTTAATGAAATGGTGTCGCTTAAATTAAAAGATTTTATATGCACTTACACTGTTGATGTAGTATTAGCTTTATGTAGCATCAAATATAATAAGCATTTTTTAAGGCTTTTCATATTGTTTTTTTATTATTATAATTCTTTTATATTTTATTATTGTTAGATCTCATCAAGTTGATAAATACTGAGCGGAGCAAGAGCAACTCTCTGAATAGTAGTTCAGATGAAGTACAATATGATAACCGTGCACCTTCAACTCAGCAAAAAATTAGTAAGTACAATGTTGCTAAGCTATTTCTTACTTGCAGGGCCATGCTGAGGAAAAGCTGTGTCCTGGGGTGAAGACTGAAATGCTGCCCACCAATATATAGAAAAAAGTGCCATCCAAGAAAGATCATAAAAAGACAATTTCGGTGCCCCATGTCTTTGAGAAGTACATGGAATTTTATAGTTTTATTCATGCTAAGTGTCTGCCATAAAGATGATATTGGTACCCAGGATGAGTGCTTTCTTCACACAGCCCTAGTTACTTGGAGGTATTGGGTAATGTACATATTTTCCTGATGATACATAAATACCAAAGTTTTAAAATATTCTTGTGTCAGATTTAATAAGGGTGTAGAGATGGGAGTCCTTATATTTTGTTTGAAATTTATGATACATGTACACAAGCACTTATAATAAATTTGTGGTACTTAGTAAACCTATATTTAGCTTTTGGGGCTTTTGATAAATGACAGCATTATTATTAGATTATATCATTTATTTTTCAGACTCTTCATCTCATAAAGGCAATGATAGAAATAACCAAGGAAGCCCTTTAGCTGGAACAGTAAGGAGATTTTTATATGGATAAATTTCATTTTTATTTAGATTTTGAATTTCATGTTAATTTTAAAAAAGTAATATTCAAAAATGGTACATTATATTTAAATCCAGAGCTACAAGGAGGATTGGCAATATAGAGGTGGTAGAGGTGAGACATCCTACAAATCTTTGATGGATAGAGGCAATAGACCTACCTACCCCAGATCCTACAGCTTGTATGAAATGCCAATAGATATACAAAGAATAGAAACGCCACCTCAGGATGTCAACAACTGTTTAGATGTGGACCAATGCTCAGAAGCTGAATCAGAAACAACAAAAAATTTGAAAAGAAAAATATGCAGGTAACAGTATTTAATTGAAATAAAAAAAGGGTACTTTTTGCTATCATAGGTATACCATTAAGTTTGAAGTCACTGAATCACTCTACATTATCTCTATAATTTTCAGATTTATTATTAACCCTTTTGAATGGCAAAAAAGACGAAGGGTTGATCCATCTGCCCAATAAAACAAGCCTTGAGATTGGTCGGCTGGTCTTTACAGCAGCTAATCAGATTGCTTCTAGCATTTCTTGCTAATCTCTCCATTTAATGGCAACTTCTAGTGATAGTTAACTGTATTCTTTCATTTTATCCCAAATGTCCCCAATAAATGCTTTAAAAAATATATGACCTTGAAATATGCCAAAAGGAATTAGCACCCCAGTGGTAAATTTCTATGTTTCTATGTAGGACCAATGAAGACTTTGAACAATTAGAAAAATCAAAAAAAAATTCTAAGGGTAAAATATTGCATGAATAGTTGATTCAAATCAGGATATCTCATTTGCTTATTTATATAGTGTTATATTTGTAAAGTAATTAGTTTATTTTTTTAATAACTTTTTTGCAAAATTTAGTGCAGAGCTTTTAAAAAGGGCTCCAGTATTATTTATAAATTGTTCACATTTACTTTATTAACTTTATTTGTTATTAAAGTACTTATTTATTAATTTAATGAGCTGAAGCAATGAAAAGCACTTAAAAATTTATTCAATCTTTAAAACTTTATATATTACACAACCTCTGATTTATAAGCTATTTTCCTTTCCTCTTCTAGAAAAACATCAAGTGGAGAGAGAGTTGTTGACGAATCCTTTAGTAGTTCTGGCGTTGGTAAGTTCAATGCTTAAACAAATGTGAAACCTGTCCATCTTAGTTCTTATATTAATTGATCAAAATGTGTAAAATTGAAAGAAGCTCCAGAAAGAGCACAGCTTTGAGTAGTGTAGCTAGACTAGTTTTTCTATTACTTGTAGTGATGCGGAAGGTTTGAAAATGTTTGGGGTAGGCTTGCAGTTGTGTCACAAGAATATCATATAAAAAGTACAAAAACAGTACTTTGGACATTTTAGCTATTAAGTATAATCATCTGAAGTGATATAACACAAATAAAATATCCATCAAATCTAATATTTACTTTGATGCTGCTCCTAATAAACATTTTGTATCACTATGTTTCTTAATACTTTTATGATGTGTCAAAGAATTTTTGTCATCAGTTTTAATGTCAAGAGATTAAAAAATGTTGAAAGCTGTTGTTGATCTTGGCGGGTGATATTTCAGTATGAACTTAAAATTATTTCAGATCAACTTCCCATTTATATTTGATTAGTTTTATTTGCTTGTTTTGAATATAATTTTCCTTTTTGTACTCTACAGCTGGTATATACGAAATATATGAAAAAATAAAAAACCTTGCCATGCGGGACTGTGAATGTGGAAAAACAAGATCTATGTCTACTGTATCAGATGTTAGTGCGGTACCTATTTCTAGTTTTTTGTTTAAAAATTATTTTAAAACATTTTATTTTTAAAAGGTGTAAATCGTTCTATGTTTATTACTTCTTTTAATGCCCCTTTGATTAAAATTTATATTTGTATTGTATGTATTAAAAAGATGGATGTGTAGAGAATTGAATAAAAAATTAATTTTATAATTTTTTAAAAACTTTTCAGCCTCCATATCGCATTAAAGGTGTTAATAAAAATCCATCAGGTATTTATATTTTTCCAGTATATTTCTCCTTGTAATTATAATGTTTCCTTTTATAATAATGTCATAAATGATTACAACTGAGTAATATTTCACTTCATTTTATAATAACTCTATTTTCTATTTCAGTAATCAAAATGGGGGAACCGCCTCATACAAGAAATTTAACTCGAACTGTCCCCTTTAAGCGGCATCAGATGTATCAGAAAATGTGGAAAGCTCAGCCAGCTATTGGGGATGATTTTCGCCATCGCATGCGCAAAGAAGTGCATTCTAAGATGCTTCAAAAAGATGATATAAAGGTATTTAGAAATGACTAAACCAAAATATTACTTAATGAAATCTTTGATAAAAAGAAGTAATTGATCAGGCATTTGATTATGCTTTTCTATTGCAAATGTAATCAGCTTACAGCAAACTTCAACTTTTTCTTAGTGAGCACTTACAAATTTATTTAATAAATTTTTAAGTTAAACATTTATATACCCGGTATATATAATTTAGAAGATGGTGAATTTCTTAAGCAGAAGTGTTTGTATTTCATTTTGTTGTCTTCTTTACAGGTGTTTCATAAAGTGTTTGTGCCAAACCCTTATGTTGTCCCAACAGAGAAGCCCCGCTATGACTTACGATGGAGTGTGCGCAAAGCTAACGCTTTATATGAGATGCCTCCTCATGGCTTCTACCATGAAATTTGAAACCTCAGTAACATAGGAGAAATATATTACAATTTCCCTTTGTTCAAGACATGCCATTTAGGAATTTATTTAAGTCATCACCCTACTTCTTTCTACTGGGACTTTGAAAATGAATTGTTTATATTAATCAATTATACCTATACATAATTTTTTTAAAAGGATTATTTTCAGCTGACAAAATTTTGTAAACTAAAAATGTCATGTGTGTATCATATAAATATTTAGCTAGTATTTTCATCCATTAATTAAGTCATCTTTAAGATCTACAAGTAGGAGTAAAATTCTGTCTGGAATGCTCTACATACAAATTATTGCTAAAGTCACCCTTTTGGTGGGTTTTTTGTTATGTCTTATATTTTTTAGATCCTGCTGGCAAGTGTAATTGATGTTTGTATTAATATTTTTAAAAATAATTTTAAGACTGTAAATGTAGATAAAATATTTTTATTAACTGTAATAAAACAAAGTCACTTGCCAATTTTGTCCTTTGCTATTTTACAGATCAATACATAATTATACAAAAACAGTTCAAAACATTAAAGGTTTAGTAAATGGTTTTCTCAAAGTGCTGTCTTCTTTCGGCTTTGTTCTAAAATCTTCTGGCCGTAGTCTGTTGACAAATTTTGTTTCAACTCTGGTAGAATGGAGCTCATCTAGTAATTTGCCTTCAATTTTTTCAACTGCTGCTAATGTAAGTACAAGCGTGTCATGCTTCAACATTGAGTAAACATTCAATCCTGTAACAAACAAAATAAAATGTATTATTTCAAAATATGCCAGTGAATTTCAATATCTGGAAACTTTGAAATGCATTTGGATGATTTGGTAAATGATATAAACCACTATATTATGCAACTCGGTTGATTACCTGTCTTGGCTTAGTTATTTCTAAATTTCAGTTTTTGGTGACACTTTTTTTTTACATCTTGTTCAATACAAACCAATAGTCATAATGGTAGGCATAATATTAGATTTATTTACATCTGTCCCTTACATACCATAGGCAGGCATAAGGTTAAATCCACGTATTTGGCTCACAGCTTCTGTTATTTTCTCTGGCATTACATCAGTGCTTAAGTAAAAGAATAAAATATATTATGAACACTAAATGGTATCAGTACCCATGGGAGTCTGTAACTAGGATAATTGCCTGAATGTTAGGCCAATTTTAATTAGTCATATATCAGTCTAATATCAGTTCTGTTATATTTATCGTATAAGGTAAGATTAATGCCTTACGAACTAAAATAAAGCCTTGACTTGATTGAAATTCCCCAGTACTTACTCATCAACAAACAGCACAGAGTAACCCCAAAATCTTACATCAGCCATTTCATAGAGATACTGTAAACAAATATTTTGAGACACTTAAGAAAAATGACATTTGAAGTAACTATATTCCTTAAAGAATGTGAACATTATTTTTAACGCCAAGTAAAATGAGTCAGAATGAAACTCTAACTAAGCCTTTGCATGTCTTTAAAAAAAAATATATATATTTTCTATAGTGGACAGTATTCAAGAAGACAAAATCAAAAAAGCCTCACAAGAAATTACTTTAAATAAATGTATGAAAAGAAAAAACAAATCACAGCCCAAGTAGTCGTTACATTTCTTTCCACAAGCTTTATATCATAACATGCCATCCATATATATTGCATATGCAAATCATATCAATTGTTGTTGCATCTAAATGATTAAATATTAGAAAAAAAACAACCTTTAAACTTTGAAGTATTAATTTTTTTATTTCAAGCAATATATTTCTATATAGGACTGTAATGTTTTGTGTTAACAAAACATTTAAAAATTAATGCTCAGAACAATAATTTCAAGATATCCTTGACATTTAATGAAACAAGTTTTTTATTTTAAAATATATCACTTAAAAATGTGGAGATGTGCACCAGTTTTAAGATCAATAACCAAATTTATGCAGAACATACCAATCTTTAACTAATGGATGATAAAGAAAACATCTAATACTAACAATTTAAAAAATGGGTGAAAGTGAAGTATTGTTTGGCTCTAGACCAAAGAAAAATTTCTATCAATATTAGTAGGAAAGTTATAATGATGATCAGCCAATGTGTTTTGGATTTTTAAAATTATTTTATAGTAAATGGTTACAACTATGGCATCAATAATGGCTGTCATAACTTTTAAATGGGCAATCATATCTAATTGTCCCCCAACCACCACCTCAGTGTAATAAATATGGATGGTCCCTATGATAGTGTGGAGTGATGTAGTAACTGACCAGACACATTTATTGCTGACTCTCATTCCCGCATGCATCCTTAAGTGAATAATGTGAAGGTATTATTTAATCTTAATTTATACTATTTTTAAGAAGATATCACCTCTGGATCTGCAGTAGGTAAGTCAAAGTTGTCAACTATGACAAGATCATTCTGGGGGCATTAATAAGATACATTTTTTAACAGAATCAGGTAAGCAAAGCAAAGATTTCATATATTATATTTTAGAAAATTTCCCCTGCTATTTTTGGTAACTAACACAGATTGCTTAGTCTTAGTCTCATTTGTTCTAATGTGTTTATTCTTTCTTCAATAGCTGTCATTAATTTTATATTTAACACTTTATTTGAAAATATAACAGTTGAATTGTGAAGACATAAATTGGTTACGTCCAGGTATCTGACAGCAATCCAAAGAATCAAAGCCCCCTGTCACCTAAAAATTTGTCAAATCTACAATTTCTAATTAGTTCCAAAGACTATAATTTTAAAAAATATTGCTAAAATATAGATTTCAATTTTGTTCAAATCGGCTCATTGAATTTGACAATTGCATTATATATAAGTAGAGGTTATTACTAAGAACTAATCGTTACCTGGCCATATTTACACGTGAGTGCTACCCTCAGACCCATAGCTCTTTGGGGCCTAGGAAGCATATAGAAATAACTTTTAGGACCTCTAGGGCCATGGGCTTTGGATCCTGAAAAAGATAAAATCAAGCTTTAGTAATTTGTGTCTAAGTTTACATATTTCATACAGCCATTTTATTCTTTATTAAAAAAAATTATATTAAAAAAAATAAATGTCCCGGATTTCTTGAGACAACTGCAGCTATTTTTGTGTAGACAGAAGATTTTGACCATCCACCAAATTGACTGCTGCCTTATGACTTCAGTGATTGTTCTTTTTATATAGGGCTAACCTTCTCCCCAAGCATAGCTGAACTGACAAATGAGTCCACTTCACCTCGTCAATTACCCATAACTGTTGACCAAACCCAGACATATATTTATCAAAAGTTTAAGAAAAAAATTCTTTCTTTTACCACTTAGCCACAATGGTGACCTGATGCTTCCATGACGAGCCTTGCCAAGTCCCTTTTGTGGCCAAGGTTTTCTGCCTCCTCCTGGTAATTCTGCACGGCTAGGCTCAAACGAATAGTCCTATTCATAGTTATAAAAATTTGTTCCACAGAGATTTTATTATCTAATGATTTAGATTCCTAAATATTCAAACTCTTAGCAATAAACCCATTTAATAAACATTTTTATTATCCCCTTTCATTTTTATTTATAAAAAATATACTAGTAAATTTGTATTTAATTATTCCCAACATAGATATTTTAGCTAATGAAAATTGAATTAAAAATAAATCAATGATTGTTAAGAAAGTGAAGGCTGTAGTTTAAAATCTTTGCAAGGATATCTGCTTACCAACACACAAGGTTTTTATGTCTGGCCCATCAAAATGTTCCATATGAATTATTTATTTTTATGTAACTATTGTTTCAGCAAAAATACACAAGTAGCATAACCAGCACATTCATCCTTGTTAATATGTTTCAAAATATAAAGCAATTACTTACAATGTGTCTATATAACTTTTGCCAGTGGATGTTTTTATGAAGCATATCTATTCTGGATATTAAAAGGGATAAAAAGACCAAAATAAAAAGCTATTCTAAAAAAAAAAAAATGAAACACCTCTAAAAAAAATAATGAAATTCTCTTAAGCATTCCCATATACATAATATTCTTAATAATTTATAATCTGTATCATGATTAGATGAATTAAGATTTACCATAAATTTATTTAGAAAAAAAACCCCTGTAAATCTGTTACCTTGGATAAGTACCAAACACATCTGGGTGGAGGTCAATCATTCCAAGCTTTGTACCTTCTAACGAAGCCAATGAATCCAACCAGGCTAAACGAGGGTATGTGTGGTGAACTGGGAATTTCAAATCCCTTGAAGTCATCAATGGTTGTTTTGTGACTTGTGACAGTGATGCACTGGATCCTGATGAGTTATTTATAAATTTAGTTTTTATTATTTCTGTTGATTAAAAAAAAAATTATTGTGAAATTACTCTGTAGGAAAAGTATCTGTAATTTTATTCTTACCTGGTAATGAATTATCAATTGCAGAAGTTGTATCATCAGTGTTTTGAACATTTTTCAGACTTCTGATAGATGATGATAAAGATGCCTGAAACTATTATGAATAAAGTCTATTAAAGAATATGAGGTAAAAGTTACACGAGTTATATTAATTGATTTTTTGATGTACTGAATGATTTTCTTAGCTTCTAATCAACTTGACAGAAAGCTAAGTTCTTTTGGTTTGATTTTGTTGTGTTCTTTATTTTTGTGTTGGCAGAGGAAGGCATTCAGCCGATAATTTCCTTTATTGTCTTGGGTTGTTTTTCAAGTTGTCACATATCCTATTCTTAATATTTCATTTGCAGGGCTTGAATCCAGTCTCTACTATGTAACAGATTATCATTTACAATTTTTAAATTTTCAAAAATATTAATCCAGTTCCCAAAGTGTCTTGTGGGAAAGAATTAATATTTCACCTGGATTCTAGGGGCATGTTGGCTGTAGGTTCCACCCTTGCTTTACACAAACAATACTTTTTTTTTGTGCATACTTTATTTTGGGAAGTTCACCTGGACAATGAAACCTTCACTATTCATCATTGATACAATAAAATTAGACTAAATATTTAAAGAGTGAATCATTACGTCATTGGTAAAATAAAAACTTACCTTCTTAAAAAAAGGACTGGAAAAAAACGTAAAGGCTAAGGGGCAAGGTGGTTAAGTAGAAATTGGGAATAAGTCTTAGTGGTCGATTGGGTTTGGGTAAATGGGTGAGTTCCTTGTGGGATAAGATGGGAAAGGTATGGCCATTGTTACTTTGGTCAGGGGTACAAGATTTAGTAAAACAATGCTGCTAAAATGCAGTTAGTGGTAGGGCCGGCGATGCCTTCCATGGTATATAGGTCATGGAGGTTGCCCAAGTCAACTACCAGCCATAGTTCAGTATTTAAAAGATTTTGATTGTTAGCTTTGTATTTATGTGAAATATATTTTTTAAAATTTTTTGTCTTGAAAGTATGGGGAGGGTTTTTAGGAGAGGTCTCCCCTCTCCAGAAATTATGTAGTTTCTTATTTTTGTAATGAAAGTAGGGAGGGGGTGTGACTGGGGAGGGGTCTCCTCTCTCCAAGAAATTATGTTGATATGTCCTTTTTGCAACATGATAGAAATGAATTCTGAATAGCATAAGGTACTTCACTTTTCAATCAATCACAAGACAGCACTTTTAACAACACTTTAAACAATGTGCACATCTTTTTCTGGTGTTCATCTTGGGGTTTCAGCAAGGATGAGTTTGTTTTTTTAATTTTTGTTCGAACATTGTAAGTTGAATTTTAATAAAAACACATTTAACATATTTCATATTAACTGTATTGATATTCAGATTTAGTTTATGACACAGAAAAAAAAGAGTTCAGGTTCAAATGTTGGTCCTGTCATCCTAAGTCAAGTGTTGGTATTCCCCAAAGTGATTTTACTGCACTTAGGGTGAGACGACTCTTGGCAAAACCAATGCCATGACTAACTACACTTTCACCAAACAATTCTTTAAGTTTAAGAATTTCTTAGGCCAGGCCAGGGTTCAGAGACTAGTCAAATAATTTGTAAGGGCAGAGAGGGGGTGTGATATATACTATAAACTGTGACTATAGACTATAGACAGAGGTTGGCATTTAAAATAACTAGGTGTATCTGCTAATTTTATTTAATAAATATTATTACAGTAAAAGTTAAGTAGGTAGGTTACTATTTAATTGACTGTTAAATTCAGACAATCCACTCCTCAGCTGCCATCTTAGTTGCCATTACCCTGCTGGGAAAGGTAACCCTAAACCTATCCCTAACCTGGACCCTAAATTTTAGGCTAAATCTACCCCTAACCTGAACCCTAAGACAGCCTAAGCCTAAACTCTTACTAAAGGCCTACAGTATTATATAGAATAATATAGTATAAGTATACTTAGTATAGTCTATCCCTAAAAATTAAATTACTTACTAAGTAACTAAGTCAGAATCAATCCTTAGGCCTAATTAAAATTAATAACCTGGACCTGAATTAATAACCCTTAATTAAATAACTTAATTAATAACTTAATTAAACTTAAACCTATCAAGTTAAATAAACTCGTAAATGACGCCATGGCGTGAATCGTCTGCTTTGGCCAAATGATCTAATACTAATATAATATTTAAATAATTATTTAATTTATCTTATTATTTAATTATTATTATTAAAAATTACTAAGACTAAGACTAGACAAACTATTTTTAAAAAATGGTCGAGTGTGAAAAAAAATTAGTGCACCCATCAATACCTTTTTTAAAGGGATGTTATACTTGCTTGAAGTCTTGAGAACAATATTACCGAACGTAAAAAATGTCTTCATTTTCTAAGTGTTTTAAACTAATTGAAATAATTAGGAGATATGGGGGTAAATTGAATGACATTCAGTGCACTAAACAAGAATGTACGCGGCCATTTTGTTAAAAAAAATATAAGAGTTATTCCCCATTTTAAATCTTTCTTTAGTAACAAAATATCTACTAATGCTTGATTTCAAGTTAATTAATAAATATTAGCGATTCATTGACAGAATGACTGAATCTTACTCTTTCTATGTAACTGCTGGAAGAGGAACAGAGATTTTTGTTGAAAAGGAAATTCGAGAAAAGCTTAAAATTACTAGTGTAAGAATAAGTGTTAGCTATTTTTGATTAGAAATTAGAGACTGATTAGCCCAATTTTACTTAAAATAAAGTAAAAGTTATAATAATAAAGACAGTCTTAGTCTAAGACAGTAGACAGTAGGCCTATATGTTAAGTTAGTAAGTAACTAGTTTTATTTTAACTTTTAACTAGCAAGATTTAGATAGAAAAGTCATATATTATATATTTCGTAGGGGCCCTTTCAAACCAGATTCGAAAGGAGAATATATTTTAAAATTAATTTTAGGGCATTTAGGGGGTTACAGTGTCTGAGTGAGTTATAGTAGGCCATATTAATATTATATTATATACTATTATAGGGCCTTATATATATATATTATAATAATAATATTATATTAATATAATAAATATCATATATATATAAATAATGTAATTAATAATATAGCTAGGCATAGTGCAGGCCCGCACCTAGAAAATTCTGGGCCCCAGGCAGCTGACAGTGACAGAATTCGGTTATCTTTCGTATTTTAAACATGGGACATGTGCATATATTTTAAAACTTGAAAAAGGGCGGGCCCCTGACAAGTGCCATGGTTGTCCCCCCTAGGTGCATGCCTGTATAGGGCATATTATAATTTTCTTTTGTATGCCTATTCAGTATTTCACTTTTTGTGGTGAAAGACAAAATACAGTGTGTCTAAATGGTTGTTCAAATTATGTAGGCCTACATTTATCATCATCATCACCAAAATTATGTATGAAAATCCAAGTCCAAATGCTCCTGCTTTAAAAATATAATTCTGAAGCATATTTTTGATTTAAGTTAAGAATTTTAGACCAATTTTTTTTTCTTTCTTTTTCTGAATCCTTAAGGTTTTCAAAAGAGATGGTAAAGTCTTCATGGAAGTCTCACAGGAAAAACTGAAGGTGGATCAGATTTTAGCCCTAAAGTCAGTGGAACGTGCTTTTATAGCTATAACTGATTATGATAATCAGAATTTTATTACAGGTAAAGCAAATATATGCATAACAAAAGAATATATTGCATCAAATCCAAATGTTTTATATTTTAATGAAATAAAATCTCTGTCACAGTATAAAAGCAGAATTAAAAAGAAAATAATTGATAAATACTTATCTTTAATTATCTCTTTCAGATAAAAGGACATTTTTGGACAAATTGATGAATGAAATAATTACTACTAACAATTTTAGCAAAGCACTCACAGTGCTGAAACAATTCCACTTGGTGCTAACCAGAAAGAAATGTCCTCATCAAAATGAGCATGCTACTGAGAACATACAGCCAAGGCAATCAAATGCTGAGAGTTTAAATAAAAGTGAAAAAATCATCTCAGAGGGCACAGATCAATGTGGAAGGTGCATGAGAAAAAGAGAAGGAAAAGCTCAGGATGAACCAAGGGAAATTGCTTACTTTCCTTTAGAGAAAAGGAAGAAAATGGAATCACCACAAGGCACAACTTCAGTAGATTTCACTACTGCGGCATCCATACAAAAAGTGTCAAATAATGGATTTTTAAATGTACAGCCTAGCTCTGAAACTTTATGTACCGGTATTAACCCAGCAAACTTGAATGAAGAGTCAAGAGCAGTGATAGAAAACATCAAGAGTTTGTCAACCTTTAGAGTTTCAGTCAAGTGCTCTGGAAAAGTCAAAAGATGGTTGGATTTGAAGGTTGTTTGAATTTGAAGTAATTTATTATTAATATTAGAAAAATGTTATACAAAAATGGAATAGTTAAAAAGGATGCTTTCTAGTACAAAAATATTTTAATTTAACATAAAATATAGATAGTGTGAGAATTTTTATTTAATTCTAATTTAGAGACTGTCAAAAGATATTGGATGGAGGGTGTCAAAAAGAACAGGTTGGATAGTGGATCTGCAATCACCGGAACTGGAGGTATCTTAAAAAATAGGATTTTTGATTATTGAAATGCAATGGAAAAAAAGCAACCCCAAAAACAAAGTTTTTCGTATTAAACCTTTATATGCATTTTTGTGGGACTTAGGGACGGCTTCATTTCTTATGAAATCATTGCATCATATTTCCTTCATCTTCCCCTTGAAAAAAAGATTTTTGGGCATGCGGCTGAAAATTTGATAGAATTTGTTGTTATCAGCAACAAGTCTATGTGCCAAGTTTCAGCTCGATAGGGCGATGGGAAGTGGATCAATTAGCCTTCCGAAGATTTTGCCACAAAGAAACACAAAAGCGAAGTTAATATTAAGGAATTAAAAAAAGCTTTGAATGATATGTAATGACAGGGAAAATTCATGTTTAACAAAAGCGTGGTTCATCCCAATATAAAATGAGTAAAACAGTAGGGTTAAACCTGAAAAAGAAACACAACAAAACAACGAACGTGTCGGCACAAAGCCTTCATCAGCGAACAAAACAGAAAAAACGGTATAAAAATAAGAAGTATTACTTAGCTTGGACGTAGTAACTGTGGGCAGCAAAAGAAATGTCACATTTCACTTTTTTTTTCTGTTGTTTTGTTTGCTGACGAAGGCTTTCTGCCGACTCGTTCGTTGTTTTGTTGCGTTTCTTTTTTCAGGTTTAGTCCTACTCTGTTTTACTTATTTTATATTGTGCTAACCTGATTGCAGTCTCTCCCCTTATTACCCTTGGTTCATCCCAACAGGCCCAACTATTGTAATGGCAGATATAATTTGAAAAACCTTTGTTAGGAATAAAATATGAGAGCAAAGTGGTTTGCTGTTTCTTTTATTCAGCTAAATACATATGGCACAGAGGCAATTTTTTTCAACATTGATTTATCAGCAAGGTGCTTTAACTAAACTCTTTAAATAGATTTTCAAAGTGAGTTTAGAAGCACCGTGACTGGTGTTAAAATGAAGCATCAGATTAAGCCCATGATAGAATTCAAGAACAAAATATTGTCATCATTCACACACATCCTAATTTAGGTTTTGCATTTAGTCACAACAACACAAGTTTGAATCTTAAAATTGGAATAATATGTCATTTAATAAGTTAAATATTGTTCAAATTTAAAATATTTGAAAGCAGTGTGTTTAGAAGTAGTAGTCTATTAGCTTAACCATCTCAAGGTGCTTTTTTCGTTTTGATAGGTTTGTGTTCACATTAGTGATGCCAATGTCACTGCTGGGATTCCTTTGACCAGGTATTGTGAAGCTAAAAATGTTTTTAGTTTCCGTTTGTTTATATGACATAGGCTGTTATTGGGCCCTGATTATTTGGATTTAACAAAAATTAGTAAGATGCAATGCTGTGAGTTGAATTTTAATATCATACTGTGTTCTAAGCTAAATAAATGTACCATGTCACCCAATAACTCAGTCCTTGTGCCCCGACAGCACAAGGTAATCAATAGCCAAGGAACTCCACTTATCTGTAGCCTGTTAATCCTGCAGGGTTAGATTTCTATTCTACAGATTAGCTCTTCACTGGGATTTTAAGTCTTTAGCAGTTAAGTTTTCCCTGAGCAGTCTTGTCAAACATATTGAATTCTAAAAAAGCTTGTCAAATGTGAAGGTTACCTGTTTTTTAATAATAAAATGCTGAATCTTTGAAAGCCATTGCAACATATTTTTATAATGATTTGACAGAATGATTTTTGACTAATTTAAGGTTTTGATTTTGTTTAGATTTCCTCTGTCCAAAAGGGAGTATTTAGTAGATTCAGGCCTAAGAGCACCCATTGCATGGATCATGTGTCATCTTGCCAACATTAAGGTAGATGTAATGAAACAATTTGACAAATATTTCTGGTCTTCCATTTCACCAGTTTGGTTTTAAAAAGCATTTCAATTTACTTTTGTTTTCAGGAGATCCACTTGTTATTCATTCATTCTCAGTGTTGAAAAGCACATTTGATTGTAGATTTTTAAGCAGGCTTTAAGAATGTATCCATTAAACCAACACATTGATTTCTTGTTGTAACTTAGTTAAACTAATTCTTTTGTTTGTTTGTAAAACTGGAAGCCAGGAGAAATAATACTAGATCCAATGTGTGGCAAAGCCACCATACTGGTAGAAGCATGCACAGAATTCCAGGTAAGCTAAAAAAAAACAACAACCAAGTAATAGAGTGAATTAAAATTAGGCTATAGCTGAATAAGTTTTGGATGCACCAAAATCTTTAAAAAAAAAATGTGTCTGTTATTTTGTGAATCTTTAAGTTTTGTATTTCCCTTTGTATGATGTCTGTATTTAAAGATATCTGTATTCTAACATATTGTAAATCAGTTGTCTTTGTTTTTTTCCAGGCATCTTACATTGGTAGTGATTGCGACGGTGACCAGTTAGCTGCAGCTATTCAGAACGTTGACTCACTAAGATTACTAATGAACAATGTATCTCTTGTTAAATCTGATGGACTTGGTGGGTTGAAAAATAAACTTAAATATCTGTGGAAGTCTAATAAGTGAAGAAATGTGGTATCCACAAAATAATTAATTCTCATGTCTATTTTTGACTTTACCTTTTAAGATTATCAACCCTCTAATGCAGGCCTGCGCAACTTAAAATGTAAGGCGGACCGTAATACTGTATGAAAAACTTGTGCGGGCCGTAACACTTTATGAAAAACTAGTGCGGGCTGAAAGATGATTGGACAGGGGGGGCGAAAGCATTTAAGAAAACAATAATAATAAAGAATATTTCGTTACTTCGCGGGCCGCAAAGTGGGTGCTGGGGGGCCACATGCGGCCTGCATGTTGTGCAGTACGTAAATAGGGCTAAATTGAATTTTTAACCTACAATTTGAATTTAAAGGCCTAAAATGGCAGCTAAATTGATATTCAGACTTCTATGAGGCTGCATTAAGACACCTCCCCCCAACCTCTCATTATTGGGTGGGGGGGATTAATACATTTTAGGTGATTAGGTTGGGCTTGGAGAAAAAAAAGCTTGGGTAGCACTACTGTAAGTATATTTGCGTTGTGGCGCCGCCCCCCGCAGATTTTTGGTTAGTCCATCAATTTAATTAAGTCACAGAATTACTGTTGTCATATCTAGCAAGTGTAAACACAAAGCAATAGTATGACCATAAATACAAAACATGTGTGTAATATATTTAGGTGGCACTTCGATTTATTAGATATTAGTCTGCCATGATAATTATTAAATGTAGGTACTTTCTGCAGATCCCTTCCTCTCACGCCCTACGAAAAATCTCCTTAATCAACACACACACCCAAGTGCGTATGTAATCAATAGATGGACCCATATCATACTACTTTAGACTATTAAATCTAGTGACTCTTTATAATCTTTATACTTCCTGGCATTTTGCACTGTAAATTGCTGTATGCGCTTGTGAATCGGCACCTCTGGAAGGGGGGGGGAACAACCCATAATGTAGATAAACCTAATAAAAAAAAGCCTTTTTTTTTTCAGATATGCCGTACAGAGACAGCTGTGTTGATATTGTCATGTGTGATGCTCCTTTCAACAGAAACCACAAAACATCTATTGCAGTTGATGAATTCTACTTCAAGTTCATTCATGAAATAGACAGGTAGCTGTCCCTCTTTCATCTCACATTATTAAGTGTTTGGTAAAACTTAATTAAAATAAAAGCTCACTGGCTAGGCGACAAAAATAAAAAAAAAATAAACAAATTATAGTACTTGTTTATTTTATTAACAAAACTGTTGCCCTATTTGGATATTTCAGAGTACTTGCCCCACAAGGTCGATGTGTGCTTCTCACTAAGCAAGATCTGAAAGACTTAGTTATTTCAATAGTCAATGGAAACTTATCTGATGATTCTAAGATACGAACTTGTAGAGTAAAAGCACCTGTTCATCTTAGCGTGGCTTCCATAAATTATATCAAACTTGGTGAAACTCATGCATCTATCATTGTTCTGAATAAACAGTAATATTTCCCACCGTTATCTCTGTATTTGGACAAAAAATTATTTATTTTACAAATAAAGAAAAAACATCAGATCAACAAAATTTGGTACACATGACAAAGTAATTCACCATTGTTCATATTTATTACCCTTATTAAGCAAACATGGTGAGAAATGGAAAATTTATATTTTTCTTGTTGCTACTTTAAAAAATCTGTGAGTGAGCTATTTGTCTTATTAATGATTTCTTGTTTTTGTCCCAGTTGTCAGTTTCTAAAAACCTTTTCAACCACCAAATTACCCTCAAATAGTCACATTAGAGAAGCCTGGAATATATCTGAAAGATACCATAATTTTACAAAGCCAAGGTAAAGAAAATATATTTCTATATCTAAATTTATAAAGAATAAATTGCAGTGTAAAAAAATGAAACGGGGGACATTGGTTGATGTTAGTGATTTGTTCAATGGGTGCATGTTTTGGTTTGTGTTATATAATTGATTTGTTGTGAGTGTATTTGGTGTGGAGATTGTGTAGCTGTTGCCATGGCGTTTGTTTTGGTGACTTATTTGGCTATGAGAGATGTTCATTGTTATGGTTTTGGTAGTTTATCCTTGAATAACGAACCATTTCTTATATTGATCTTGGTGTCATTAATTACCTCTAGACTAAATGAAGCTATTGAGCTACTTATGCAATTAGCAGTAGGTAACAGTTGAATAATACATATAATGCATTCCTATAGCATTTAAAATTTAACAACAATTAAAAAAAATTTTTTTATAGATAAAATAAATTAATGGGAACTAGTAAAACTTTTCTACTGTTTTGTATATCTACTTGTGCAAATGGGATCTCATTGATGTTTTGATGAGTGAAAAGCAATGGTGATACTGGTTGAAATAAGACAGTAAATTTTACTTATAGTGTAATGACTAAGAGATAAAGTTAACATCTGTTTATTACACTCGATTAAAATACAGAATTCACCAACAAGAATAAAAAATTGATAGTAAAATGTAGAAGAAAAACTATCTGTATAAATAATCACATCAGTATCTTCATAATAAACCACATCAGTATCTTTATAATCAATCATATAAATATATGTATAATAAACCACATCATTAGCTTTATAATTAATCACATCAATATCTGTATAGTCAATCACATCGATTAGTACATTTACAATGAATTGGAACAAAAAACTGGTTAACACATTGATTTCTGCGGCAATGTAAAGTGACAAATAATTAACAGCGCATTGAAATTGAAATGAAAAAAGAAAAAAACTTTAAATTTAGCATCTGGACCATTGTAATTTTCAACATTGGAACTAATGTTAAAGGGAATAGCTGATTTCATTCTGAAACTTTTGCCCTTAATTTTTAAAAATTTATAATTTTGCACCCTGTATTAAAAATTGCCCATGCATACTACCCATTGCCCTCACTCATTCTTTAGGTTTCCCAGTTAAAAACTATATATTATAATCACAAAAACTGGGCAAGCTAAGGACTTATATTATTATATTAAATTAATCATAAATGGCGATGGCTCAAATGATAATTTATGTATTATTTATCATCACATGACATGAAAGAATGAATTAAAAGTAGTTTCTACTCTTGATATTATTACTGGACGGTCTTATTTAAATACATGGTAGAAACAATGATCAGATGCAGCTTATGGGTTGGTTAAAGTAGTAATGATTACACCTCCAATTTCATATATCTTTCATGTGGCAAAATTCAAGCACGCTGCTTACTTGATTTAATGAATGTGCTTTGATTGAACATTGACCTCTATACCCTCTAGGCAAGTGGACCAATTCTTTTATAACTGCCTAACCTCTTAATGCATTTATTTCATCTCAGAGTGTGCTCATTTGTAAAACTGGTGATGGGGTTTTTAAAATAACAATTTTTTTATCATGAGTTAATTTTCAAAAGATCCACTGCATAAGAACTTAATAAGCAATTGACTTAAAATATCAAGTATTTATATTTGTGCATACCATATAGTAGACTTGTTACCAGTAAATAATTGTATCACCAAATATGGATTATTTGAACACTGCTGTGGTAGGTTTAATTCTTCTACCCATTCATAACAATAAACAAGCATTATTATTATTATTTAAAAATTCATAACTTTTTATACAAAATAAACCCTGACAGAGAAGGCACTTTATTCCCCAGAGTTATGACAATAAACAAATCACCCACAATTTCACCATTGTAACATTTTAACTGCATGACCTAAAGCTTGAACTGTTGTTCCACTCTGTCTGCCACCATTTCAGCTATAGCCAATGAAGATGTAGCAGCAGGCGATGGGGCATTTCTCACATGCAAAACCCTGCTGCCAAGATCACCAGAACCACTGTCAAAGACAAAATCATCCACCAGTTTGCCATCACGGTCCAGGGCCTGAGCTCTAACCCCTGAAGGACCTCTATGAGAGTAATAAGTGATAGTTCATTAGAGAGTAATAAGTGATAGTTCATTAAAGAGTAATAAGTGATAGTTCATTAGAGAGTAATAAGTGATAGTTCATTAAAGAGTAATAAGTGATAGTTCATTAGAGAGTAATAAGTGATAGTTCATTAGAGAGTAATAAGTGATAGTTCATTAAAGAGTAATAAGTGATAGTTCATTAAAGAGTAATAAGTGATAGTTCATTAGAGAGTAATAAGTGATAGTTCATTAGAGAGTAATAAGTGATAGTTCATTAAAGAGTAATAAGTGATAGTTCATTAAAGAGTAATAAGTGATAGTTCATTAAAGAGTAATAAGTGATAGTTCATTAAAGAGTAATAAGTGATAACTAATTTTTTCATTACCTGGTATAGTTTTCATTCACTTTAAATTAATTTATATTAAACATATAATCCCTCATAAAATAGATGCAAATTTTGTGTGATCTTTTTCCGTACATCAAAGTGATGTAAAAAAAAATAAACTTGAAGCATATTCACACATATTACGCATCTTCAGCCTGGGACCCATTCACCCAGAAGAGCATCGACAGGTTGGAGGCGGTCCAGCGACGGACAGCACGCTTTGTTCTGAACCGCTACAGGAACATCTCAAGTGTTGGCAGCCTGCTGGAAACACTGGGCTGGTCACCATTGGAGGAACAATGACCATCCAGGCTCTCCATGATGTACAAGATAACAAAATGGGCTGGTCAACTGCTCAAGCATTAAACAGAAACTTGTCCCTCTCCATCCTAGACAGTTCTGAGGCCATGACAAGCAGTTCCGGCTAATAACAACAAGAACTAAGTACAAGAACTGCTCATTCCTGTCAAAGACAATCAGGGACTGGAACAAGCTTCCAAAAGCAACAGTTGAGGCGACTACACTTGACATATTTGCGTCTAGTTCCTCCTGTCTTCCAACCCCCAGTTCTTAATACCATAGCTGAGTAGCCCTTGCAACCAGTGAAGTATCCTCTTCAAAACCGTGCACAGGTACATTACGAACCCCTCTACTAACATAGGGGCCAGAATGATCAATGCATTGATCGTGGGGCCCTCAAAATATAGAATAAGTAGAAGAAGACATGCGCTGTCATAATTTAAATGGACCTTCTTACCTTGTTACATCTTCTGGCCTTAATGAAGGAACAAACTTCTGCAACTGTCTGACTTGAGCCCTGATATAAATGCCTTTATACATTTCTTTAATACCATAACCTAGGTGTTTGATTGCAAGTTTTCTAAGTCCTCTGAAATAAGAAATACTTTGTTAAATACCACATAGTTTTATTAGGTGTTAATAGTAAGGCTAGATTAAATGAACTTTGTACATATCAAATTATTTAAGAATAAAATAATGAACCCATTACCATAGGATACGTTCACGAAGGAAAAAAAAAATATTTATTTTTGGAGAGAAAAGAGCAAATGGATTGGTGAATATCATTTCCCCTTTCATATAATTTGTGGTTTTCATGGTTTGGCTAAGTGAATATGGATCAGATGACGTCACCGTGAATAGAGAGGAAAGAAATTATTCAGAGTAAAAGTATAAATTTTATTTTAAAAACTATATTATTGGGTCTGTTTTGATTAACCCTACTCAACTTACTGGAATCGAGTTTAGAAACAACAAATATGATCTTGGAACCAACCCAACTTGGTAAAATTAGGCGGTAACCATGGGCAAGCTACTCTGTTTTACAATACCCCGGTAATTTGAAAATAGCCCATAAACAATTTTTGTTTATTTCCAATTACCTAAAGCTGACAGCATCCATAAAATCAGACAAACTAAACTGTGTATATCCATAACCTTCTCTTTTGAAGGCCAAAACAGCATTAGGCCCAAGCCATACGCTGCCATCCATTCGAGGTGTGAAGTGCACACCCAAGAAGGGGAATCTAGGATCTGGAACCTTCAAATAAAACAAGATAAAAAGGATTTTAAGTAGTGTAAAGAACATTGCGCAAACAGTAGCTTTTTAACTGGAATACAAACCATATTTAAAAAAATTGCAATGGTATTTAATTTTAATTGGACATAGAAAAAAACATCCAAAACCTTAGCAGAGATAAAGGAAATATTTTTTGGGGAAGTAGAATTAAAGTCTTATTGATTATTATTTGAATTTGTGAATTGAAGATTTTGTAGCAAATCTTAAGTTGAATAAATATCAGATGACTTTCAACAAAAATGCGTTTCCATTATTTTCAATTCAAAATTGGACTATCTATGTTTAAATAAATAATTTGATCACTGTACCAAGAGAAAAATTTAAACAACCACCCTCTAGCTGATAGGGTAATAAATAAAAGTTGAAATAAATTTTACACTTATTTTAATTTGCTGCTTATTTTTTATAAAATTAAAACATGTAAACAAACAATTTATAGCTGAAACCAAGTGCAAATAAAACCTTAAAATATCTAGACCAAAACTTACGGGATAAATATTGCCATTAACCAAGTTACATTTGTCTCTGGCCAACAGCAAATACTCTCCCCTGAATGGTACAATTTTCGGCTCAGGGTTACATCCTGATTTTTCAGCGAGACGGTCAGAGTGCAGTCCACCACAGGTTACAACGTAACGGCAACTGACCACAGGATTCTAAAGAATTTACAAAATTGAAAGTACAATGGAAACAATGCTAAAGTAAAGATTTACAGAAAAACTTGACTAACAAAACCATAAAAATAAAATTAAACCATAAGTAAATCAAAACACTTCTATGATTAATTTTGGGTAAGAAAATATTTTTACAACACAAACCCTTATTTTTGTCCAAGTAATAGAAAAAAGATGTGCATATTACACTCAAGATTTTTTGATGCTACTTCTAGACCACAATTAAAATAATTAATTTTACCTGTGGACTACTTCCATGTATTTCTACAGTGTTGGTTAGACCTCCAGTGCTGCCCTCTTTACTTTCAGTCTTATTGATGAATTTGTCCACTTTATAATTTGTGTATATTTTACCACCACGCTTCTCAAATTCTTTGCCATAGTATTTGGTTACTAGTCCCCAGTCAACAATACCAGTGTGTGGAGAGTGGATGGCTTTGAGACCCTGAGACATACATTTATGAAATATTTTGTTGATTTAAGGAGCTTTTAAAATCTCAACATCTATGCGTGTTAACAATACCCTTTAAATAACCACATTTGTACTTTCCCAAATATTAAAATCCTGAGATTAATATGTCAGTCATTCATCGTCAAATTAATTCTTAACAATACTAGGAATGCTGTGTATGAAAATAAAACTCAAATTAGCATTTAGCCTGGTCCAAGTATTTCCAATGAGCCCAATCCAATTATTTCTCATCAGGAGGAATAAACATAAATATAAATCTTGTGATTTAATTTCTTTATTATAAAGAATAAAATTTAGTACCGGGGTACCTTAATTTACTGGGGTCAATATTTGACACTAAATTCCAAATTTTGAGGTTACTCTATGTAGATATGAAAATACAGAATAGTTTTTTTTATTTCTCAAACAATTCATTATGGCAACTTTATCATACGTATCCTATATCAGGGTAACATCCCACCTACCCCACTCACCTTGACACACACACAAACACTTTACCATAATGTTGTATTGTTTTGACTGTTCAAGGTTTAGAACATTTGAAGAAAGCAGATCAGATACAATATTTTAAGTGCCTTACCACACAGTTTGGCTCAATTTCTTTGATTTGTTCTGGCCCAACCATGCGAATGTCTCTGACATTATTTTTTAGCCCCCTTTCCATTAGAACATCTAGCCTGGGCAATTCCTCTGGTTCAGTAGCCACTATAAGCTGAAACACAAAATATCAACTATCAAAGATGACGAATTTCCAAGAAAGATAGTGAAAAAAGTTATTGTAAAATGCAAACTGCTTATAAAGTATGGTAAAATGCAATCTGACAGTATAGAAAAATGCCAGCAGACAAATAGTTAAAGTATAATGCCAACTGACCTTGCCACATTTTTTATATGGAATTTGGTGTTTGTCACAATATTTATAGGCCATTTCCATGCCTTTTACACAGAGTTTAGCTTTGAGTGACCCAGGGACATAATAGATGCCAGCATGGATAACACCACTATTGTGGCCACTCTGATGACCAGCTAAAAAAGAAAAGTATGCTTTGCAAAAGAATTTATTTAAAAAAATATAAATCTTGAACTTGAATGTTTGAAATGTTCTTAGCAATCTAGGAGACAACAGTTTGACAGATTGATTTTTTAAGATATTGATTGAATGAAACACTTGCTCTGAAAAAGTCACATATCTCTTCATTATAGAGAATTAACTTCACTGTAACAACTAATGACTTGTGTGTTGAAAAGATGGAAGTTCACTAAAGCGTATAGGATGTATATAGGAGGACCTCGCAATAACAGCTACTTGCTTAGTTGCATTAAAAAAGTAATGGTGCTATTAAATCTCCATCCACAATACTCATTACTACTCAATATTTAATATTTCTTTTCCAGTTTAAATCATGTACTGTACATACTAAATATATATTTAAAGGTAATCATTGTGTAAATATCCCTTTCTATCATTGTTTTATAGTTAGTTTTATTGCACACTTAATATGCATTAGTACGCAGTATGAAGTTTTGTGTGCAAATTTTATAAGATTAGACATTTTATGTTTAATTTGTTTAATTAGTTTAATTGTAATTTTTTGTTGTTGTTGCCAATATGATATAATTCTTTGAAACAAAGGTTAAAGAAGCTGAAAATCTATAAATAAGCTGAAAATCTATAAATAAGCTGAAAATCTATGGTAATTAAAACTAAATTTTATCTAAAATGTACTGCCAATCAAACTCTGCCTTAAAATACAATTCTAAAATGCTGTTGCTAGGTTAACAATAAAATAGACTTTTATCAAGTTAAAGACAAATAAATAAATGATTTTTAAAATTGTGTTTTGCGGATTCATTAAAATGCTTCCAATTTCAACTGATAATGAAAATAACCCCTGTCTGATATCAAATATTTGTGACGTAACTGGCCAATGAGGAGAAAATCCTGAAAATCAAAATAATCTCAACCTCCAAATTCGGAAGACAGCAGCAAACTTGGCCTGAGTTAAATCATGGTTGCGCATAAGCTCTCTAAACACATGTCAGAATTGTTCAAAATGGGTTATGATGTTTCAATAATTTTTTTGTTACCTTGATATTATTTAATTGTTTCCAGTAAAATTTTAAAGAGTTGACTCAAACATTTAGAGAGTAACAGCAAAGCTAGACTCCCACAATACCAACGTAAAAAAAAAAAAAAAAAAGTTCACATATAAGGTGTTTGACAATGCACAACCATAACAGGAAAACAGTCATTGAAAGACTATTATAAAAAATTCAAACATTTAGAGAGTAACAGCAAAGCTAGACTCCCACAATACCAACGTAAAAAAAAAAAAAAAAAGTTCACATATAAGGTGTTTGACAATGCACAACCATAACAGGAAAACAGTCATTGAAAGACTATTATAAAAAAGAACTTAATATTAGCAAACCAAGATCATTCTCTTTTTCCAGTATGGCCAACTTTAATTGTGGGTGGCGAGTAGCCAATTCTTGAGCTGTTGCTGTCCCCACAATACCTCCTCCGACAATGACCAGGTCATATTGGTTTTGTGTGCTGGGGAGTAAAAGGGAGAACTACTGTAAAACTACCGTGTTTGTGAGATAGGCCATCAATATGTTTTGTTACCCATTAAAAATTCTATATCAAGGTAATATAACACATTGTAATGCTTAGTATGTACGGTAATGATATTGTTAATAATATTAGGTACCAGTAACAGGAGTAAGGTTTAAGTGTATGTTCAGAGTGACCCAATCAACCTTTGGCATAATTAAATTTATCATTTAATTTTTAAAATTGATGAAGCTTAAGACAAATAATTTCTCAGAAAAAATAAAATATAATAAACTGACAAAAAGTATGAAGGCCTATTAATCCCCACCCCCCACCCCCCCCCCACCCCTGAATAAGCAGAGACAGAATTAGTCACTCTTTAAAAACATTTAGAATTCGCTTTTATAATGATTGATTGGTGAGGCTTGTCCACGTAGTAATTAATATAGTTCAATTTATTTTAGGTCACTTTTTTTTTATATGTAGCCTTGTACAGTTGTAGGGCTTGCCTTATTTTTAAACTAAACAGTGTTATTTTTAGCCACCACAACTTTCTGCAAGTAGAATGGCCTTGAAATAGACTTCACCAAGAGGATGGATTGTCAACTTACTATGTCATGTATTATAGGAGCCAGAATGATCAATACATGATTTGTGGGCCCTCAAAATATAGAAGGGAGAAGGACTTCATCCCATACCCGCCCCCCCCCTGTCTTGGCTGGCAAAAAGGTTGTTTACATTCTAATGCGTTCCAATTTGTTCTCAAGAATAGGGAATAGGTAAGGCGATATTTTGATTTTCTGTACTAGAATGTTTGGATTTAATTAATATTTAAAGCCCACCAGGTTTCTGAGCAGATAGACTTTCTGAGGCATAAACTTACTGAGACTTACTTAGGGATGGACTTAGCAAGACTTATATTATAGATGTTTATATTATTGTGTGTATGAATTAATATTTCTATTTTGAGGATTGTACCTTTTTTTCCACTTGCTATAAGTTGATACACTTTTTGCTTCTGTACTTAAATTTTTATTTGTATAGAAATTCATGAGTATGAATAAATTACATATAAGAATCACTAGCTTTGGTATCATTTTTCTTTGCATACTGTGAGTTGTCTTTTGTTACATATTGTTTTGTATATTATTAACAAATGTTTAATTTCTATAACCATAACTTGCCATAATGGTACATAACATCAATTATTACATTATTATTAGGTAATATTGAAATTATTGGCATTGGGCCCTTGAAAAATGAAATTGGTACAGCAACCCTCTTGAGAAGACTGGGCTGGTCTATCAAGTCAAGAGTTAAATGGGGAAGAAGTTGAAGGGAAGAGCTATCTGTCCAATGAGTCCAATACAAGTTTCGAGATTGCCTAGCTTGACTTCAAACCAGCTAATCGCATTGTTTCTCACAATGCTAGCTCATCTGGCCATTTTAATGCTGGCTTCCATTGATTGTTTGTAATTGTTCTGTCATTCTATATCATTTTTTTGTGTTCACCATGAGACCTCGATAAACACTTAAAAAATATAGGAACTAAGCTTTGAATCATGCCACTAAGCATAACCACCCCTAGTCTAAGTCACTAGCCTAAGTGGAATACTTTATGCAGTTTTTCACATTAAATCTCATTTAAATGCTTGTTAGGACTTATTTAGGCTCGTGAAAAGGCAAGGGCTCTATCTTCTCGGCACAGAAATAGAAAATCCATAATAAATAGCTCTGTTTCAAGAATAGAGATAGACTTAAACTCATTGACATACTCATACATTAATTTAAAATTAGCCTACAAAATTCTACAGAATGCATACTATTTTACAATTATTACTATAGCCTATTTTGATACTTAATCAATGCGACCTTTTCAATAACCTTGTTAAATTTGGTGCTTCAAAGTGGTCCTTAGTACTTTAACGGACTTCTCTCTGTCACAATTATTGAAATACGGCATGAATATTATACTAGCATAAGGACTATACTAGACTATACTAATACTATACTATAGCCTACATTCAAACATTGGTTGGCTACATCAGCCATTATTGACTCGATTGCATCTCAACATAAAACTTATTACTCGTATAGTTGCATATTTTGTGCTTACGTATCGGAAGCAGAATAGTTTCTTTTCGTCTGTTGCAATGTAGAACATGCAAGTTTTGCCCCCGAGTTACTAGAGATGGCATGTATCTGTAGGCTGCAAAGTATGCGCGTAAGCCGACCCGACGAAGCCATTTTTGGTAGGCAGGGCAAAGAAAATGCAACTCTTAACTTTTTTATATTTCGGAATTTCTCCCGGTATATTCCCTTAGACCAGTCTTCCAGTAAAACGGCACAAGCCATTTCGACTTCAATTTATGCAACCCTTTAATTTTTCTAAAATGAGTAAAACAGAGTAGAGTTGGATCTAAACCTGAATAAATAAACGCAACAAAACAACGAACGTGTCGGCAGAAAGCCTTCGTCAGTGAACAAAGACAACAGAAAAAACGGGTTAAAATTAAATATAAGAATAAGAAATAGCGCTTAGCTGGGAAGTAGTATCCGTGGGCGACAAAAGAATAAATGTGTGGCGGGATGAATGTGATAACAGACAACCAGTTGTGGGATTCAAATAATTTAACTATCAGTTCGCTGTCCTAATGATCGTTTTAAAATAGGAACACGATGTACCGATGCGTAGTTATTTCTTTTATACAGTTGATAATTTTAATAAGGAGTCATCTATAAATGACTTTGACTTTATGCTATTTTGGCCAATTTTTTAAACTCCCCTTCCGCCATCGTCAACCTCTTCAAATCCTAATTAGTCGCCTAAGTCACCACATCTTTCTTCGGATAATCCAACACTCCCATTAAAAGACTTTCATTAAAGAACTTGACGCGTAGAGTACGATAAACTCTGAATATAGTGCTAATCATACATCGTGTTATGTACCGTATATCATCAACGGTCTAAAGATGCCAAAAGCCAACACGGTTTGGAGATTATTTCTGCGACAAACGGACGTTTCAAAAATAAATGACCGGTGCCTGGTGCTTATAATAAAATCCGAGATCACTTATTCTGCAAAATATATATTATTTAACAAGTTTGCAAATCGCACAGTCCCAAATCTGTTCACTGCATGTATATTATATCATTAGATATTTATCCGGATTGTGACACAGCAGTCGGGATTGTATTCCTGTGTTTGTACTACAATGCTCCAACGTCTTGCGCTTTGCTTAGGATGATAATAATAACAATAAGACGATATGTGCTGTTCGGATAACCGACGTTTATGATAATTGGCGCTCGGAAAATCGACGCTCTAATGTTATAAAAAAAAATCTTGGATGATTGATGTGATCCTGTATGTAAGAAAAAGAACAACTGCCGTATTTTTTTTTTAGAAGCATTCATTCTTGACATCCGTGTTGTGTAGAGGATTTTGAAATGAAAAAAAATACCGCATTTGCTTCGTAAAGTGCTGTACCGCTGAAGAGCTGGGGCCGATAAAATAAACACTCGGCCGTCCCTATATATATATTTTTTTATATCAGTTAAACAAAAAAAAAATGATTCTGCATACTGGTTGGCGTAGAGAAGGGGGGGGGGGAAGAGAGTGGTCAGCCCCGGGTGGCACTTATTTTTGGGGGGCATTTAAGGTAAAATTCATAAAATTATGTATTTCTTCCTAAAAAAAAAAAAAATGATTCTGGATACTGGTTGGCGTAGAGAAGGGGGGGGGGGAAGAGAGTGGTCAGCCCCTGGTGGCACTTATTTTTGGGCGGCATCTAAGGTAAAATTCATATAATTCATACCGGTATAGATTATTGTGTATGTGTATTCTGTCTGTATATTCTGTATGTGTTGTGGTTTACGTTAATTAAAAGCGGTGAAGTCAAGGACTGTCCCGGACATCAGAACCTCTAGCCACTCCACTGCTCATATGAGCTAAGTCAGAACCTCTAGCCACTCCAGTGCTTATAAGAGCTAAGTCAGAACCTCTAGCCACTCCATTGCTTACAAGAGCTAAGTGCTTATAAGAGCAAAGTCACAACCTCTAGCCACTCCACTGCTTACACGAGCTAAGTCAGAACCTCTAGCTACTTCACTGCTTATAAGAGTTAAGTCAGAACCTCTAGCCACTCCACTGCTTACAAGAGTTAAGTCAGAACCTCTAGCCACTCCACTGCTTACAAGAGCTAAGCGCTTATAAGAGCAAAGTCAGAACCTCTAGCCACTCCATTGCTTACAAGAGCTAAGTGCTTATAAGAGCAAAGTCACAACCTCTAGCCACTCCACTGCTTACACGAGCTAAGTCAGAAACTCTAGCTACTTCACTGCTTATAAGAGTTAAGTCAGAACCTCTAGCCACTCCACTGCTTACAAGAGTTAAGTCAGAACCTCTAGCCACTCCACTGCTTACAAGAGTTAGGTCAGAGCCTCTAGCCACTCCACTGCTTACAAGAGTTAAGTCAGAACCTGTAGCCACTCCACTGCTTACAAGAGCTAAGTCAGAACCTCTAGCTACTTCACTGCTTATAAGAGTTAAGTCAGAACTTCTAGCCACTCCACTGCTTACAAGAGTTAAGTCAGAACCTCTAGCCACTCCACTGCTTACAAGAGTTAAGTCAGAACCTCTAGCCACTCCATTGCTTACAAGAGCTAAGTGCTTATAAGAGTTTAGTCAGAACCTCTAGCCACTCCACTGCTTACAAGAGCTAAGTCAGAACCTCTAGCTATTTCACTGCTTACAAGAGCTAAGTCAGAACCTCTAGCCACTCCACTGCTTA